CTGGGAGGCCTGGAGCCCGGCAGCAAGAGAGACAGCCAGGGGCTTTCAGATGACTCGACACTGGACAGGTCAGCACTTGGATGAGAAGTTATAACAGCGACTCTGTGGATCATAAATAAGTTTGCACTGCCGGCAGCTTTGAAAGAAGCGAAACACACGTGGTCGTTCTGTTGTTGCGTAAAAGCCAATCAAACTGAGAAGAAAAACATTCGTCCTGTTTTGTTTATACCGCCTGGACTGCATAATTTTCCTTTCAGAAGCCGTAATGAACTCTCGGGCTGTTTGGATTTTACTGGTCTGACATCCTAGAGTACAGTAGAAAATTGAGCTCATCATCTCAACAGTTTAAGTAGAGGTGCCTTAAAACTTGTATTTAATTTTTCTTTTCTTTGTTTGTTACTCTTTCTGTAGTTCCCAGATCCTGTCCGGCACGTCGGGACCTTCAACAGCCACGCAGAAAGGCAAGGACGTGGCTGAGAGCGAGAGTCAAGAGGTCAGGAAGTCCGAATGTCCCCGATAAGAAACCAAGAGCAGGAAAGGAACTGTCCCGTTGGGGAATCAAGGCACACTAAATATTTGTTTCTGTCTGTATCTCCTTGTAGCAAGACTTGTGCACATTTCTCATCTCCCGCGCTTGCAAGAACTCCACACTTGCCAACTACTTGTATTGGTGAGTAGCAGCAGCTCAGAACAACTTTATTATTTCTAAAAAAGGGCCTTGTGTTGATCTTCATCTGCCTGTGTGTCTTCTTCAGGTATGTGATTGTGGAGTGTGAGGATCAGGACACCCAGCAGAGAGATCCAAAGACTCACGAGATGTACCTCAACGTCATGAGGCGGTTCAGTCAGGCGCTGCTGAAGGTCAGAAACCCCCAACGGGACAATGATTCGGAAACGTCACAACAGCGCCGCCGGTTTAGGTTCTGCTCCAAACTGAACTACTACACATACTAGATATATTTTTCTTTCCCTCCAGGGGGATAAGAGCGTGCGGGTGATGCGCTCGCTGTTGGCTTCCCAGCAGACGTTCGTAAACCGACTGGTGCAGCTGATGAAAGCCGTGCAAAGGGAGAGCGGAAATCGCAAGAAGAAGGTAAGAACAGAAAACTTACACGTGCAGATACGTTGTTTATTCAGTTTACATGCATACTGTTGTCATCTGGCGCACTGCTCCCTGCTGCGCTGTGCTAACAGCCCCCCCTCCCTCCCCCTCCTCCCACCGTGTGTCTGCAGACAGAGCGGCTGCAGGCTCTGCTGGCGGACAACGAGAAGGTGAATCTCTCCGAGATTGAGCCCATTCCGCTTCCCCTGGAGCCGCTGATCAGAATCAGAGGCATCGTCCCTGAGACGGCCACGCTCTTCAAGGTACTGAAAGGAACTTTCCTCGTCACGGAGCACTCTTCCCTCTGTTCTGCTTTGTTCATGGGTCTTTTTTCCCCTCCGTCCGTCTGTGTGTGTGTGTGTGTGTGTGTGTGTGTGGCAGAGCGCTCTGATGCCAGCTAAGCTGATCTTCAAGGCAGAGGATGGAACCATGTACCCAGTTATTTTCAAACACGGAGACGATCTGAGGCAGGATCAGCTCATCCTTCAGATCATTTCGCTCATGGACAAAGTAAGATTGCTCTACAAGTGGTTTATTGATTTTATTAGACAACCTGCCATTTATAGTGATGTTTTTTTTTTTCAGACAACTACTTTTTTTTTGTCCATTTCACAGTTGTATGTAGTCTTGGTGCACATGATATTCAGGTGCTATGTACAAAGAACAAGAAACATCAAATGGCGGTCACTCCAACAGAAAAAGGGATAAATAAAAACAAAGAAATAAAATAAATAATAGTTGTCCACTCCTGAATGTAGTATTGTATGATATGTGCACCGAGAAAGTTAACCGGTCGCTATTCAGCTGGAGGGCCGAGCTTTTGAGGTTCTTTTATGCTGCAAAAATACTTTGAGTTGGTAATGTTGTAAATTATACCAAGGTTGTTTTCCTGACTTGTAGCTGTTGAGGAAAGAGAATTTGGACCTGAAGTTGACACCTTACAAAGTATTGGCCACCAGCACCAAGCACGGTGAGACGTCACAACCCCTCACTCAATGAGGTTAAAATCATCCAATCAGTTATATACATTATAATATAATGATAATCTTATTATTTTCTTATTTCAGGTTTTATGCAGTTTGTTCAGTCTGTGCCTGTTGCTGAAGTCCTGGCTACCGAAGGCAACATCCAGGTGAGCAAAGCTATAGAATCGATCGGAATAAGCTGACGAGCGGCGCCATCTGTCCTTTTCATTCACTCCCATTTGTCGCCACAGAGCTTCTTCAGGAAGCATGCGCCGAGTGAAAAGGGCCCCTACGGCATCAGCTCAGAGGTGATGGACACCTACGTCAAGAGCTGCGGTGAGTCCCACTCAACGGTAGGGGTGTAACGATTCATTTTAACAACGATTCGATTCGAATCGCGATTCATGGTTGCCGATTCGATTCATGGACGATCTGGGTTAATTTAGAACGATTCGATTCAGTGACTTTACAGGACAGTGCAGGCAAAGTTTCTGAGATCCCTGTTGTTTCTTGTAAGGAAATCAGGTTTCAATTAATTATGGATATTATAAACAAGCAAACAACAATTAATGGAAAATGTATTAACCTTTTATTTGAATCAAGTGCCATTTTCAATGTAAACATTACACAATAATTACACAAGGTTTGGATCAATTCACAGAACCCTGGATTTTCAACCACATTGTAGGGTCACATGTCTTTACAGATAAACTTGGCAATTGTTACTGTGATGTTGAGTTTGGTGCTGGCGAGGCCTGAGGTGTCTGCAGAGCTGGAGTTACCTGCTGCTGCTGCTGCAGCGGTGACGCTGCTAGAGGCGCCTGACTGTCGGCGCTGTTTAATCCCACGACGCCTTAATAGATGGCCGGAAAGATTCGTCGTGTTTTTTTATTTGGCTTCTACCTATTCTACAAACAGCGACCGACTTATTTAGAACACCGTGTTTGCAAAAGCCAAAATGTTTCCACACACTGGATCGATAAGTTTGTTTGTAAATGTCTCGCTCGCAGTCGTCTTTCAATCGATTTGTAATCGTTATGTCGTCTAGAATGCCGATTTGCGGAGCACAGATCGATTTGGTTGGATCGCAGGAATATAAATCGATTAATCGATTCAGTGAATAAATCGTTACACCCCTACTCAACGGGGTTCAGTGTGTTGGTCTGCTGCATGCCTGCAGAAAAGGGTCTAACCGCCTCTCTCCCTTCGCCCCCCCCAGCGGGTTACTGCGTCATAACGTACATCCTGGGAGTGGGGGACAGACACCTGGACAACCTGCTCCTGACAAAGACCGGTGAGGCGGACGGCTTGTAGCTCACTGATTTACTAATAGCTCCTATTTTAAGGAGCGGTTTTAGAATGTTTTCTCTTCTCCTCATCCAGGGAAGCTGTTCCACATCGACTTTGGCTACATTCTGGGTCGAGACCCCAAACCGCTGCCCCCACCCATGAAGCTGAGCAAAGAGATGGTGGAGGGGATGGGAGGCATGCAGAGCGAGCAGTACCAGGAGTTCAGGAAGCAGTGCTACACCGCCTTCCTCCACCTCAGGAGGTCAGAGGCCGGACACACAAGAACAGAGAAATAACTATTTGTATATGTTGTATCTTCATCTTTGTAGAAGATTTCAACAATCCTAGTTGTTACTTTACACAAAAAAAAGTCACATTCCTGGTGTATGTACTCACTGCAAATAACGGTGCCAACTACATTACTCAACAAGTTTAACCACTGAAGTAAATTTGTCCTCCTTCCCTCCATTTCTTCAGATATTCCAACCTCATCCTGAATCTGTTTTCTCTCATGGTGGATGCCAATATTCCCGATATCGCCCTGGAGCCTGACAAGACCGTTAAGAAGGTGCGTCTGCTGATACCGGACAAGAACAAATACCAGCACTGGGGGGGGGGGTCATTTATCAGCCCAGATCATATGGATCTCAAATGATTACGCTGATATATCTCGAGTTATGTTTTAAATGCACCTCATCATGTTTTCCTCCAGGTGCAGGACAAGTTCAGACTGGACCTGTCGGACGAGGAGGCCGTCCATTACATGCAGAGTCTGATCGATGAGAGTGTGGGCGCTTTGTTCGCTGCTGTGGTCGAACAGATACACAAGTTTGCTCAGGTATGTAAACTGAGGCTGAAGTGTGTACCATTACATCACCGCTGCACATTCAACACATGATCACTGAATCTGAATCATTTTGTTCTTACTTCCAAATTTGCCATTCACTGTTTTTGTGTCTTTTGAATTTGCAGCGGCTTCTTTTTTATTATACACGTCTTGTCAAATTAGTGTATTTATTTTCTCTTGCAGCGTGTGTAGCTCTCGTACGTCGTTTAGCTTTATGGATTTTATGTTCAACATGTTGCAAGCTTCTTTACTGGATTTTCTCCAGTTGATTTTGCAATAGATAAACTGAGGCCAGTGTAATTTAATTCAGAACTTAATGCTTTAAAAAAAATTATATTAATTATAAATAGGCTGAAAGTTACAACACGTCTTGATAATTGGTCTTTTCTCATCACTATTTAGTACTGGCGGAGATGAGCAGAACAGAGAATGTTGAACCAAGACGACACTGCATCCAACTTTTGCAGCAGCGGCAAATCATGGTACGGCTTTCACTCGTCGGATGCCACGTGTCCACGAGGGAATCAAAGAAACCCAATGACACTGTTAAAAAGGCCAAGAATTCTCTGCCAACCTTCACTGCAAGATGGTTAAACAAGAACGTGGTTTCTGCTTTCTTAGGTGTGTATATAATGTATATTAATTATTAAATGAAAATGTATGGCCAAATAAAGATTGTTGATACAAGCGACCGCAGTGGCCTTTTTTTGACAACGGAAGTTTCAGTTGAATATTTTCCATCATTTTAAGCCCAAAATCGTTCTAGAAACAAAGTCACAGCAGAAACACATCGTAGCCTTAATTAAATCCACGTCAGTACATATCTTCAGAGGAATCACTTCGCCTGTTCCAGTTCCACTGTTGTGTAGTCAGGTGCTCGTCTGCACATGCCAGCTTCTTGCTTCATACAATAATCTCTCCACAAGGTAAATAAGCACTAAGCCTATTAATAAAAGCCATGCACACTGGCTGGTACATGGAGCCTTGGATAACCCCCAGGGTCTCTGTGTAATCTGGAAAAGGGGGAGAAGGGAAACAAACAATGCCGCATGGCGAAAAACCCCAAAGCTCCCCAATGTTGCGGAAAGAATGCAACACCAGCAAAACAGGAGGCGGGAAAGCAGATGTTCCTTGATTTGATGCTGGAGGCAGGATGAGGCGTCGGTCACGGGCAACGAAACTCCGATGGGGGCGAATGTGAGTCAGAAAGACCAATGAATGAAAAACTACCCTCGGTTATCACCTTGGGGGGGCAGAATAAAGGGCCTGCGGGCGGCTTCTTGGGGGGTGTCAGGAGTTTCTGAAGCTTACGGTCTGGACGGGCCAATATAGAGTCACTGGACCTCAGCACAAAAAGGCAGCGGAGGAAGAACCGCAACCAGATTTAGATATTTTCGCCGAATCATTTGTACACACAGAAAAACGGCTCCTTTTGGACCTTTAAACGACAATAAACTATTTCTGCTTCATTGGTGATTCTCACTCACCAGTTGATCCTCTGAGTCTCTCCGTCCAGCACACTGACTCATATCGGACAAACACAGAGGAATGTGCCGATACGTTTAAAACAGGGAGCCACATTTCTATGACTGGATGTTAGAGGACGTCTCGTGGCTCTAAATGGGGAATTGGATAATCGGGTCGTGACCCTTCATCTTCATCCTGCTCGTTATGGACACCATTCAAGGTCCACAAGAAATGAATGTCAGAGGTCATGTACAGAACGTCATCTTCAGGACTGGAAGGGATCCAATACCTCGAAGACATTTCAGAATGGCGAGCGTTTCTTGTAACGGGGTTTGAGCCTCACACTGATTTGTAAATAACGAGCATGACATGACCAAGAGACGCACGCACACGCACACCTTTATGGAGCAACGTTCGCTATGATTTGGTTTTTAGTCTTTCGGTCTCCATTTGGCCAAAATGTCTCTTTAAGAGAAACGGGATGCTGATTCCAGTCGGGTCCTTGCTGGAGGTCGAGCTTCATCCCTCCGGTGTCCCAGTACGATGCGCCCGAGCTGGGGTCGCGATGGGGAGGATCCCCGGTGTGATTCGAGGTCTGGTCTTGGTTAGAGGAGAGTTCTATGGAGATTTTATCGTCAGCAAACTCCAGGTGGATGTCACAAGGGTCGACGGGGAGCAAAGACACTGGATCCTGAACCGCCGCCTCATTGAAAGAAAATAACAATAAAATAAGAGCATGAAAAATCTGTCAGAAAAGGAAGTGTACTTGGTGTTAATGAATTCTGAGTGAAGTAAAAACACAAAATAGAAACATACAGGAATCTTGGGTTGATCTTCAGTGGTCGCTGCAGTGTCTCTTGGTCTATTCAGGAACACAGTGAGAAGTGGAAAAAGGAGCAGAGACGTCAGTCCGATTCCTAGAAAAAAGGCAGGCAGCAGGAGAAAACCTGAGGAGAAAAAACAACGCAGGTGCAACAAATGCTGCAGAATCTCACACAAAAGCTGAATCAACAGCGAGGCTGCACAATGACCTATGAACTACATCGTAGAAACTATTTTGAATGTTGTCATTGTGTCTTGGATGCGATTCCGACTAAGCTGCTTAAGGAAGTTTTTCCTTTAATTAGGACGTCTTTACTGGATATTATGAATCTTTTTTTTGTTGACGGGACACGTACCACAGTCCTTCAAGGTAGCCGTAATCAAACCTCTTCTTTTGTGAGGTGTTGAAGGCCTTTCCAAAACAAAGCAGAGTCACTTGCTGAGAACTGTGGTTGAAGCTTCTCAGAATACAGTCGTTTAGCATCTCTCACGGCCTTGCTAAACCTGTGTTTTGACAAGACTTTGTCCTCACTCCTAAATGCCTGATCCTTCTGCAGTATCCTGTTGCAGCGACTAGAACATTTGATTGGTATTAAAGGAACTGCACTCAGCGGGTTTAAATCCTATTTATCAGATCGATCCCAGTTTGTGCTTGTAAACGGTGAATCCTTGATCACCACCAATGTTGGTCACGGAGTCCCACAAGGTTCTGTGCTTGGACCGATTTTATTTACCCTCTATATGCTTCCTTTGGCCGACGTTATCAGAAAACACTGCATTGACTTCCATTGTTATGCAGACGATACTCAACTGTATCTGTCGATCAAGCCAGGTGAGACCGACCAGCTTGTTAAGACTTCAAGAATGTCTCGGAGACATCAAAACTTCAAAATAACGGAAGTTATCCTGATAGGCCCAGAGCGCCTTCGAAGTCAGCTGTCACGTGATACATTTTCTATAGATGGAATTGCTCTTGTATCCAGCAGCACAGTCAAGAATCTTGGAGTTCTCTTCGACCAGGGTATGTCCTTCAACTCTCACATAAAGAAGACTTCAAGGACTGTCTTTTTTCATCTACGTGATATATCGAAAAATCAGGAACTTCCTGTCTCATAGTGACGCAGAAAAATTAGTTCATGCGTTTGTCTCTTCTAGACTGGATTACTGTAATTCTTTGTTATCAGGCTGCTCTTGTAAATCTCTTAAGCCTCTCCAGTTGATTCAGAATGCTGCAGCACGTGTATTAACAAGAACTAAGAAAAGGGATCATATCACTCCTGTACTAACTTCTTTTCACTGGCTCCCTGTTAAATTTTTGTGCTTTCTCGCCTTGCAGGTCCCGTGGATCATAATTCTGTCTGGACCCTGTTCCTGACTCCTGCGTGGCCCCGCGGACACCTACCGCTTCTAACAACAGTGATATATTCTTCCCTTTTTTTCCCCCATGGAAGGGTTTACATGTGCCGATGTGTCAGAGTATGTGTACAGACTGTAAAGCCCTCTCAGGCAAATTTGTAATTTGCGATTTTGGGCTATCAGAAAATAAAATGAATTGATGAGGTTGACGATAGTGATATCCCAATTACATGATCTGCAATATTGGATATTATCGTTTTTACATCCCTCGCTTTCTCCTTTTTTTTAATTAAAAACATTGCGGTTTTGCAAAGATTCAGACTACCTGTGCAACACAGACACGTTTTAGTCTGCACCTTCTACTTGGATGTTTATTTGTTAATCAATATATACAATTTCTATCAGGACGTTTTTTCATCATTAAACACCTCTATTTTTGAAAAATAAATCTGAAATAAAAATATAATTGCCAAAGGCAGTTTTCCTCTCACCTGATTTGGACAGAGTCTGGACACACTGAGGGGCCGATTTCGGGGAAGCAGCCATGGAGAAGGTTGGGAAGGAGAAGTTGGCCACAGCACAGTAGTTCTGACCTGGAGCCAAACCAGAGAACTCCACATGGGACACCAGCTCCTGGGTCCAGACCGTGCGGCTCTGCAGGATCACGCAGCACTCTGCATGTTAGTTTACAGCGTTTTAATCTGAATGGAAATATTTAGTGTTCTCCGGTTTTACTGTGCAACAGTAGAGCAGGAGCCCATTCTGAATGTTTACTCAATGAGGAACCTTTAGGCTACATTATTTCAGGTATGCAGGTTGTTGTTTCTCATATATACATAATTAAATACCAACATAAGAGCATAAGATGTCGGACCTGGTACTCTGATTGATTGAGCTTGTTGTACACAGTTACTGTGGTCCAGGGGTCAATCATCTCAGAGATGGGACAACACCCCCCCAGAGAGCACCTCCTGTTGGCTGCACAGGGGAACTGCACCATCACAAGTAGCTGGTCGTCGCTCAAAGAGGCCGTGACGGAGGGAGGACTGAAGGCTTGACGGAGGGGGAGAGAGGGTGTTCATTTTCACATTCAACATCAAAAAGGTGACACTACTTTAACAAAAAAACGCGTTAAACCAAGTAAAACAGAGACACAGGTTTGTTAAGCTGTTGTATTGCAGGACGCGCAGACTCTCACTGACTGAAGTCACTGTAGTCAAACTTGCGTGGCCTCATCCAGGCGGTGGACACGGGGCCGAGGTGGACGCCCAGACGGACCATGTTGTACAGCTCGAAGTTTGAGAAGACGTGCGAGAGGTCACAGGTGTGGGACGAGAGCCAAACGCACCACGGTACGTCCTGCCAGGGGTCCCTGCAACGAGAGGACGCGGGTCAACATTTCAGCAGTGATCACGCTGCATTTTCACATTAAATGAGAATGAAATGGAAACCGTTCCTCCTGATTTCTTGTTAAGATGTCAAAAGACAGGATCTCACAATGGAGAAGATTATGCAACAGTTAATCCATGAGTCGGTTTGATTAGCCCCACACACACAATGTTTCAATTTTGACTGAAATTCTTATCAAACCATATGTTTGAAGTCTTTCTACAATTTATGCATTAAAACTAAATCGAATTGGACAAACCAGTAATACAACCTGTGCCATATGAGAGTGTTTTGTCTGAAAATAAATACGCTTTTTGCATTTTGTAGTAACGAAATGAGAACGTGGCACCTAACAGGATTAACACACACACACACTCACCCCTGCGTCTTTGTCTGCACGGTAAAGGTGGTATTAGGACTAACGTGGGGACAATCCCACCGCAGGAGGCATCCTAAGTCCAGTGATTCCACAGCAGTGTAGCAGACTGATCCAGTCGACCCTGGGAGGTTTACACGAAACCCATACACCAAAATAGCACCGTCACACAGATACTCACTAACCCGGTAAGTCCAAATGTTAACTTTGTTAACACTTGCAGGAATGTTCCCTCTCATTAGGGAGCAATGGCTGATTAAAAAAAATAAGAGCGAAACCGCTACAGAGAAGTTGAATAAAAACACGTTCGCTTCAGCGCTCACCGATGATCAGCAGGGCAACGACGGCACACGAGCACAATCCCATCGTGGCGGCTCCCGGTGTCTCCATGGCAACGTGGCGACCTCTGGATCGAGGCAGATTGGCGAGGGTCTTACTGTACAGTGCAAGCTCCTTTTTTTTTTGAAGCAAGACCCCATGGACGGGCAGCGCGCGCTGCAGACAGAGCGGTGGAGTGGAGCAGGGAGGTGGAAGGGGTGGAGGGATAAGGATTCAATTGAAGGCCAGTGATTTTGTTAAGAGAGCTGATAGGCTGTAATCTACTTAGAGGACGAAGAAAAGTTTGCGAGACAGACGGTTACAGGCCGAACACAAACTTGTTTTATGAATATAATAGATTTAGTCATGTGCATGGGTTACATTTCACTTTAAAAAAAAAAAAATAATAGTCCCAGTGACTTCATGCTGATCCATCAAACAGTAGCGGAGATCTTTCATTCTGGATTTCTCACAACTCAAAAAGTTAAATGAAAGCCGATACGTGTCAGAACTGCATTCCATCTGTTTATTCAATGTCTTCTATAAATAATAACAATCTGTACATCTCTTAAGCAGGTCTTTGACCGTTCATTCCCAAAAGTGATCATAGACAACTTTCCTTATTAACATTAATACAGTTGAAGTGCTTAACCAGGCAACCCAAAGGGCCAATAGAGATCATACAGCAACAAAAGGGTCAAAAGAAGTGTGCACAGCGCACACACACACACACACACACGCGCACACACACACACACACACACACACAATCAGTGCACCATACACGCTCTTGATAATTAAATACACTAAAGCAAAATTTGGCTGTTCATTCAGAAACAGCACCAAACATAACAGCGGTAATAATAATAATACTAAAGCTTTCCCCTCAGCCCAGCAGAGGGCGACATGCAACAAGCTGCCAGCAAAGACGCCAGTTCTTTGTCCCGCAGCATTCTGGGAGTGTGTTTTAGCAAACAGATTGTGCGCAAAACAAGTGTGTCTGGGAAAATAAGCATTGTTTCGCTGCGTTAAAATCTGTGCAAATTCTTAGGAGACCCACTTAATGTCCAGGCGAGGGCTTCTAGTGCCGAACACTTATTGTCGTCCGTGTGCACTTGGTGCGTCGAGGTTTAAGTCTGCGCCCCCGGTAAGGCGAGTCCCGGCTCCAGGCTGGCGGCCGTGGGGGTCGGAGAGGGCGGCGGGCCGAGCAGGCCGCGCGAGGCCGCGCCGTCGCCGTTCAAGTTCTTGTAAGGGTTCCTGCGCGGCGGCGCTCTGAGACACAGCGAGGGGAAGCGGAGGCCGGCGAGGCAGCAGCCGGGACAGGAGAGCACCTCCTCCTGGTCCGGAGAGCGTCCGCTCCCTCCCGAGCCGAACGGGGACGAGCCGCCGGGGTCGCCGGGGGGCGAGTGGTAACCGTTGTTGTTGTTGGTGGTGGTGGTGGTCGTGGTGCTCCGGCCCAATTGTCGACTCACGGCCGCGTTGTTGTTGTCCAAACGAGAGAGGGGGGGCAGGCAGGGGGGCCCGTTGGAGATGGCCGACCCCCAGCCGTTGGACAAGGGAGGGTTGGAGGACTGCCGGGGGGTGGAGGAGTGGGCCGGAGCAGGGGAGAGCTCCGAGTGAGGGGATGACGCGCTGTCCTGGGTGTTCGGGGAGCTGGTGCAGTCCATGGGCTCTTCCTCGCCCCCGTCCTCCTCTTCCTCCTCTTCCTCCTGGTCCATCAGGTCGAGCGACAGGGGCTCAAAGGACAGAGGGAGACCAGAGTCAGCGCGGCTCCCCTCCCTGACCCCCGTCTGCCCTCCCGACAGTCCCTCCTCTCCACCCGTCCCGTTCACGGTGTCCAGCTCGGACTCCTCGGTCAGGACGCTGCTCGGCGCCGACGTGAGGTGCGGAGGGGGCGTGCACGGCAGCGAGTGGCAGCGCCGGTGCCTCCTCGGCAGCTCAGAGCTGTCGCCCTCGGACCCGGCGGGGTCGTTGCAGTCCGGTGGGGGGGGCAGGGTGAAGGTGAGGGAGATGACGGACTTGCTGGGCGTGTCGAACAGCTTGATCTTGCCCCCCTTGAGGTCCGCCCTGTGGGAGAAGGGGTTGACCCGAGCAGGGGTTGCCGTGGTGCCAGGAGGGGGCGTGTCCAGGGGGTGGAGCATGTCCGATTTGCTGCGGGAGAGGCGGGGATCTGACGGGAGGCAGAGGGAGCGCCTCCGCAGGGGGCAGATTGTCGGCGAAACAGCTTGAAGGGGGGAAAAAAAAAAAACGTGAAACACATTAATGTTCAGGAACAAACGGGTTTACCATCCGGCGCTTCCAGGACACGGGATTTCTGACTCACCTTTGACCGTTAGTTCGGCTCGCCGTTTCCTCTCGGCCTGTCTGCTCTCCAGCTCCACCACGATTTGGGAAAAGGACGGACGGAGCTTTGAATTCATCTGACAGAAATTAAAAGGATTTGAGGAGATTTAAACCACGCATGGTGAGGATGCAACATTTCGGGCTTGAATCAATCACTTGAAATGAGGGTTTGAGCGTTTCAACAGATAAGAAGAAGGTTACAGAACTCTCTGCAGTTGCTCCGTTTAAACATGACCGAATCCCTATGGATTACGCTCACTGCTCAAACTAAATTTAGAATATGTTATGAAAGAGGCAAAGGCAACTTAGAGTATTATACAACATTCCTGCTATGAATTAATGTTTTTAATTTGTTGATTCAGCTGCATCGATTTGTGGGATTTGGTTAATGGGGCGGTTACATTGTGTCATGAATTACTATAATGCACCTACTATTAAGCAGAACTTCCTCAGACTTTCTATATAGAAATAGACCAAAAAGGCTCTCGACACAGGTGACCTGGCCGAAAAGACGAGGAGGCAGGGTGTGTGCGTGTGTGTGACAGGTGAGTGCTTCTTACATTACAGCAGGTGAAGGCCAATTCCAGGAAGTGAGGGGGACAGTCGCCCGCCATCTCCTGAAAGTTCGCCTCATCCAAACCAAAGTCCTGAACAAAAACACAAATGTTCGAAAAACACACGTGAGGACTTTGTGTACATCTCAAAGAAAGATTTTTTTGGCACTATTGCAGAAACCCTTTTGAGAAATGCAAACCGGTCCAGATAAAAAAAAACCAGCTTCCTGTTTGTTCAAGATTAAATCTACACCATTCCACATTTAAAAATATAACTGCAACGGCAAAGTAAAATGATTTGAAGTTTGGACATTGCAGCTTGCACAGCGTTTTAAAAAGCTGACAGCCCTCGGGCTGTGGATTAGCACAGGAGCTCTCTTTATCAATAATTGTTTCACTTAATCAGGCAATAAAATAACATGAGTCGCCATGACACACGACGCGAGCATGATGAGAACGTGATGACGAGGGGACGGAGGAAACCGCGGCGACGACGGCTTCGTACCACAGTGCGCGGCAGGACGTCGGGGTCGGCTTGTGTCCTCGCGATGATCTCGCACAGGATGATGCCGTATGCAAACACGTCCACCTGCAGAGACACAGGGAGACGATCAGAGAGACACGCGGCACAGGTCCAACGAAACGGTTTCATTAAACCCAACTGCATTAAATCATCAACCTTTTTAAGCGCAAAAAAGGATATCCGTCACAGGAAAATAAAACATTCCAGCCAAGGGAGAACACCCAGTACACAAAGAAGCTGGATTATATAATATTTATACGCCTGACTACCGGCCTTTGTTTGATTGTCTTTCATCACGCCCATTGCGGACCTTGACCTCTCGCAATAAGCTGCAGCTGAAAGGGAGAGAACGCGGCGCTCCGTCAGTACCTTCTCATTATACAGCTCTCCTCTGAGCACCTCCGGGGCCATCCAGTAGGGGGAGCCGACCACAGCCAGAGGCTCCTGGTCCTCCTCTTCGCTACAGGAGGACACAAGAGGAGGGGGGGGGCAGAGGGGGACTCGTGTTACAGCAGGACCCGATATTGTGTAAAAGGATTTTCTTGACATATTGGTGAAACCCGGCTCGTCCTCTGCTTCGGAAAAAAAAGAAGTTATGTGGAGATATCGTTAAGCAACTTTAGCCGAATTAAAAAAGGAACACAAGAATGTGCAAGTACACACAAAGCACACACACACACACACACACACATCCTTTCTGTGCTATTTCCATCTGCTACTGCGAAAAAACATTGCGAGGGAAGTGATGGCAGGAGGAAAGATGAAGAGCCAAGACGGCCGTGGCTCCCAACGTAAACACCATTCGGAGAAGTAGGCCGACAGAAAGGAGAGAACAGAGAGAGTACGTGGTGGGGGGAGGATAGGGGGGAGAGGGGGTGTACAGTAAGGACACCAGAGGAATGATGGGAGATTAAAGGACAGGAATGGCTTGTTCTACCAGGGGCAGCAGAGACCCAGTAGACACAAAAATAACTGGAATAGAGTGACCTTTTTTGCAGTGCTGCTTCCACCCACCCCCAAAAAACAAACGCACACATTCAATAGGGTTGTCAACATCGCCCAATCGCTGTCAGCGCTCTGCGACGGGGTACAACAGTGTTTGACTACAATGTAAACGCAGACGTGACCTTGAAGAGACGGGATCAGAATCCACCAGCTGCCGCTGAAAGAGCAGCTAAAGCGGAGCGGAGGCTTCGCGCTCGAGAGGCTTCCCCGTGTGACGCGTGGGACCTCGTAGCTTCGTTAGTGGCTGAAGGGAAACGCATGCAGCTCACGGAGGCAAAAAGGCAGTGACTCGTTTGACCTCGTGGCACTTGGTTGGAATATTTCCATTTTGGAAGACTTCAAAATAGTTTCTTGCCAGGAGGTCGATGACAAGAGTGATTCCAGCCTCGACTTTCCTCCATTAAACTGGCAACAATCCATATTTTAGGGCATGGAAATATACTCCGAGTCTGAACTAGACATTTTATTATATTTATTTTTGGAGTTTCTTCCCGGTAACGGCTGATAAACTTTATATTTTACACTTTTAGAGATCTTTGTCGCGTCCCCATTTAACATTTTTTTAAAGATTTTCCTTTGCACAACGCTGTAATTCCCAAGGAATGCTGTTAAGACGGTATGCTTTAGCAAACACTTTCATTTCCTTCCTCGCCTTGAAAAACGATACCACGCGTCGTTAACGGAGATGTGACGTCGCCGGAGAGCCGCATGAAGGAAATCTAACTCGATAGCTTTAACTCCGCGGGTCCGTCGGCGTTGAATTAATGACAGCGCGTAAAATACGGCTCATGAATGTCAGAAAAAAAAAACACATGCAGCTGCAAACACAAGAGGCGGAAACGCAACGAGACGACGACGACAACAGAGCGTCTTTAAACGATGCTTTACAGCAATAAAAAGGCGTGTGTGTTTTATGTAAACACCTGGCTGTGTTTATGCGCGAGTAATGTGTCTCTTTCGCTGTGTGATTGCGTGCCATCCGAGGGGAAAGCGACGCTGTGGGAGACGTTTGCGAACACTTATCTCAGATAGATATGGCCCGAGGGGGGGAGAAGTACGACAAAGGGGAGAAGTGGAGGAATGTGATTTATTGAGCGCGACTTATCTAATCGCAGCGTGTTGATGGAAGGTTTGATGAACGGACCGACCTGTAGTCTGGGATTTTCTCCGCCAGGCCCAAGTCTCCCACGATGGCCGAGCACACGCAGCCCTCCCAGCGCACCAGGCAATTCTGCACAGAGGGGTCAGAGGTCACACACACACACACACACACACACAGACGCGTCACGATTACTGCTGTCAGATGCGTGTCCAGTGCGAGCATTCCTTCATACATCGCTGCCTGTGCTCCTCTGTGTGCATTTCCACAGTGATTTAAGACGTTTCCGTGCAGTGCTTTTTTCCATTCGCTTCAAACGGGCTTTTTAAGTGACATTATTAAAGTCAGTAGGCGAAGAACTGCAGGTTTTTCCACCTCGCTCGAGAAGGCCAACTTGACCACAATGTCTCCTCAAATCTCACTTGCTAATTGCAAACAGTTTCAGCACGTCAACATTTCAGACATTCAAGCCATAAAATCTAAATAGAAGGCGTCATGTATTTCTTTCTGCTATAATGTTTCACAGCTTCATGTACACTCTTTTTTTTTACAAATCCATCGCTACATTACGAGCAGACTCCTGACGTTCAGTAGTGTGTGTGTGTGTGTGTGTGTGTGTTCACTGAAACGTGCCCGAGTCGTCACCTTGGAGGTGAGGTCCCTGTGGAAGATGCCCTTGCTGTGCAGGTACTGAAGTCCCCGAGCGACGCCCAGAGCCAGAGTGATCCGCACGCTCCACGACAGATGCACGTCGCTGCCCAACAGCTGCTCCAAGTTGCCGCCGTTTATGTACTGGATCGTCGGGATAAACGGCAAACAAATGGAGTCAACGATTAACTCGAGAATCAGAGCGCACAGAGGTCATTCCATTTCGAAAATGCATCAATAGCAATAAAAAAAATGGGCAAATGAAATGTTACAGCCAGTCATTACATACGCATTACATTAATAAAGATTTAGTTTCTTTTATCAGTGAGGTTATCAGGTTTTTCTTTTTCTTTCTTTATTCCTTTATGATCCCGTTTTAGTTGATGGGTCCATAGTTTTATTGCGCCTTAAAAAGGTGACATGACAGTTACACAAGACAATCATTTGTTAAAAATGCCACATCATTTTAAGGATTCCACTTCTAAAATAAGTTTAGTTACTCTTTTAGTTTTGCTACTCTTGTGATCGAAGAAACAGGGAACAAGGTCACACTGCAGCAATAAACATTATAATAAATCATTTCCCCTTTTCTGACACTGTGTTAATCTTTAAGATTAATTGTCTTATAGAAAAGTTCATCTGCTGGCTCATGATGGGGATTTCAGTTCCCTTCTCAGGCTCTTTGGAATCCACGTGTGCCTGAAACCTGATGAGCTTTTCAATAAATGCAACACAATGACACAACAACAAATCCCCCCTCATCCCCCTTTCACTGATGAGCAGCTCTGTTACCACGACTACGACGCGTTTAAGAAACAGGTGAAATGTCACAACACGCCTGACCTCAATCTGTGCAACACAGTTGAAAAAAACCCTCAATCCAAGCGTCAATGATCCGACTATTTAGCAAAACAATAAAAGAAATACTGATTTACAGCCAAGAAATAGCAGCAATCTACACATCGGAATTACACTTAAAGATTTTAGTAATAGTTTTAATTGGTTGAAATCTGAAACCCCAACAGAGCATAAAGCCAAACGATGATTTTCATGATTTTCAACCCAGATGTAATAACTTCATAAATGTCTCAACAATAAGTAAGATGTGCAGGTTTTAGTAGGTTGTGTCAATTTTGCTGGCCGGCGTCACAGTTTCTAACATCTATATGTGGACCAAAGTGTTACTTGATTTGACAAAATCAATTGACAAAAGAGATAAAAACCGGATACAAACGTGCCGTAATCGTAGCATGCAGCATTACCTCTGTGAGGGCGTGCAGCTGCCCCTCGTGGACGCACACGCCGATGAACCTGGAAGCAGAGCAGACAAACAGCGGTTTCTACACGCGGAAAAGAAGGTCTGACAACACAATAGGTAGAAGGGAAAATGAAAAGGACGGCGCATATTGAGTCGAATGTTTCAGTTACCGGAGAATGTTGGGGTGCGATAGTCTGTTCATGAGCTGCACCTCCCGCAGCATGTTGGCTTTGTTGCTGGCCAAGATGTTCATCTTCAGAGCCATCACCTGGCCGGACACACGGTGCTGCACCTGCACCCAAAACCACAACGTTACTCATTTTGCTCCAGTACCGTTGCACAAATCTTAAAAAGATTTCTTTAAACGGCGGCAGTCACATGTGCGGAAATCGGAAAGCACAGGCGATGTCGCGTCGGCAAGTGCGCTTTTTAAAACAAACAGGAAATGAATGCCAGAAACATATGGACGTGCACGCGAGCAGAGATAACCCGCTAAACAGGACAGTCCTTCAGCAAAGTATTTATGAATGTAATTAATTACAAATGCATAAAACACACTGAAGTAATAGTGTGAGACTAATGGAACACTAGCAGGTCAGAGTGTCTTAGTTCTGCTGCTTCAGTACCCCGACCTGCTTCTACAGGATTTGCTCGGTCTGGTACAGCAACCATGGCGACACCAACCCCCCCCCATGCTACATGTCCCTGCAGATTTTCTTGGCAAGTAGACATACTTGCAAAAGGAAAGAAACAAGCAGCAGACGGGCACTAAAACCTCACGCAGTGTGTAGAGAGAAGAGGCGTTTCTGAGAGCGACTGTGTGTTACATCGTGTGTGAGTGTGTCGGTGAGAAAAGCGCAGTACTGAATGTGTTTGCAATCACCAGCGTTGGATGCTGCAAAAGTCAGGGATGGTTTATTTTAGTTTTCAATAATCGTATATTTTATATTTTTTATGTCTGTAGCATTCGGGTTTAAAAGCCTAACCTGAATATTTAACACACGATCTGATCATAGTTTGAATTACAGGCCCGTGTCACCGTTGTGTTTTCATTCCATTGCTGATGAGAACAACACTTTGAAAGGATTACAAAACACGTTGTGCATTCCTACCATATCATTGGAGGCTCAGCATGCTAACAGCTTAACGCTCACATTAGCTGCACTAACATGCAGATGACATCAACATAAAAAGGCAATGAGTTTGCTTGTAAACAAAAATAAATAAATAAATAAAACCTCTCACGTCGGCATGTTAGCACAACACCACACAGGCTAATTAGCACATTGGGTTGTGGTTGTTGCCACACTTTTGTTTGCATGTAGACCCTGCAATCAGGCTTTTAATGCCACATTTCATTCAATCTAAAGTTGAACCGGCTCGGGAGAGTTTCAGGTTGTGACTTAATTAGTGTGCAATGGAAGAATGAGGGAGAGTGTGTGTGTGTGGGGTCCAAGTCTGGAAGTAAGAAGTGTTGAACTGAAGTCAGTGAGACACTGGCCTGAATCTGAGCCGGGCTCCGGATCAAAGTAGTGATGGAAACGGACCACAAAGCCTATTAGGGACGAGACTATAGTGCAGCGAGTAAAAAAAACACACACTCCGGTCAACGGGAGTCGATCTCTGCAACCACACTAAATCCTTCCTCTACAGGATGTTAGACTGGTCAAGTGTTGCACACATGCATGGATGCACACATGTAAATTACACACACACACACACACACACACACACACACACACACACACACACACACACACACACACACACACACACACACACACACACACACACACACACACACACACACACACACACACACACACACACTAGTTTGCTTCTTCTCGCGAAAAGGAAGTTGGAGCAGAAATTCAAAGTGTCTTCATGTATTAGCAGCACTTAGGAGGTTGATGCAGAGTGCTGCAGGCTGGTGGATGGAGCTCTGGGCTCTGGAGCCGATCAGGTTTCCTTCGACAATCAGCCTCCTCCAGCTTCCATTAGTGCAGATTTATCGGCCGTGCAGGACTGCAGGGCTGTGGACTTACATCACACTTGCCTGCTTCCACAAACACACACACACACACATCTGGCTTCTCACTTAGTTGAAGAAACTCCTGCATGCTTGTCTAGCATCCCGAGAATAACAGCGACTTACACACTCGCCCACACGGACACACACTGTAACGTAGGCGTGATACAGTGAAAATGTGAGCCAACTGCTGAGGCAGCAGTGGTGGGAATCGACACGCTCAGTCACTGTTCAGTCTAGTCCCGACGGCTTTAAGCTTGCAGATAAACAACTTCTCACTCATCATTAGCGAGGTCATTTTCTCAGGTGTGTGTGTGTGTATCTGTGTGGCAAAGCAAATGAGAGACAAATGTGGGGTGTCATTTTTCTGGAGAACCAAACCACTTTACTGGTCGTCTCCATGCACTCGCCACTGGAATGCCGCTGTCCACGCCTACGTCGAGATCACCCCACGATACGGAGCAATTACACACACACGCAACAGATGCATGCATGCGGTCAGACACACCCCGGAGCTCTCCTTCAAAACACACGCGGCCTTGTAGAGTGCTGCAGTCAGCAGAGGAAAGGTCGCGGGCAAACATGTGCGCCAGCGTCTGTCATTAGCCGGCGGCCCGACGAGGGCGCCTGATGGAGGGAAGAGAGGAAGAGGAGGAGGAGGAGTCGGAGGCTGCACAGGGCGGAAGAAATGCGGTAGACCTTTACAGAGAGCTGGGAGTTCAGTCCATTCAGTGGACTTTGTGCTATTTAGAAAATATGGGGAGAGATGAACTTGAGCCAATATAAAGGACGCAGATGTTTCTTTCCTCGGTGGTGGCTTCATCCAGGTTTGTTCCACGTTGGTGCCTCTGGACACTTTGTCACCTCCAAAGGCCTTTTTTCTCTCGTGGTTTTCGAGGGTAATTCCCAACATCCCCATGTTATCATGGATGAGGGAGGATGAGGGGCTTGCAAACAAAAAAAACTGAAGGGACTGAGAGTGAAACCCCCCCCCCCTTCCCCAGAGGGGTTGAACTACAGTCGCTCTGTCTGCGCGTGGAATTGAGAAAATGAGCTTCTCCCACCGAACAACTGAAGGCTTGAGCCGCCGCCTGAGGGGCTGCTCTCAGTTACAGCGTGAAGAAGAAAAAAAGCGCGTGTGTGAAGGCGACCGAAAACGAGGCCCTCACTCAGTCATCAGTGAGCCAGGCGGGAGGTCGTCCCCCCGTGTGGAAGGGTCGGGATCAAAAGCACAACCTGATGTAGCAGGCGAACGTGCTCGGTAGCCGACAAGCTGGCACACAACGGCTCACTCGGTCTGTTGCACAACAACAACAAAACTGGGCTGGCCCCTCCCCCCCTCCTCTTCTTCTTCTTCTTCTTCTTCTTCGTCGTGCATAACCCTGATAAACACGACGGGGGCACTCGAGGTTTCCATGCAGAAACGTTACCTCACAGAGCGGCGGCCCACCAGACCGTTGCTTCGGTCTTGATGTCAGGAGGTGCCGATAAAACCCACCGAGCTCCATAAAAAAACATTCCTCCATCCCGGTGGTTCTGCCGGGAGGCACCCATGCAAACCCTGAGCCTACTGTTTACCTTCTTTAAAAAATGGGGGTGGGGGGGGGGGGGGGAGCGGCCTCCCTTGCAGTTTGGCGGCCACGGTGCCAACATGCGTACGGGGGAAGGGGGGCGTTGATGTAAACACACATGCACTCCTCGGATAATCTCATAACAACGCCGGTAACCATTAATGGAGAGGAGGAGGGCGTTGGAATCAGACCAACGAGACTCCTCCATCTCCACCCCTCGTCCGTCCTGTTTGCGCGGCTGTGCGGGAACGTAAACAACGCTGAGCACTCGCGGGGCGAGCAGGCCCGGACTGGACCCGGGGAGCGGAGGAACAACGGGGGCGAGAGCTGCCGGGGGGGTTCAAGTCTGCACTGGTGCGCCGGTGACGGCCGATGATGGATGGCGGTTTGCGTGCAACTTCTTTTGTTGCCGCTTTATCTTTCGGGGAGTCGACATTGTTGCGGCAGGAAGGATTTACCGAGAACGGGCCGCGTCCCGACGGGAGGGTCCCGCCGCGAGCATCTCCGGCTCGCGTGCACGGCCTCCCCCGTTTACCAGAGAGTTGGAGATGTGAGAAAAAGAGGATCCCGCTGAATGTTCAGAAAGATCACGTATGAGATAAACGACTTCCTGCACCCAACTGACATTGTGACATGTGTGCAGCACAAAATGTTGACGGTATGGTGTTTTTCTGTGGAAAAATTGTTTAGAATTTACATTTTTGACATGTTCTGGTTGTTTCAGTTCAATAATAATGAATTAAATATTTGGGGGGGGGATTAAGCCTGTTGGTTGGAGCGAGACACTTGAAGAAATTTGCTTTGGTTGTTGTAGATGTGAATGCATTATTCACTCATTTCTGAACTCTTAAATATAAATGGAGCGCAGAATTAAGAAAACTAAATTTCCTACAAAATAATGAGGGTTTTAGGCGGCGAAAACTATTAAAACAAAAACAAAACTATCAAATTTCATAATATTAACTGCAGCTTAAGTATATGCAAATTTTAAAAGAGGCCAATTGTAACTGCATTTTTTTTTTTATGGTTTCACTGTCAGATGAAAAGCTAATAAACACAACTCACACGTCGTACTCACACTGTGCACACACACACACGCACACACACGCACACACACGCACGCAGAGCGTCACCAGCAGCTGCCACACATCGTTGTCATCGTCACTCAGGTTAATAGTATTTGTCCTTCGGAGACGCCAGTCTGTTTTAAATCCCCTCTTTATGTAATTGCTCCTTATTCTATTATCATATCTCCTGTGAGCACACACACACACACACAAACACACACTTAGCAAAATCCCAGCAGTTATGATAATTACCATGATGACTAGTTTTGTTCTGCAGAAACTCTCGCGTTAATCTCTTTTAAATTCAGTTCTACCTCCCACTTGTCGCCAACCATTATCAAGGCAAACATTTTGTCATCGGAGCTGAAATTACGAAGACGCTGAGCTACAAGACAATCAGAGCGTGTCAACCGGTGCCGTCGGCTGTTGAGATAAGCGCAATAAACCAGGGTGTGCCCTGACTAACAGTCACTCAAGTACCGGAGCAACAGATTGAAACATTTCCCGATGAATAACATTGCCCATTGATGTCAACATACTGGCATTTAGCTCAACGTAGCTACGCAATAAGACGGTGGTCCTGGCTCGGGTCAACCGAAGCTTAAATCTGGCCCTCAGTTTTCTATAAATTAAGCAATGAAGCTTCATAAATGCTTCCCCGACAAAGTGATATCAATCTTCTCATTCAACTCTTGGCAAGAAAGTAAATGAGTGTTTGCCACTAAACTGCGGCACCATTTCTTTGGAATGCAAAAAAAAGCCTGCCGGTGTGGCAGAAGATTAGCAGTAAGCAAAGCTGACCATAAGCCTTCTGATTGGACAGAGAATAAGGCACTAAAGTCCCTTTGCGCCAAAATGCTGCGGGATTTCCGTGTCAGACGTAAATTGTACATAAAATCTGTTATCGGTGTTGTGCAAATATGCCGTTCCTTTATCAGAATGAATCAGAAACAGCCGGAAAATGACGCAGTGATCCAACAAGAAATCAATACGACTTGTTAAGTTAACAACCGGACAGAACGCACATCTAATTACTTCCTGCAGTTAAAGCAACCGTTGAGCTGTGGTGCAATGGATTTGTGCTCGAGACGTTTTACTGCTTTTATCCTTTTAGGCTGTTTGAAGCCGATGAGGGAAGAAAGCAGAAAGAAAACAGAAGTGGGAGTCTTACACAAGAACACACACACACACACACACACACACACACACACACACACACACACACACACACACACACACACACACACACACACACACACACACACACACACACACACCTTTGAAGATCATTAAAAAAGGAAGATGAATAAACCACAACTGAAAAATGTGGCTCCACACGTACACTCTCCCATCCTCTCTCCCTCTTTTTCCGTCTTTCACGCTGCGGTCGCCCGATTGTACAGCGCGGAGGTGAGTGTCCCGTCTGCAACCTGCATGGAGCTGCAGCGAGTGCACACAAACACACACACACACACACACACACACACACACACACACACACACACGTAGAGGACAGCAGGAGCCCTCATAGCCGAGTGCCGGACGTCCATTCCACTCAAGTAAAGACGCAATACGCATTTCAGTTTTTAAGAGTTGTTTTGGCGGCAGGACAGCGAGGCCCCGGACTCAGCCGACCGGGGAACAATCAGTCAGTCAGCCGTCTTGGCAAAGTTTTTAAACGTGACTGATGGCAACAATTTGGGCATTTACATGGCGCTATCAGAAGGGCAGGGCGATCCAAACCTGAGTGGCAATTTGACAAGCGAGCAGTAAACGCGCTGACATTTGCATGCTCATCGGCCACGCAAAGGGCAAAGCCGAGGGAGGGGCTTAGAAGAGCGTCACAACACGAGAAGACTCATTTAATGAGGCGAGGGTCGACTTGGCCACACAAGCTATTACCTTCAATGCCGAGATGCCAACGCCTTGGCACTGCGAGGATTAAATACGTCGGTTTGAATCCCTGAGGTGGCACGAGTGCCTCCACAATGCCGGCCGTTATGCATACGGCTACAATTATTGTTTATTCCGCTCATGCCCAACAGTTCACTGATCGCCACTCAAGTATTCCAGCGTTTTCCAAACGCATCAATATCAGAGTATTTCACTATTATTTTGCCGGCCGTAACTAATTATCTTCATTGTGTTTCTTCAGAGTTACACTAGATTTTATGATGAATCAATTGATAACTAAATGCAAGAGAATCCCTAATGTGGAAACTGTCCCCGGAACCAGAGGCGACGTCTTCTGTTTGACAAACAATCAACTGAGAGAGCTGTAACGTTCTGCACCATCTTCAGACTCGATAATAGAAAGAGGAAACTACAGATCTTCGACACTGGCAGCCCTTTCATGCTGAAGATGAAGAGCGTTAAAACAAGAGCCTGGGAAGTTTTTATCCCTAAAAACAACATCATCATCATGTAACTCCACTTCTGAAATTAGCGCGGTTAGCTGCCTGTCCAACCCCCCAGCCCCCTCTCTGTATTGTGACATCTCTCACGCCATCACGCTGTTCTGGCAGAGCCCCCAGTAATGAGGCCATCTTCAGAATTAGCCTCTGTGCAGTCGACCAGCAGTGTGACCAACGGAGGGGGGTGCTGTTCTGTACAGAGAGGGAGGGTATAAGGTTACACCCCCCCCCACCACCACCCGTGTGTCAAATCTACCTGTCCGGACCGTATCCACTTACATCCCAACACGCGTGTTCCCCTTACACAACATGTGGGTCACCACAAACCAGTGGGCGGAGGAGACAATGAGATGTACATTTTCACCGCAAACGCCGTCCGCTCCCAGAAAAAAAAAAAAAAAAACCTCCATCCCAAACTTCCGCCTATGATTATCGTGCATCTTAGTGCTGGGGTTCAGGTGCACTAGTTGCCATAGATACCACTAACTTTAAGTTAACAGGACAACAACAACAACTTGTTCAGAGCGGTCAAAAAAGTTTGGTTCTGTTCGCAGTATTGTCCAATCAAGCGATCCCAAACAGACATGGACTTTGTGTAACCATGGAGACGAGGAGGACTAAAGTACACCCATAAGCGAGGGGGGGGGGGGGGGGGGTGTCCTAAAGCAGTCTCTCTCACCTTGAACACCTCGGAGAAAAAGCCCGCACCGATCTTCTCGCAGGTGAAGTCGTCTAAGCGCGCCAGGCTGGACACGGCGCTGCGCAGGGCCCGGTAGGAGGAAGGTCTGGTCCGGTTGGTCCCGTGCACGCTGTGCATGGGCGGCTCTGCCTCCATCTCCATCTCCATCTCGCCACGGGAAAAGGAAAAGGGGGTGGGAGGAGAAGGTGGGAAGTGTGCGTAGTTTAAAATCCAGCCCGACCACTGTTTACATTTCCCATGTCCGGGCGCAGGGCTCCCCGGAGGGGCGGAGTGATACACTCTCAAGTAGGGGGGGGGGGGGAATCAAACGTCGCAGCTGTGGCGAGCGACCGGTTTGTCCCAATCTCCCCTCCCCAGTCAAGACTTCCTGCACACGGCCGGAACAGTCTTGTTTCCGTCGTAGACTACCAAACCACGCGGCTGCGGCGCTGCATCCTGCAGAGTCAGTGCGCAGTTTGTTTTATTGGCGAAGTCCCCCGTGCCGTGCGCACACTGCGCACACTGCGCAGGCTGCTGCTGCTGCTGCTGCTGTCTTGGCAGCGGCGTCTTTTTCGGTTTCCTCAACTCTGCTCTACTGTCCTCTCCTCTCCTCCTGCAGTGGAGGAGGCCGGTGCTCCCCTCCTGCTTCCACCAATTGAATCCCGGGTTTCCAGTGCGCACGGAGCGGCCTCGATGACGCTGCAGCCTATTGGAGCCGGGGAGAGGCAGAGTGTTAGGAAAGGGGGGGCGGGAACAAGGGGGCGTTAATTCGCGTAATCATAACGCGTGTGCGTGATCGGAGGCTGATCGGACACTGAAACTCCTGCACGCGCCGGCTGAGCTGCAAAAGACGTAGTGGCAATGACACGGGAAGCTGCGCATGAATCAGAAGTTTGCGCGCCTTTTTATGGGAAATCCATCAGAGCACCGTTTTTAACATCCGCTCTTCAGAGGCACTTTGCACAAACACCCGCGCGGGCGTTTTTATTACTGAATCCCGTCGCTCAAGCGGTGTTCATGGGGGACATAATGTCCCCTCGTTCTTATGGGTGGGGGGGGGGGGGGTGGTGGTCTCTGAACATGCGCACGCCGCCTGCCGGTGCAGGGACACGCGGAGGCGCGGAGCTCCTCAGCCTGACTGCGGCGTGTAAATTATGGATGGCGAACTGTGCGGAGTTCGTGAGCGCGTCTATCGCGGACTTAAGTCTCCCTCCGGAAACGCAAACGCACACACGCGTACGTTTCAGAATCAGGACCCGAAAGAGGAACGGAAACAAAAAAAAAATAAACCGCTGACGCACAACTGCAAAGAAGGCGCGCGGACACGCGTGTCCTCCCGCTGAAGGAGGATCGGACTCACCTGGCCTTCTTGTTAAAACGCCACCTCCACGTGCACCGAGTCCCGAGCCCCAGATCAGCCCGGTAACTGGAGCTTTATTTCACTAATTAATCATCTTTGTGCGCCGCGCACTCACACACACACGGACACGGACACACACTCCGGCTCCGGTGGTTTCGGTTTACGTCCCCGCCGCCCGCCTCGCTGCCGGTTTGGTTGCATGTAGGAAGAAGAGCGCTGACTTTTGCTGCGCTTTATCGGAGGCGGCGAGGCGGGGCGCGTCCACACGTGACCACCGCGAAATATGCACCTGAGGGGGGGTTGGAGGCGCCCCAAGTCCCCACCTTTAATATCAGGGGCAAGCAGGAAATATTAGCCCCCTTTATAGGCCAAGTAAATTATTTATTATATATATATATATATATATATTACCTCAAATATTTACGAAAGTATAAAATAACATTTATGATGGATACAGAACTTGGAGATTTAAGGGCAGTTGTCACCTTTGCCAGTAATTCAAGGGGTCAAAAGGTGATTCAAATCAGGATAAAGACAATTTAGAGTTTGACCTCTTGCAACATGTGAAAGGCAAAAGGTCACAGGCCAAAGGTTTAGGGCCATTTTACTACATGGTATGTTGATACATGCAGTCCAGCTAAACTGGTATACGTTACATGGGTTCCAAAACCGAGACAAAGTACAATTAAAGGCTCCGGACTCCACACTCGACTGTCTGTGAGCCTGCTGACCGGACGCTTTTCTGTTGAAATACTGTAAATTAGCCTGATGTGAGACGTTAGGGGGCAAAATGAACGCCGTCAAAGTGGGACGTGTTGTCCATATTGGATCCGAATTGGCCTGAGAAAAAGGATAAATGATTCGCCAATAGCAATATACAGACACTAAAAGAAGCTGTTGCAATGACTTTAACTGGACGCATAGCAGCTGTATAAAGGACTTTTCAAACCCCAGGGTGCTAAATGCTGCACACTAAGAAGCAAATAAAAAAAATGGAGATTTAGGAATGAAATAAGTAAAACCAAGTCCTGTACTACAAAATAAAAGTATTAAAAAACAACTCAACTATGACACTGTTTTGTTTTTAGGATGATACTCACTCAGAGGTGGATATTTATGCTGTTGGCAGCTAATTGGGAACCCAAAAGGTGCTGGATGCCAAAGAGCCGTAAAAAACAACAGTGTGTCTTACAGCGTGGAGCCGTCTCACACCTCACAGGCACATTCCCAGAGAGATGACACACGGTCGACACATCCAGCTGGCGGTGTGGAACGAGGCCCGTGTCGTCCATTATACATCAGTCAGTTTATTGGCTCCGTCCTAAAGCCTAAAGGAAAAACTCTAAAGTCACAGCCTGTTGCCGATAATATGCACAATTTATTATTTAGAGGCGTTGTTCACTTATTCATCGCGCTCACTGTTGTAGTCCAAGTTTGGCTTCATGGAGCATGCGCGTGGGGATTATGTGCAAGCATCCGTGCGTTTGTGTGTATTCAGGTGCGTGACAGGAGATTCTCTTCCCTCCCGCTGACCTTTTCAGACGGGTCTCAGGGTCCATTTATCACCCCGAGGGGGGCCGTATATCCGCCAGAAAAGATTCCCCCCCTCTGATGACTCTCCGTTGTCTATATTGACTCGTCGCTCAAATGGCTAAACTATAAGCGGTGTGAAGAGCAAACAACCAGACACCGAAAAACCCTCCTAACCTCACGGCGAACGCTCAGCAACAGCTGGTCGACCGCACTCGGAGTGGGCGCCTTCATGGGAATTTTGGTGCTAACTTTCTTTATTAGTGGGAATTTCTATCTGAGAATCTCCAGCCTCAACTGTCATTTCTGTTCGGAGCTAACGGAACGACGTCTGCATGCTAACACGGTAGCATTTAGCTTGAGCCATGTGCAGCCGTAGCACATTAATGGGAAAATGTCACATTTCTTTCATGAATTTTACACGTGTCTCGTCCCGGGGGGTACTTCATATTTTAAAAGAACATTGAATAAAGGTTTTTACGGCTTCACAGGGAGCTGCAAGATGTTTGATAAATTGCCTGAAGTGAAGACAATTGGTTTTGTCTAAAAGATCACAAGAAAATGAGAGACTTCCATCAAATCAAGCCAAAAAAAGCCAAAGAAACAAATTCAGATCCAAATCAAAACCAAGAGTGTGTTTGTCTTTTTCTAACTGAAGGGCAGATTAAGTATTCGTAAAAGAAAAAAAGAGAAATCATAACTGGAAGATCCTGTGTCGCTATTAAAAAGTAAAAATGGGCTCAAAATCAACGTGAGCCAATCATGAAGGGATTTTAACGAGGCCGGCGCTCATTCAGACCCCCTGCTGAAAAGTTTTAGTAACCCCCATCAGGAGGGGAATCAATATCCCGCTCCTGCTGCTTCTAACACCTGAGCTGCTGGGGACCCCCCCACCTCCCTCCCCTCACAAGACGGATCAATCCCTCCAGCCCAAACAAACCGATCTGATCCATCAGCTGTTCCTCTGGAGGGAGCTCCCTCCTGAACAACACCCTGTACTTCCACACAAAGAGGCCGCTCTCACTTGCTTTTGCTCCCACATCTGCACAGCGCTGTGGTGGAGACCCCCGCTGTCTGTGCAGTGTAAATAAAACATCAACCCCCCCCCCCCCACCCCTCCGCTTCTGAAGTTCCAAGTCCCACCTCTGCATTCAGGTCTGGACAGTAAAATCCATACCCTGCGCCTGCCGGGTCCCCGACTCATCTGAGGGTGCTTACGAACACACGCTCCCCCTGCTCGGCCTTAACAGGCAGCCAGGCGGCGGGGGGGGGCTTACAATTGTTTTTTAGAGGACACCAGCTGTCTCGTGTGCCCGCACGTCTGTCCCCAAAGGAGGAGCAGAGGGGTGAGCAGGGTGAGGGGGGGGGGGGGGGGGCAGTGGAGTTGCCACATGGCCTCCCCCATCTCCACCTCTTCAACATCCCCCTCCTCCCTGACTGGATGAAAGGCTGCTGGGAGGAAAAGTCCTGATGGTGCTGCTGCGTTTTATTTATTTTCAAGGACCAAATAGGCCTCAATTATAAATAATGAATGGTTTTATTAAAAAATGTCCACATGATGTACAATCCCAAACCGTGGAGGGGACGCAACTCACATTACCAAGCGGCCAAACGTCCCTTAAATAAAAACTAGGAATCGAGATTCAGCAGAAAGGAAAAATCCTTTCTTCCACCAAGCAGAATTTATTCTGGTAAAATATTTTCGCTGATGAAAATTGGTCACACACAGATACATACACACACGCACACACACACACACACACACAGTCCGGCCTCCCACCCACGAGGGGCCGACGTATCAGCCTACTTTGTTCCCCAGGGCCGAGTGGAGGCGCTGGGAAGTGAATCAGAGCGAAGTGCCGCTTCATCCCAGTAAAGTAAATTACCGTCCACTCAGGGATGACAGGAAGAGGGGGGGTGAGGGGGGGTGATGGGGGGGGTCTCATTAGGAAAATTAAATGCATGGATAACACTTCATGGGACCCGTTTGGGTTGTAACGGTTTCCAAGGAGATCTGGTGTTGTTTTCTACGCCGTGAGAGCCATTGCATGAGGAGTATATCCTGGGACAACAGAGGCAAGAAAATAAATAAATAAATAAATAGATGGAAATCAATACAAAAGAGCCCAAAGCCGTCCTCTGTTGTTCACTGAGCCTCGGCCTGCTCACACAAAGGCTTTACGGTTCCCATGAAACACGCGGGGGCACACGCTACAGACACATCGTCTGCATGTGAGTGCAGTTACATTTGCTTTATGCTCTTTCCCAGACGTCGGCATTTGTCCTGCAGCCTCACACAGAGATGCAAACACTGCATATTGTGTGTTTTTCTCCCGTTTCCCCCACTTGTCTCAACATGCCCGGTCGTTCTCTGAGCCTCGGGTTTCCCCGCACAGGTAAGGACTGGTGTGTTTTGCTTCCCTCGGTTGGGCCTGTGACATGTTGGTGTGATGTTTTTGCACCCCCCCCCCCTCCCCCCCGAGGAGTCTCTGTCTTTTACCTCCGTGATCGTCACGTTATTTTGTCGACAGAAGACGCTGTTTATTTGCCAAAGTACTGCCCTCTCGGAGACGTGTTAATGGGTTAGCAGGTTGTAGGTTAACGTGTGTGAGCAAAAGGTTGCAGAGAAACCTCCCTCTCCTTCTGTTGACAGAATGTAAAGTGCGCTCACCTCGTCCTCGTGGACGCTTCCTGCTCCTCAGCGTCGTCTCCCGAACACAAAACAGGCCATGAAATTAGGTCCCTGCTTACAAAACAGAGGATCAATACGTAGCTCAGCAGGGTGCTGCAGACATTCTGTGGATAATAATGATTTCACATCTATCATATTCAAAGCCCCAATTTGAAGTGTTCCACTAACAAGATGAAGGCACAAAGCTCCTCTGGTTATACAAACTTATGAGGCCATCAAGCTGCTTCTTTAACACCGAAATAGAAGACAGGAGTTATTATTTAACGTATAAATACAGTCAAGATTCTGAATAATCTGCTGTGTAACTACATCTGTCGGATAAATGCAGTGGTGTGAGATGTACACATTATTTATTACTAAAAATGAGGCGAGAATGAGTAGAATTCAAGTCTAAAATAACATGTAAGTATTCAAAGTACCTCAGATAATATTCCGGGTCTTTTCATTCTTACGGTTGAGTGATAAGATGTTATTAGTCTTTTTCGAATTAGCAGTTCTTCAAACGGTCGAATAACATTGCTTTTCAACATAAGGTGTGAATCTGAATTGATTCTCCACTAACCCACTGACCTGCATTGCAGAGGCAGTTTTTTCTTTTGCTGCTACGTGCTCAGTTTGTTCAATGAGAAGTGAACGCGTGAACATGAAGCCTTCAGCAATGCTGCCCCCTAGTGGTCACAGACCTTCACTACTTCACCAGAGGATCTGCAACAGGAACAATTACAAATCACCAGAAAAACAATACAAACTAACTAGGTGTCAAATAAAGTAGCTCCAAAGGAAAGTACAAATACCATTTGTACTAATACCAACTCTACTTTACTCTCAAACAGAACAGTTTTCTGTTAAAACAAAGTTCAGGTTAATATTCAGTGGAACCATCCATCCATCCATTGTCAGACCGCTTATCCTGCACACAGGGTCGCGGGGGGCTGGAGTCCATCCCAGCTAACTTCGGCCGATAGACAGGGTACATCCTGGATTGGTCGCCAGCCAATCGCAGGGCTACAGAGAGACATACAACCATTCACACTCACATTCACACAACTACGGGCAATTTAGAGTCACCAATTAACCTGATCCCCAGAGCATGTCTTTGGACTGTGGGAGGAAGCCGGAGAACCCGGAGAGAACCCACGCAGACACGGGGAGAACATGCAGACTCCACACAGAAAGGCCACTGGGTGGAATCGAACCCAGGACCTTCTTGCTGTGAGGCGACAGTGCTAACCACCGCGCCACCGTGCCGCCCCTATTCAGTGGAACCTTTTATTTTAAAACGTTTGGTGATAAATTACAGATTACATATACGTCCGGGGTCGATGTAGACCAACGTTGGATAAAATAAAAATCAAATCTGAAAATCTTCCAGAAATTAGAAATTAATTTATAAATGATTAATAGTGATTGATAAGATCTACTTAGTGTATGATTCGGGGCCTTTAGCCCATCTCGTGTTTTCTTCTAGTTCTACTGATAAATATTGTGAGAAGTTAAATTACTGGGTTTTTAGTTTTTAGTTATTTTTTTGTTTCTGAACATCATATACTACAGAACAACATATAATACCTACTATTTACTATTAAACACTGTGCCGGTTTGGCACACACGTTTTTATTTTTTGTGTGGCCTGGTAATCTTTCTTTCGGCAAATAAAAAAACGGTCCATAATACCAGCAGGGATTATTTAAAATGTTGAAATAGAAGAATTTCCGCTTCCCATCATATAACCCGCCCGGTGTAGCAGGTTTCACTTCATCATCCTCCGTCAGCTCGCAGGAAACGTTCAGTCCGCAGCGACCCGCAGGCCGAACCCCCCCCCAGCGGCGCAGACATGGCCCTGACCCGGCTGGAGAAGGTCCAGGTGTGGCTCCTGAAGGCGGCGACGGGGGTCCTGTTCGCGCTGTTCCGGCTCCTGTCCCCTGGCGGCGGGGCCCCGGCGGGGAGGAGGAAGCTGCCGCCCGTCAGCAGCCCTCTGCTGCTCATGTCGGCGACGCGGCTCGCCAACAAGATCCGGAGGAAAGAGGTGAGCGCGCGGCCGAGGCCCTCGGAGCAGAGGGGGGTTATTTTATTTAACTTCTTTTTTATTACATTTTTGTTCATGCAGAGCGGAGAAACGCCTAATTAGTCAACAACTTTTCAGTTTAAACTTCTTCATTTTTAGTTTTTTCGGTTTTGATCTTTATGAACAGGTGCATTAAGAAAATAACTAGCACAATCATGTTTATTATATATGCAAAACATGCAGCACAACAGCTATTGCCATAATCACGTGGAGATATTGTTGCACAACTTTAGCTGAACACAAAGGAAGGGACACATAAATGTGCAGGGACACACACAGCTTCCTGTCTGTGCAATTTCCATCTGCTGAACAAAGTGGCCGCGGGAAACGGCAAACCCTGGTTTACAGCAGAACTCAGAAAAAAAAAAAAGTAGTAGTAGTCCGGAAAATAGCCGGCCCGGACTCTGTCCCTCCCTCCGCCCTGAAGCATTGTGCTGATCAGCTGTTCACAGACATCTTCAACGCCTCCCTGGAGACATGCCACGTACCAGCCTGCTTCAAGGCCTCCATTATCATACCTGTTCCCGAAAAGCCCCGGATCACAGTACTCAGTGAGTCTAACTGTGGCGTTTGTGCAGGTGTCGAGTGTGGAGGTGGTGCGAGCTTACATCCACCGGATCCAGGAGGTCAACCCCTTTCTGAACGCTGTGACAAAAGACAGGCGAGAAACCGTCCATCCTGTCCGCTGATGTCTCTTGTGTTTACTTTACTGCAGCTTTTTCAATGTAATATTTTCTTGACATTTCCCACTATTTTAGGACAAACAAAAGACAAAAGACAATTGAACAAATAGTCTAGAAAATGATGAATAAAATGACTGTTTCTGTTATATTGCCACTGTCATGGCAACGCAGGTTCGATGCGGCCCTGCAGGAGGCGAAGCAGGTCGACGTGCTGATTGAGGAGGAAACTGGAGGAGAGGCGGTGCTGGAGGATCGACTGCCTTTACTGGGAGTCCCGCTCTCTGTCAAAGAGTCCTTCGCCCTCCATGGTAACCTCCAGGAATCTAAGCTCCTGTCAAACACTTTAAAAACCAGTGACATCTAGTGACTGGTATCATTTGACTGATAACATTACATGTATTTAACATTTTGAGGCAGCTTTGTCTCTGATTTCTGAGCATTTTCAACCCGTTTCTTCTTGCAGGGATGCCCTTCAACGCCGGTATGGTTTCCAGGAAAGGAGTGGTGGCCGCTGTCGACGCTCCTCCGGTGGCCCTGCTGAAGCGAGCGGGCGCCATCCCGATGGGCGTCACCAACACCAGTCAGCTGTGCATGTGGTGCGAGACCAACAACCACCTCCACGGCATCACCAACAACCCGTACGACTTCGACAGGATCCCAGGAGGAAGTTCAGGTCTCAAACCGTTAAACCGAACCGCTGGCGGCATCAGGCCCGACGCCCGACGTCAAATCAATCTGATCCATTTCCTCCGCTAACGTCCTCTTTTCCTCTGCCGGCCTCAGGGGGGGAGGGCAGCATTCTGGGAGGAGCAGGCGCAGTCATCGGCGTGGGCTCCGACATCGGCGGCAGCATCCGAGTGCCCTGTTTCTTCAACGGAATATTTGGCCATAAAACCACACCTGGTAAGAGAAACTAAACGTTAAATCTCTATACTTACATTATAACTAGTCCAGGTATAGTCGGTAAAGGTATGTTTTCGGTTTGCGCCGGAAGCTGTCTGAGCTTTCTGCTGTCCTGACGTCATTGGGGAGCTGATTCCACCATTTAGGAGCCAGGACATCAAAAAGTGGGGATTTTGTTGAGCGTTGAGCTCCCTGTGATGTAGCAACAGGCAGATTGGCGGATGCAGAGCGGCGTGAGCGTGCAGGGACGTACGGTTTGACCATTTCCTGGATGCAGTCTGGACCTGGTCTGTTCGCAAATACCAATGTTTTGAAAAGGATGTGGGCAGCCACTGGTAACCAGTGAAAGGAGCAGAGTAGTTTGGGTGACCAGTCGAACTGCTGTGATGTGGATGAGCTGCAGAGGTCGGATGGCGGTGGCAGGTAGACCTGCAAGGAGGGATTTCAATAGTTAAGGCGTGAGATGACCAGATCCTTCTGAGTGAGAAGGGGACGTATGGCTGATAATGTTGCTCTTTAACTGCTGAATGTTTTGAATAAGTAACTCTTTGATAGTGAATCATTTTGGTTTTTGTGTTTCCGGCCTGTTTCCTTACGGCTTCCCCGGGTCTGATGTGTTCCTGCAGGCGTCGTGTCCATCGAGAACCAGTTCCCCGTTTGCAGCGGCAGACAAGCAGAGTTCTGCAGCAGTGGTCCCATGTGCCGCTACGCCGAGGACCTGCTGCCGATGCTCAGGATCATGGCGGGACCCAACGCTGGCATGTAAGACCTCCAACTCAGTTATCTCGGCTCAATGTTTCCACCACTAACGGTCTTCCTCCGGTAAAGTGGGGGAACCGAAGGGAACTAGATGCTAATGTGACATTTAGAAATGTAAATGTCTCCATCCACTCAAACCCTTATTGGGTGAATGCAAACAACTTGAACCGCAATCCTAAATGACCCTCACAGTGCTGAGATTGAATCTTTCAGGTTCTGTGTTTGGATCATCTGCTGTATTTCTTCACACGCGTGTATGCAGGTTGTCCTTAAACACAAAGGTCGACCTGAAGAAGCTGCGGTTCTTCACCATCCCTCACGATGGCGGCTCTCCAATGACGTCCCCGGTCAGCAAGGAGCTGATGGCCGTTCAGAGGAAGGTGGGTCTTGTACGACTTCTGCACACTGTCTGTAGAAAGCTGCTAAGTGAGAACGGGTTTCACCCGGGGGTGGGGGGGGGGGGGTTTCCTCAGAATGAAAATCCCCACGTGATGTTGTCCACGTTCTGCAGGTGGCGCAGCGGCTGGAGGCCGACCTCGGCGTGACCGTGCAGGAAGTGCACTTTGCGGAGTTACGCTACGCATTCCAGATCCGGGGCGCGTACATGAGTCTTCCCGACAAGGAGGGCAAGGTGGGTCCTCCAGGTCCAAGTTCTTGCATGCGTGTCAGAGCGATGTTCTCAGGTAGCAGAGGCAGAGTAACGGCACTTATTGTCAGATAAATAGTTCGCTAATCTGTTTAGCTGCACAGGCACAGCGTTCCAATCAAACACGCTCACCTCTCCAGGGTCCTTCACTTAGTCCGATAAATCCCTAAATTACCTCCTTCTTATTTTGGGTTCCTTGGTCTGCATTATTTTAATATATATTTTCAATAACTCTTTTATTCTGGCTGCTTTTTTATTTGTTTTATAATGACTTGTGTCCAAAATGTTTGCTTTCCTCAGCCACCGACGCCATTTGTTGAGCTGATGGGGGAACCAGGAAAACCTCTGTGGCCTTTTTGGGAGCTGCTGAAAAGGATGGTGGGACAATCAGATCATACCGTACCCGCTATCGGTGAGAGGGGATAAAAAGATATAATGTAACTGTTTGTTCATGTTTAAAGGGTAATTTGTTAACTTTTAAGTGGACGTCCAAGCCACCGTGAACCCTTTAAATCGACACGGTAAAGCAATATTGACGACATTAAAAAAATATTTTGAAATTTATTTCATGTTTAATATAATTTCTTTATTAAACATAAAACACAAAATTATTGTTTTGCATTTGTTCATTAACGTAATCATGGTTTTTTTTTCAAATAACTTATTAATTTCTGTACTTGTGTAAACTAAAGCCCTCCGAACAAGACTGATATGATTGTATTTTTGACACAAACTAACAGAAACACCAACTAATAGGTATCAGTTATATGTAAAATAAAACAAGGAATATGAAGATAACCCTGCTAAATATGCAGGTGTATGCATTTAAAAGAAGTGTGTGTGTGTGTGTTGAGGTTTGGCCCTGCTGGAGAAGGCTCACGTTACCGAACCCTCCGCGTTCATCATCCAGCAGAAGGAGCGGCTGCAGAAGAACATGGACGAGCTGCTGGGCACCGACGGTGTTTTCCTTTACCCCTCGTACCCGAGGGTGGCTCCCAAACACCACCACCCGCTCTTCAGGCCGGCCGACTGCGCCTACACAGGTCGGTCCTCGTCCTGCTTTCACAGTCCGGCCTCGAGTGCTCAGACTTACTCTGTAAGAAAAGGAAGATCTTGATCCATATTTTCCACCTTCGCTCCCCTCCAGGTATCATCAACATGCTGGGGCTGCCGGTCACCCAGTGCCCTCTGGGTCTGGGCGAGGAAGGTCTGCCCCTGGGGGTGCAGGTCGGTGCAGGCAAGCTGCAGGACCACCTGACCCTGGAGGTGGCTCTGTACCTCGAGAAGACGTTCGGGGGCTGGAGGGACCCCGGGGCCAACTGAGACCAAACGCTCATCAGGAATATTTATATTTTAGTAATTACTTCTTAAGCCTTTCATTCAAACTGTTCCACTGATAAGATGAAGGCACAAAGCTCTTCTGGGGCCAATAAGTAACAAGATGTTACCATTCTTTTTCAAACAATGGGTCATTGGCATTATTTCAAATGGTCGATGTTTTGCTGCTACGTGCTCAGTTTGTTCAGTAACGAATGAAAGCTTGAATGTGGAGCTTTCAGCAGTGCTGCCCTCTAGTGCTCACAGACCGTTACTTCACCAGAGGATCTGCAACAGGAAATACGCATCTTAAAATATTACAAATCACTAGAAAAACAATAAAAACTGACAAATAAAGTAGCTCAAATACCACAAGAAAATATTGCTGCTGCTGCTGCTTTGTTTATATATCTTAATACAATTAATCTCAGCTGTAAAAAAGTAATGTAGGAAGTTAGAGGAATAGGGTCCATATAATTGGATCTTATTAAAGATTTTTTTAAATGTTTTTTTCATGTTTTTCACTTTCAAACAGAAACTGTCCTCTGTAAAAAGCTGAAGTTCGGGTTAATATTCAGTGTATTTTAAACCGTGCGGTAATAAATGACAGAACGTATGTGTGCATGACTTTGCAAGAAAGAGCTTTTCACATAACCACGCGTTTGATAAATCCGCTATTTCATTTGACCTTTAATACTTCCGAGGCCGATATAGGGCAACATCAAGCTGCACACAGTTAAGGCTCCATTGCAGTTTATCGTTTTCAAAATAAAACTTAAATCTGAAAGTCTTCCTGTGTCATATACACATTGGGATCAAAACGTGAAGAATATTATTTATTATTTATTAATATTATTTAAAGATCTTCTTAGTGCTTCAATCCATCTCATGTTTTTATTCTACTGATGAGTATCGCGAGACGTCAAATTACTGGCTGCATTGTTTTTTTTTTTCAAGACAAAAAGCTTCTTTTTGCAAATGATTATAAAAGAGATCCATAACACCAGAACGGGGAGCATTTAAAATGTCTTAATGAGAATAAAAACACGAACTTCCGGTTCCGCCCGCGCGGTGTAGCAGGTTTCACTTCATCATCCTCCGTCAGCTCGCAGGAGACGTTCAGTCCGCAGCGACCCGCAGGCCGAACCCCCCCCCAGCGGCGCAGACATGGCCCTGACCCGGCTGGAGAAGGTCCAGGTGTGGCTCCTGAAGGCGGCGACGGGGGTCCTGTTCGCGCTGTTCCGGCTCCTGTCCCCTGGCGGCGGGGCCCCGGCGGGGAGGAGGAAGCTGCCGCCCGTCAGCAGCCCTCTGCTGCTCATGTCGGCGACGCGGCTCGCCAACAAGATCCGGAGGAAAGAGGTGAGCGCGCGGCCGAGGCCCTCGGAGCAGAGGGGGGTTGTTTTATGAGTTCTCAACTCCACGGAGATGTTTTTTCTTCTAGATGCATCTTGATATAATCCATTTTTAACATGGTAACTAAAGCGGTAAAAAGGTAATGCAGCGAGTTAGAAGTATGGAGTCGATTTGAAAATGTTTTGTCATGTTTATGCAGAGCTGAGAAACGACTATTTACTACTTAACTTTTCATGGCAGCTTATTCTTTAGGTTTTTTTAAATTTTAGTTAGCAACATTTCCTCTTTTCCCCTCTTTTCACTCTTTTTTTTGGGGGGTTAGGGTCATATCTCACCTGGAGGGGTCCAATGTGAGACATCTCATTGAGAGTCTAACTGTGGCGTTTGTGCAGGTGTCGAGTGTGGAGGTGGTGCGAGCTTACATCCACCGGATCCAGGAGGTCAACCCCTTTCTGAACGCTGTGACAAAAGACAGGCGAGAAACCGTCCATCCTGTCCGCTGATGTCTCTTGTGTTTACTTTACTGCAGCTTTTTCAATGTAATATTTTCTTGACATTTCCCACTATTTTAGGACAAACAAAAGACAATTAAGGAAATAGTCTAGAAAATGCTGAATAAAATGACGGTTTCTGTTATATTGTCGCTGTCATGGAAATACTTAACTTCTTCAGGGTTTATAGCTTCCACTATGCTGAATAATCGTAATATCAGGCCTTCCTTGAACAGTTATTAACCAGAATTGGGTGGAATAATTCTCCGGCCAGGTTCGATGCGGCCCTGCAGGAGGCGAAGCAGGTCGACGTGCTGATTGAGGAGGAAACAGGAGGAGAGGCGGTGCTCGAGGATCGACTGCCTTTACTGGGAGTCCCGCTCTCTGTCAAAGAGTCCTTCGCCCTCCAGGGTAACCTCCAGGAATCTAAGCTCCTGTCCTGTTAAAAACCAGTGACCTAACGTCTACACGTAGTTAACATGTTGAGGCTGCTCCGATTTCTGAGCATTTTCAACCCGTTTCTTCTTGCAGGTATGCCCTTCACCTGCGGTGTGGTTTCCAGGAAAGGAGTGGTGGCCACTGTCGACGCTCCTCCGGTGGCCCTGCTGAAGCGAGCGGGCGCCATCCCGATGGGCGTCACCAACACCAGCGAGCTGTGCATGTGGTGCGAGTCCAACAACCACCTCCACGGCATCACCAACAACCCGTACGACTTCGACAGGATCCCAGGAGGAAGTTCAGGTCAGAAACCTCCTGATATCAGCTGGAAGAACCGTTGGAGATTCTTCGCTTTCCTGCTTCATGGCCGACGTTGAGCCGGTTCCTGGGTTGGGCTCGTTCCCAGCGTCCAGACCCGGCTGCCAATGGTGTCACCAGCTTAAAACAAGACCTTCATTGAGTTTCTGCATACGTGAGAAAGTTGTACCAAAACAATCGGATGCATTTCCTCCGCTAACGTCCTCTTTTCCTCTGCCTGCCTCAGGGGGGGAGGGCAGCATTCTGGGAGGAGCAGGCGCAGTCATCGGCGTGGGCTCCGACATCGGCGGCAGCATCCGCATGCCGTGTTTCTTCAACGGAATATTTGGCCATAAAACCACACCTGGTAAGAGACGCTAAACGTTGAATCTATACAAACGGCACCCTTTCTTTGATAGCGAACAATTTTCCCGTATAAACTTGGCGTCACTAAAGCACTGATGTGTTTCCGGCCTGTTTCCTTACGGCTTCCCCGGGTCTGATGTGCTCCTGCAGGCGTCGTGTCCATCGAGAACCAGTTCCCCGTTTGCAGCGGCAGACAAGCAGAGTTCTGCAGCAGTGGTCCCATGTGCCGCTACGCCGAGGACCTGCTGCCGATGCTCAGGATCATGGCGGGACCCAACGCCGGCATGTAAGACCTCCAACTTGGTTATCTCGGCTCAATGTTTCCACCACTAACGGTCTTCCTCCGGTAAAGTGGGGGAACCGAAGGGAACTAGATGCTAATGTGACATTTAGAAATGTAAATGTCTCCATCCACTCAAACCCTTATTGGGTGAATGCAAACAACTTGAACTGCAATCCTAAATGACCCTCACAGCGCTGAGATTGAATCTTTCAGGTTCTGTGTTTGGATCATCTGCTGTATTTCTTCACACGCGTGTATGCAGGTTGTCCTTAAACACAAAGGTCGACCTGAAGAAGCTGCGGTTCTTCACCATCCCTCACGATGGCGGCTCTCCAATGACGTCCCCGGTCAGCAAGGAGCTGATGGCCGTTCAGAGGAAGGTGGGTCTCGACTTGTGTTCACGGGGCTCGACCGGGCGGGCGGGGTGGCGTGGGTTCTCAGATTTAACGTGATGTTCTCCACGTTCTGCAGGTGGCGCAGCGGCTGGAGGCCGACCTCGGCGTGACCGTGCAGGAAGTGCACTTCCCTGAGTTCCGCTACGGATTCCAGATCTGGGACACGTACATGGGTCTTCCCGACAAGGAGGGCAAGGTGGGTCCTCCGGGTCCAAGTTCTTGCATGCGTGTCAGAGCGATGTTCTCAGGTAGCAGAGGCAGAGTCAACCTATTGTAAGATGAATGGCGTTTAGCTGCACAGGCACATGAACACGCCTCTCCAGGGTAAACGATAGAGCACGCTAGTTGGGGCAGAAATGCAGATTAAACTCACCAGTCTTTCATTCCTCAGCTTCCGACGCCATTTGTTGAGCTGATGGGGGAACCAGGGAAATCTACGTGGCCTTTTTGGGAGCTTCTGAAAAGGATGGTGGGGAAATCGGATCATACCGTGGCTGCCATCGGTAAGAAGGGAAAATAATAATTTTGTATTTGTTCATTAATGTAATTATCAGATTAATTTGTGTATTATTGAATACAAAAGAACTCCAAAAAAGACTGATATGTTTATATTTGACGCAAACTGTAAAACCGTGTGTGTGTGTGTTGAGGTTTGGCCCTGCTGGAGAAGGCTCACGTTACCGAACCCTCCGCGTTCATCATCCAGCAGAAGGAGCGGCTGCAGAAGAACATGGACGAGCTGCTGGGCACCGACGGTGTTTTCCTTTACCCCTCGCACCCGAGGGTGGCTCCCAAACACCACCACCCGCTCTTCAGGCCGGCCGACTGCGCCTACACAGGTCGGTCCGCCAGTGCTCAGACTCGCTCTGTAAGAAATGTTTGTCTTAGAACGTCTCCTGCAGGCTGCATTCTGATGCAATTTTAGGATTTTATAGGTTGGTACGTTGTCATTATCTAAGTTTAGACTAGATTTTAGGTCACTGGGGCAGTTCTCTCTTGTAGGATTTAATTGCTCTGTCTTTTCTAACCTAAAAATGTCCAGTACACATTACTTTGGGTACTATACTGTAAATCTATCATGACAGCAGCTTTTAACTACAGCAAAGATTCCCCTACGTATCCAATTATAACACATCGTCCACAAGTCATGACTTTGCAGAACAGCGCCGTACAATTCCTGATCTGTGAAGCATAAGAATGCTCCAGTGAAAACCATTTCATGCACAATATAGTTAATAATTATTTTCCACCCTCCCTCCAGGTATCATCAACATGCTGGGGCTGCCGGTCACCCAGTGCCCTCTGGGTCTGGGCGAGGAAGGTCTGCCCCTGGGGGTGCAGGTCGGTGCAGGCAAGCTGCAGGACCACCTGACCCTGGAGGTGGCTCTGTACCTCGAGAAGACGTTCGGGGGCTGGAGGGACCCCGGGGCCAACTGAGACACGATGACAGCGATAATCCGTCTGTCTTCCTGCTCGCTGTAGTACAAAGAGGCACAATCACGACGGCTGAATGTTTAAATGGAAGAGACGTCTGCACTAATTACCTGATTGTATAATTTGCTGTTCAGAGACAATTATGAGCGCACGCTTTAAAAAAAAAAAATTACCACACTAACCAAGTTTCTTTGAGTGAATATTGATACTTTTAACATTTTAATATGGTGCTTGTGATGCTGATAAGTACCTAAGTAAGCGTGCGTTACCAGTTCCAGCTCTTCAAAGCCCTCCACACCCACAGAAGCATTGCTGCTGTTCAGACCCCCCCCTCAGCATAGCCAAGCTGCTGATGACAATAATCTGAAGTGTACGGACCGTAGGAAACGTTTGGGGATTCTGCTGTGAGCTGCATTGTTGATGCCAGGCCAACTAACGCCAAGCTAAAGGTGAAGGTGGGGAGGGAAGGCGGACAAATAGCAGAAACACCTCACTGGATTCTGTCTTTATTTTCTTGCCTTCTTTGGAAAAAGGACCAAAGAAAATGTTGAACATCCACCTGACGGCTCCAAACAGAACTCGTCATCAGTAAGAACTTATTTTCTCCGTTCTTGTTATTCTTCCCCCGGCCGCCTCCATGTCGACGGGTCATTGTTCTTTTATTTTTGTCACCCTTCTGGTCAGAAGGGTGGAAGATATACCGCAAAAGTGACATTCATACAGAAAAATATCCACAGTCTGGTGTGTTCTTCTGAGACGCGCTCGCCGTGGGAACGACGACTCGGACCACAAATCGTACAAAACACTGACCAGAGAATTATTCAGGAATCGGAGGGTACTTTAAAACTGAAACAATAAAAAGGTTCTGGGTAACAACCAAATAAAGTACAGAAATATTCTTCAAAGAGTCCTGCATTTTGGCGGTGCAGGAACCGGGAGGCGCTCTCTCTCTCGCCACCGCCCGCTGCTCCATTTGGCCCAAATGTGAATGCAAATACTTTTAAATGTGTAAACATGGCTTCTTCGAAGTGGATCAGACACTTTTGAGGTGCGTGTGATTTTTTTTTTTGAGAGCGCAAAGCGCCTCAGGAGGTGTTGGTGATGGGTTTGTATTTCTTGAGGCGGGTCCACTGTCCCGTGGAGTAGTTCATTTCAAAGACTGTGTCCACCAGCATGGTGGTGCTGCCGGTGCCGTCGGCTTTGGGGAGGACCTCCGTGTGCTCGCTCAGCTTGATCTGGATGATCTCCCCCTGCTCCGGGCACGGGTTCTCTGCGAGACGGGCAGGAGGAAACGGTTATTATTGGGAACTCCAGGTCTGTGTTCAGGCACCGTCGGGGACAACTCCTTCAAGTGTTTGACTGCGTCCTGTATTTATGTTCTGTTTGGAGGTAAATGCACCTGCTGGATCTAATGGGTTCTAGCATGTGATTGTTTACCCAATGAACCAAATAAAAGGGACAAGGACTTCAACACTTCCCTATTAAAAAAAGAAATGTAGTTGGAAAAATAATCTAATAAAAGTAGCAACATTTCAGCAACAGCAGGAACTTCTTTAACGCTGAAGTGGCAGTTTAGAGATCACGTTCGTTAACCGTTAACCTACAGGGTTAGTAGGTTGGGCAAAGTGGTCGTAACGACTGACGAGCTGCAGCGATAATCGATGCACAAACAGATTAAACCATCTCATTTATGGGCGGCTGAGTCCACCCGTCCTGCATTGGACACGCAGGCCTTTTCCCAGTCAGTCGTCTATGCATCCATTAGTTTAGCTGCCTGTCGTACTCGGACAAGGTTGAGCGAGTGCTTCAGTATAAGAGAAGTTGATATCAGTGTGTCTCCAATTTAAAATCCCCTGTGAATATTTGTAACAACAAATTACTCCTGTACCTCTGGATCCAGCCATGAAGCCCAGGATCAGGGCCTTCTCTGGCCTGGTGACCTTGTTGGCCGTCTTGAACATCTCCTGGGCCGCGTACATCTGGTCTCTCTGAGGAGGAGAAACAGGCCGCAGAGGGTTGAGTGGGCGGGGCCACAGCTCCACGCAGATGAGTAACACAAAGGCGGAGCTTCGCGCAGCGCTTTACTGCGGCCTTTCAGCGAGCCACCGCGCCATCTTACCGTGAGTGACAGGTTCTTTTTGGGCTGGGGCTGTGGTGGCACGGGGGTGGGAGTCGGGGTGGGGGTCTGAGGTGTGCTGGGAGTCGGGGTGGGGGTCTCCGGCTGGCTGGCTGTGGCGGCTGCCGGGGGCCCGTTGCTGGCCGGGGTGGAGACCGGCGTGCTGGGGGACGTGGGGGTCGCGGGATTAGCCGTGCTGCCGGCGTTGTACATCGGCGTCCTCTGCTTGTACTGGCCCGGTAAGGTCGCGGTGGCGCCGGCGCCTGCTGTCGCCGACTCTTCCGGTTGGCGAGCCGCCTGCTGTGCGTCCCGCCCGGAACCGCCTGCGTTTGCTTCACAGGAGTTTGGGGAAGAAGACACGGTGAGTTTGACACGGGGCTCTGCTGATGCCTCCGTGACCCAATGAAGGCGTGAAAGCGTTGGGGAGTTTGTGTCGACTCACCTGGCTGCGCCTCGGAGCTGGGAATGTAGGAGGAGGAGGGGACCATGCTGGGCGTGGCGGGGAGGTAGCTGGTCGACGGCAGAGGATTCTCGTTCAACGCCCCGAGTTTCTGTAAAACAAAACACTATTTGTTACGACGGACCCGGAGGAGAAGCGGAGTATGTCCGGGTGGGGGTGGGGGGTGGGGGATATGGGTGGAGCACCTGTGCGGAGACGAGGCCGGCAGCGTAGTCGGGTGTGGTGTTTTCCACCACTGCTGCCGCGGCTGCTTCTTCTTTGGCTGCTTTCTCCACAGCCTCCGTTTCTAGAAACAGAAGGAGAACATTGATACTGAGCGATAAACTCATGGTGGGGCGCCGAGACTTTGGCCGGTGCAGGGAAGGAAACGTATTTACCCAAAGTCTTCCTTCTCCTCTTAGCTTCTCTTCCAGCTCCGACCATATCCAGCTCTGAAATATCTAGAAGCTGAAAAGAACAAAAAAAGCCAGATAATAATAAGATGTGTAACCTCAGCCACGTCAACTATGAAAAGAACTGAGATGAAAAATGTAAGTACATAATATCGACATCTTACAACATAGACGATGCATATAAACAAGATTCAGTTTCACATTTTCATTTTCTTTGGGGGAATCTTTGACCTTACCTTGACCCCTCTCTCTTTGCGCAGGGGCGTCCGGGCAGGTGCAATGGGTGTACGGTTACTGGGAGGGCTGAATAAACTGGGGGCAGTGGGACTGCGGAACGGGGCCTTGGGAATCCCCTTGAGAGGAGCTGTGATGCAAATATTAACAAATACCAGCAACAGTTACACACCAGTGTGTAATGGTAAAATGCTTCGTGAACACACTTTAAAAAGCGATGATTTTTGACTGATAAAATGTGTTGCGATGATACTTTTTAAAGCAGTGAAAGAGCTGCTGCCTGGGATTCATTTGTAGACATTTAACTCACTAGTAGTGTCAATCTTTTTGACCAATCCTCTCCCTTTGGCATGAGAAGGCACTCCGGCTGTCTTTTTAAGCTGCTGGGCGGTCTCTGTGGCTGGAAAATAAAATAAAAGATTTCATAACAGGTGAAAGATTAAAAAAAACTACACACAATTCTTAAATCAATACCTTCCAGAGACCGTGAACTATGAACCAACAAATGAATAAACAATCAACTAGTACGAGCTGTAAACAATGTAAAGCGAGTATGCCAAAGGAAGCCCGCAGAAGAAAAAACAGCAGAGAGAGAAAAGCACTGTGTATTAGTTGAAGTTTCCACCGACGTACATTTCTGTAGCAGCTCTGCTCTGAGGGTGGCACTCTTGGGCTTCCTCTTCAGCTGGAAATGTTTGACGGGGGGTGTAAGAGGTCCCACCAGAGTCATTAGCGCACTCTTGTTCAGGTACTGGCACTCCAGAGGAAGCATGGCGGATGCCTCGCACTCGCTCACTGGGGAGGAGAAGGGAAATCGGTACATCTCTGCCTCTGGCTGCATTTTGGTCCAACACTCAGTTCAGCATATATTTAACGTCGCTAAAATCCCATTTAGTTGGTCCTTATGAATGGTCATCACTGTGTAACACTCGCCCAGGGAAAAGATATTTAGCGGACCTTGATTTCAATGATGAAAATGGAGCATTGCCACATGGATCATTTGCTTCAAACAAGGTAAATGATGTTGAACTCCACCACAGCTTCGTGAATATGAAAAGGCACAGTGACGCATCCCCCTACCTTTCTCCCTGAGCTCGCCAAGAATATCCTGCACATTCGGATTCTGCTCCTCCAAGTCCAGATTGAGCGAGCCGGTCTCCGGGAAGGACTTGAGGATGTCGGCAACCATCAGCACCCACGGCTCTGAATCCACTGTAGCCAGCTGGATGATCTCCGACAGGGCCTCCTTCATCTGGGAGAGAGGCAGGCAGTGTTAGCTAGAAGCCCCGCACGAAGAAATGTTTTACGCTGCCTGAGAATAAACGTATTACTGTTTAAGGGTTGTTGTTTGCAGGATAATCTAATCATCCAGTTTTCGACTAAATTGTTCATCTAAAATGTCAAAACTTAACTTGCTTATTTGTTTTGACCAACAGACGGATTATTTCAAATCCATTTAATTTGCAGGATCCAATTAACTACAGTCCATCACATTCAAGAGGCAGACTCGCATGTTCATTTTAATCTTGTTAACGACAAACATCATCGGCTTAAGCGAAGGCAGCCATCGCGTCACCTGGAGGATCATTTGTTGTTGTTGTTGTCACGGTCGGATCACAACAAACCGTCCAAAGCGCGCGTGCATGTTACGACGGGCTCAACAGGTGACCCGTCGGACTCGGTGCTGGTACCGCCCTCCCGCTCAGCCAGCTAAAGTTAGCTCGGTCATGCCCATCCCACCGTGATGTCTGCACCAGACACGCTGGGCTCAAGCTTCCCGTCGGCGCTGCGTGCGCGAAACCGCCGCCGAAAACACACGCGGAATCCCGCGCGGTGCTCCAGTTAGCTGGTCGAGCGGACGCGTGACGTTGCCGTGAATTCGTACAGGCGGGGTAGGGGGGTAATCGGCGGGATAACGGCTGCGGTGCGTTTCCTTCCCTTTGCGTTGGCTAACGGCGTTAAACCGTCGGCAACAACACTCGCTAGCACGCTAACGCAAACCCGAGTAACTGACGCTAGCGGCGCGAACGCGGTGAGACGTCCCGCCCGAAAAACAGTCACTCCAGAACAGCTAAAGTTGTTTTTATTTCATTATTTACAGCAGCCAGCAAGAGTTCGAGCGTATTCCTCCGCGTTGCATTCGAATTATTTAGCCTACCTCACCTGCCGTGCTAACGGCTACGTAGCTAACGCGGCGCAACCCACCTCGTCAACGGTCCGCCTGGGGAGATGCAGCATCCCGAGCAGGAGTTTGAGCTTCACGGGCGGCGATAAGCTGGAAAAGCACAGCCGTATGTTGTCTATCACCGACACGGTGAGCAGGGAAGCGATGCTCGGGGGCGTCCACAGCTCGTCCGTGGATCCCAATTTGTTGTGAAGCCACAGCCCGGTGTCGCTGTCCTTCATCGACGCCATCTTGGAAAAAGAAGTGTTTTGAGTTCGGGCATTTTAACAAGCTACCTAAGAAAACAGCCAGGACCCCGCCCAGTACCCGGGGCCCCGGGCCATCGGAACCAAACAATGCGACACTAAAACCGGTATAATTCACTTTATGGACTGCGGTTGTATCCCTGCTTTACATGCTTAAAGCCATTTATCCGTCTGTATTTTGTTTTAATAAAGTGAAAGAAGGATGGAAAACACTTCACAGAAGTAACTATGGGTTTATTAACTAACGTTAAAGAACGTTAAATGTTTCATTATTTTTGCTTACTTTGAATAGTTAAATAGAAATTACAAAAGTATCAACATCTCTGCAAGTCACCAAATATGTTTACTGTATATGCACAGTATATCGTTGTATTATACACTGTAATAATCCAAAGTATCAATGTCAAAAGTAGCAATATTAAAAAAAAGTTTTTAAAAACGTATAATGCACCCAGTGATATTCCTTTATGTGTAACATATGTGGCAATATATGCCTTCTGATTCTGAAAAGTTATTATAATGTAGAATGCTCGAGGTGTTATGCACATTATTACTCATGTAATAGCACGTGAGCAGCATAGTGGAAAGGGATGAGAACATTTGTACTACCTTATAAACCTTTATACATTACTCTACAACACATAAAGTTAAAATGTATCCTGTTAGGTATGTTGGATCGTACAACATTTCCCTCTGAAATGTTTAAGATTGACAAAAGCACAAAGTAGTAGTACATCAATTCATTAAATGTATTTATTACTTATTTACTTCCCACAGTTGATTATAATCGTGCTACACATGTTTAGTCTTTGGTATAATTTCGCTTTTACCCAGGATTTTATTTTGACTGTAAAAGCAGGAAGTCTTGATTCTGGTACCCACATGGCGCATGCGCACTTCCCTTGAATCGCATCCGAGGTGGGCATCTTGCGTTGATCTGGCGTTCAGCAAAATATCATCGACTGATTCACGGTAGGTTGACATGCCGTTTGTAAAAGCAAACAGTAATTGCCCTCCTTGAACTCTATTATTTTTAAACCCCTCCACATATGTACGAATAGAAAGAAGAAAAAAAAACGACTGTTTCCCGGACAAAGCCGACGTTGTTGTGTTATTCCATTGATTTGCGGACATTTTCTGCGGTTGTGCATAAAACACTCACCCGCACATTTTAACCGTGATTCCCGCAGGTAAGCGACCACATCATCGAGCATGGCGTCCGGCGGACATCTGCGGGCAGCCGCGCTGCTCCTGGCGGTGCAGCTGCTCCGCCTCGCGGCGGCTGATCCGGATCAGGACGGCGGGACCGTCATCCCCGCAGAAAGTACGTGGGTTCGTCTTCGGCCTGGTCGGTGCGGTTCGTTTAGTGTGGAAATGTGTCCTTGCCACGGAGACCGACGACAGCAGGTCCACCCGGAGGCTAATTGGGTCACAACGTGGAAATGGGCCCGCTGTGCTGCTGTGTGACCCATTTTCATCACCTCCAGCAGGCTCGAGCAACGTGAGGGTTTTAGAGGCACATCGGCATGATTCTTTATTTTGTAGCCACCATTGGTGATAATTCCCAACTTCCAATTAACTAATGTGAATTTTCAGTAGACCTCCCCAGTTGACATAAATTGCTCCTTAAATAAATAAAAAAAAGAATGGAGAAACAATTCATTCAAAAGCCATAAAACCCTTTAATGAATCACTCAGCAGGGTTTTGGTGTGAGCTCATCGCTTTGTAGCTGACTGACTCAGTAACGCCACCGATGACCCGATGTCACCGTCTTCGCTTCTTGTTTCCAGGTCGCCCGTGCGTGGACTGCCACGCTTTTGAGTTCATGCAAAGGGCGCTGCAGGATCTAAAGAAGACCGCGTTCAACCTTGATGCCAGAGTAAGTGACGTTTCCTTGTCAAAAGCATCTCCTATTTTTCCTCTTTTTTTAATATAGTTTGGTTTGAGAGATTTTTTCACCTCCGGTGCTTTGAGTGTTAAACGCTCGTGATTCACCAGCCGATGAGAGTTTCACAGAACCATCACTGTACAATAATGAGACCTTACTCTTTGAACCGTCTGATGAGGGCTGTTTATTGGAGTCGTTCATCGCATTTAATGTGATCTTTTACTACATTAACATTACGTGCATACAGGATGTTTCTGCATGTAATGTTGCTCCCCACTCATCGTTATAATAATGGATTTCTTTAAGAAACCTGATGGTAAATCACTGTTTCAATGTCGACAATGGAGAATACAACCTGGAGAGCTTTCACCATCTGGATCGTGTCAGAAATAAGTCATAGTTTCTATGTTTTCGAAGTTCAGCCCGTGTTGCTCGTGTCCGCCTCCCCCCCGCAGACGGAGACGCTGGTGCTGAGGGCCGAGAGGAGGGCTCTGTGCGACTGCATGCCCACCAACTCGCTGCGCTGATGGGACGCCCGAGGACGGTCGCCGCGCCGACAACAGACCCCCGGAAAGCCAAACCACTCCACTCGTGTGCAGCGATTTCCATCTCAACCCGTCCGCGCCGCAGGCACTTTATTTTCTGTCACATCCCAGCGGCGTGACGCCCCCCCCCCGATGTCACGCGTCGTTGTTCAGCCTTATACCCGGGACGACTTTTATACCGCTGATGTTTGCCTGTGGAATTAGTTTGATCGTTTTGGTCGTCGTAGGAGTCGGGTCTCATCTGTCTCCCGTTAAGCGTAAACGGCTTTGGACTTTTTTTTCTCGTATTTGACTGTATGAGGCGGTAGAATGCGTCGATACGTTTCCTCGTTGAATGTGTGAGATTAATGTTTACAACGATTATACACATCAAACTGTAGCATCTCATGGGATTTATTTAACTGCTCAGAAATATTTCAATAACTGTAAAAAAAAATAAAAAAAATACAGATTTTTTTTAGGCTAGCTTCTTTTCCCAAAAAGAACAAAAGGCTTATGAAGGCAAAACTTATAAAAGAACGTTATTTTCTCTGTTATAACCATAAAGATTTTAAGAAGACATTTTGCCAGGAAATCAAACCATATTTTAACACTTTGTCATTCTTGTAGATATCGATTTAGCGCAGCACTGTAGCATGAATTTACAGCACTTTTTGTTAACCTACTGTCAATGTAGATTGTCTATAGATTATGTAAATGTACACAGGTCTTATCTGTCTGACAACGGTATGCAAGAATAGAGGTGAGCAATACGGTGTCAAATGAACTGTGTTATGGAAGGGGGGAGGGTGGGGGGGGAGTCGGCTGCAGCAGGGGACATAGAGATAGAAATAATTATTGTCTTAATGTTGTACCTATCAATAAAAACAATGAATAATCTGCACTGTTTTTTATTATCAATGCTCATATTAATATGAAACATGTTAATATGAAACAAATTGATTTATTCGTAGTGATTGAATCAGCACAGCTCATGCCGATTGATCCCAGACATCACATCTGTATTTCTTTATAACCATATAAGTTAGATAACAGCAGAATGTTGCCTCTGTTCCCGTATTGAAGGAGATGGTGTGTGTGATGGTCTATGGTCTTCCTGTTTTAGCTGACCTCATCCTCTTCCACACACACACACACACTTATTTACAACAGGATAAAAAAAAAACTGCAATACCTGCATCTCCACCAGCAGGAGGAGCCCTAAGTGAAGGCAAGGCTGCCAGCTGTGTCGCAGCAATGCAGCACTCTCCACACTGACACCCCCCCCCTCCACCTCCACCCGATCCCTATGGCTGAAAATGCAGATGGGGTGAAATACTATAGGATACAAAAAAGAAGAAGAGTGCTGGCAGTTCTACGGAGGCGAAGCCCCTCACACCCAGTGACCCGGGACGCTGTGGTTCTGCTGCCGAGGCCGCTCTGACACCCCCAGACGATGAACTGGTTCCAAGGAGTGAGCGAGAGGGACGCCGAGCGCACCCTGAATGGCTCAGAAGGACCCTTGTCGCCAAGCGGCCTCCACTCACTCCCTCGCTCACTGGCTCCTTCCCTCTGCAGAGGCCTTCCCGCTTTCCTTTCATCTGCTCGGAGAAGCTTACTAAATCGTTCCAGCTGTTTGAAATTCTCATATAGGCGGGGGATGGGGGGGTAAGCAGGCAAGATCCTCAATACTTTCCTGCCCTTTCACCTCACTTTGCATTGCTTTGACATTATTTCGCAGACAAGTACACTGTCAACTGGATGTTATCTAAACCGAAGCATTATATCAGGGCGAGGTGAAGCCCCGCTCCCGGCCGGAGGCGGAGCCACTGCAGCCGCGAGCTAATTATTTATCCAATATTTCATCTGTCTTCCATTAGAAGAACAGATGGATGCTATGTGATACGAGGATGTCACACTGAGAACGACCTTGTGGTATTTATACAAACCCACCAACTTGACGGCTCAAGTGACATCCACTTTGGGATAACGTCCAGATGGTCACGCGAGACGCCTTGCGTTGACCTTACCGCTCGACGTCGAACCTCAATCGACATGGGAGGGTTTTGCAAATCAAGCGACGCCATCGAGACCTGCATTGGTTGTGAATAGTAGACATTCGTTACTATTTAGATGTGTGAGGCTGCACATTAAGAAAAGTGCTGAAGTAAAAGGCAGGTAACGCAAATGGCAGCAGAGACGAGAGTCGACGTGGTGGTCGTCGCAAACACCATCAATGAGATGCTGAAAAAATAAATTTAAAAAAACGACCAGCAGCCGGTGTGAGAGGAAACTGTGAAAGAAATAAAGCTGCTCACAAGCTGGCGACGCCTCTCCCCCCCCGAGGAGGAAATAACGATATGAGGAACCCCGCATGAAAAGCATCTCCCTCCAGATGTTAATCTGCTCCAGTTTGAGGGACTTCTGAGCGGAAACTGTGAATAGTCTCAGTCTGCGAGGTTTTATTTATTGATAAAGCAGCAGTTCTCAGTGTCAGAAGCTTCTCATTGCTCACAGAGGGACAGTTACTATTCTTCCAGGTAATCTTGGTGATATCGGACCTGAAGCTTAATGTGCAGAGACAAGCATTTAAAAGAGGTGTAAACACTTGTTCAGTGGATCCCCTGCAGCTTCATACTGGTGCTGTTTAGTGGGAGGCCACAGCAACAGGGGACACTAGCCAATGTTAACAGGGCACCATGAATAAGTGATGTGCATCATGATATATTCATTATATATAGTTATAGAACACATGATGCAGAGGAAGATTACTCAAAGAGGGTTAGAGTGACAGAGGAAGAGTCATTTTGGAAATAAACATGCGAGCTAAGATACGAATGCATCCCGCTTGTTGCCGAGGCAACTTTATTTCTCCGTATCGTTAAGCACCAATATACCAAAAGGTCAGTTGATTCAGACCACGATAACAAAGCCAGTGGTGGTGACATTTAATACACACAAATAAGTGTAATGTAATATTTCGAAAAAAAAGTACATTTTATTTATAGGCCTTCAATGGAAATTTCATTAGTAAAGAAATTGAAGATACCCGTTTTTCCACATGTCCTCGATAGAAAGCGCATGACTAAATGAATGAATTCGTTCATATCCAATGAGTTTCCAGCTCATTTCTATTTTAAGATGATTTAAGTATAGATCTTAACAGAAGTTTGTTGCACTATCTCGTCACTAGACAAAATCTTCCTTTAATATCTCAGTATTAAATTAGGTATAAATATATGGCGGTTAAACCTATTCCACGTGTCTCTCTTCATGTTTTCAGTATATAAAAGGAGTTAATCTCCTTTCCCATCCAAGGTTAAGAAACCCCTGATCCCTCCACAGCAGGAAGTATTCATGAGGCGTCTCAATGCTGACATCATCCATAGCAACGGGGGTCAAAGGCAGCTCCTCCCATTCCTTCCCTTTAGGCGGGGTCGCTCTGAGCTACTTCATGGGTGGGTCTAAAGAGAAAGACAAAATGATTAGCCGTGAACTAGAGGGCCTAATGGTGGAATCAGCTCATGGAAGTGTCCTCAGATCGAACGCCTACAATTCTCAGAAACCACTTCAGATTGCGGTTTGGCTTGGTGAGTCTGACCTGCGGCCACAGGAGGGAGACAGCGAGTCAGACCTCGCGCTCCTTCTCCCCTCCACATCTGGACCGATGCGTACATGTAAATGATTACAAGTAAAACATGTCAGTAGTTTTTACCTCAAAATGTAAGAACATAAATAGTAGATCGGCTCTGCTGGATTCGTCAGTGTTAAAGGAGCAATAACGTTTGTCCTCTTGTGTAATTTACTCGTTACCCCAAAAAATGTCAGCGATGTGGATGGACCGGCTGAAGCAGGGTGTCTAGCAACAATTTTGCATCCAGCTCTAAAAAAAATAAAGTTTATAATTGTTTTTTTCACCAAGAGCTGAACCTTCGAGGTCACGTGAACCTGCGGAGAAACTGATGCAACATGGCCGTGCAGCAGCGAGTGGGTGGGGTGGGGGGTGGGGATGCAGTGAAGGCTAGAAAGGGTATTTTATGTGCTAAGGAGCCCCGTGTTTCACACACTGTTCATGCACGCTGCAGATCAATAATCATTTATATTAAAATACATAGATATGGATAGAAAAACCAACCTGCTGCAGCTCGCACACACTGTGGGAAGCACGCTGAGGAGCGGGGTCCTGAAAAGGGTCAAGAGGTCACAGCCGGAGCAGAGGCAGGAGACTGGCATTGTGATCTTTAGGGGGGCGGGAGGGTCCTCAGACGCAGGGAATCTCAAAGTGTCAGAGGTCACGCGCTAGATTATTAGAACAATATGCGAGTCTCTGTTTTCAACAAGTCCGTTCATGTGAGGAGTAACGGAGAAGCACGCTCAGGGTTCTTGCACATAATAGTCTGTAGTTCATCCCTTTGCAGGGAAATCTCACTGAGTCAACCGTTTGATCCAGTTAGTCATTAGTAATAAATACATATAGAGTTTAACGATGTTCCAAACATCACTTGTGATTTGCCTACAGTGTAGAAAATCCATCTGCCATAGTCAGTATGTACTCTTTGAAGGTGAAGGTGAGAGTCATTTGTGTATCGCAAATCTCTGTTTTTAATATATTGAAAATAAAGATTTGGTGATGGAAACTGATGGAAAAGGTCAACTTGTTGGCAAAAGGCTCTTTTTATTTTAAAATAATGTATTGTAGATGGTAAATAGTTTCAAAATATCTTCAAGCTGATCCCTTATTAGACACGCAGAGCGTAGAGTTATTAATGTTTGACAAAATGGAAATATATGGGAACAATGTTTTGGTGGATGTCATACAGACTTGATTAGTACCGTGGCAAAATAAAGACAGCAGTTTGAGATCATATTTGTCACTTTGGCGTGTGTCATGGGTAGCTATAGTTGCTGTTTTCCGTCATTTGCTTCTAAATCCACGAAAATAAAGACATTTTTAGAAACTTTGTTTCGCTCGGTGGCGACATTACCGACGGCCCCTGAAGCGGTCGGTGAAAAACGGACACTGCGCATGCTCGCAGCATCTTCCAGCCGCTCGGCGTGGCGGGGCGGTGCAGGTGCTGACGCGCTGAAATCCACCTCTGGACACATTTTTGCGGAGCAAACGTCCGGGATGAGCAGAGAATGTGATGACTTTAGAACTCCGCAGTTTATCACCTGACTCCCTCCTGCCGGCGCCCCCCGCGGTGGGAGGAGGAGGGGGTGAGGATACCTTGAGGAGGGGGGGGGGGGGGGGGGGGGGGGGGAGTGGGTGGATGCAGCCTTGTCAATAGCGGGTTGCCTCCGATGATCCGGTTCAAACAAGTTCTGCTGTGCGAACGTGGCTCTGCGAGGCTCCGCACGCCCACGAAGACACAGCAAACAAACAAACAGACAAACAAACAAACACGCTGCGGACTTAATGTTAAAATATTAGACTCGTCTTGTTTTCTAAACCGCGGCGGCGACGACATATTTATTGCATAATATTCAATAAGGGATTTCTGCACGTGGAGGTGATGCGCTACAACGGCGCCGCGCACTTTATTCATCATTACATTACAAGATGTGGAGGAAAACTAACACAAACACTTCAGCAGTCATCATGCAGAGATTTTGTTCATGAAGCTTGGTTGTATGATAACAGTCGTGGTCAATTACAGGGACCGATGGAGGGAGGGAGGGGAGGGGGGGGGGGGGGGCGGATGCAGAGTCATCGCCACCACAGTCGCGCGTAAAAAGCCGCTATTGTCGCTGCTGGATCTAATGTGTGTGTGTGTGTGTGTGTGTGTGTGTGTTGGGGGGGGGGGTGTCACCGCAGTGCAGCAGAGACCGTCAGAGAAACCAGCGCAACTACCAGTCCCATTTAAAAATGTCCTTCATATCAGGGTGTGGTCCCTTGGTGTCTTACATCGGGACCCCCCCACCACCTCCCCCCCCAGCCGCAACACACTCTTTGTCAGTCTGCGCGCCGTTGGGACGCACCTGCTGCCACGTCGCTCCTATCGGACGCATCGCCGCCGCTTTACCTTCGTGCCGCATCGTCGGGCATCAACAAACCGAGGATCCTCCTCACCGAGAGACAAACCAGTTCAGAGACAACCCCCCCCCCTCCTCACCCGCCCCTCGCCCACGTCCTCACCAGTGCACTATTCTTTGCCGCGCGCGCACGCGCACGCGCTGAGATGCAGAGAGCGGGATGGAGGCTGCGTCCGTCTCTCCCTCCTCCCTCGGCATATAACGGCGCAAAGGTTCCACCAATCTCATTGCGGCGAGAAGAGGACCCCCCCCGCCCCACCACCCCCACACCTCCCTCCCGCCGCCCCCACCATCCTGTGAGCCTGAACCTCCCCCCCCCGCCTGCTTATAAATACTGCTGGAATCAAACCGGCGAGTCTTGGTCGTCAGTAGCGCTCAGGGTTGCAGCAGAACACCCCCCTTTCGTCTTACCCCCCCTCCATCGTTTCTCTGTTTTTTAAGACAATCTCACGCATCACCCATTTCCTCTCTCACTCTCCCCCACTGCTTTTTTTTTCTTTTTCTTTTTTCTTTCCTTCCCCCCCGACCTGTAGTGGGTTTCGGAGGCCAGTTGCATGCATTATTCGTCTCCCAAAATGGTTTGCGAGACTAAAATTGTTGCGGACGAACACGATGCTATACCCGGGACCAAAAAAGAGTCGATGATGTGGAGCTCCCCCCCCGCCGAGGCCAAGGGGGTGAGGAAAGACGCGGTCTTTATCCGCGAGTTCGAGTGCGGGGATCAGGAGGAGGTGCGGCGCATCTTTTACGAGGGTATCATGGAGAGGATTCCCAACACGGCGTTCAGGGCGATCCGGCAGCAGCCCAAGACACAGTTTTTATACGCGCTCCTGACAGGTAAGTACACCGCTCGTTCCAACGCCAATAGGGAACTTCCACGTAGGATGGAGTTATGGATTGTGCACGGAGAGAGTCGCTCCTGTTTGCGTCCTAATGTGATTTATTTGGAGAAAATCCCGCACAAGAATCTCACGCGCCTCCGAACGTAACTGGTTGCACAGTTAAGTTGAACATGTGTGAGTTTATGAATAAAACAATAAAAAATGACAAAACTGCCGTATAGCGCACACCGGCCTGCTGCCCGTCGTACAACAAAAGGTGTGCACGTGTGTGTGTGTGTGTGTGTGTGTGTAACCGGCGGCTCCGCTGATGACGTGATGACACGCCGGTGCCGTGAATGAACGAGTGAATGAATGCGAGGATTTGTCCCCGCTGGGGTGCGCGCACGTACACCCCCCCCCCCCCCCCCCCGCCCCCCTGCGCCAGTCACGCGCTGATCCCCGTTGGCTTTTGTTGACGTTGGCGGCGCAGATGAGCAGCCTCGTGCGCCCTGATCCGGCCGTCATAACGGCACGTTAGAAACCCAACGAGCTCAGAGAGCATGAAAAAAAAGCGTCCATGACTGTGAAACATAACAGTCCTGCCTGCCCCCCCCCATCATCACCCCCCCAATTCCAAATTCCATCCAGTGAGATCTCGATGATTCCCGATTCCCCATCAGGTCAACGTCTTCTCCACTCGGGGCCGATGCTTCTCACACGCTGGAGTAAACTAACGACACGCTACGCTGCATCCAGCCTGCTTGTTTGTTTGCGCGCCCCCCAGCGTTACGCCCCCCAAATTACTCCAGTGTTGACTCCACCGCTTCAATGAATTCTCTCCCCTGGCATGACGTCTGCTGAAAGTTTCACCTTAACACGTTGTGTCCCTGCAGCTGCATTAAGGTGCCCACCTCAAGGGATCGTGATCTCTCAATGTGTTCACGTTGTACCGATTTGGTTTCAGTTTCATCGACAAATGTCATATTGCCTCTGCTCTTTTGTTTCTTTCTGTGTCTTGTCTGCGGTCAAATTCTGCCAAAATCAAACATGTGATTCTCTTTTCTGACAGGTTTCGTTTATTTTTCTTCCATTTCTCCATAGTAATGTGCTTTTTCGTGACCAAATCCGTCACGCTGACCTGTTGTGCACCCCTCGTTCTCATGGGCGCGCGCTACTACTACAGCAGGACAGTAATCCACAGCTATCTGGACTGTGCGCTGCACACGGACATGGCCGACATAGAGGCTTATTACATGACACCTGCAGGTAAGACGAGGAGGAAACACGTCGCTGACCCCCCCCCCCCTGTAATGTGACTAATGAGATGAACTGTGTGGTTTGTCAGTCGGCAACGCTCCAACCGCCAGGGTGTGTGTAGAGAAATGTACTGTAGGGTATAAAACCACTGAGAATGCCTGTAGCTACACCTATGAGTCCAGAGTCCTCAGGCCGTCCAGAAGCAGCTCATTTAGTGTGCAGCTCCTTTCCTTCACCTCCATCCTCCCGCCCTCCTCTCTGATGGTCACGGGCAGGGCGGGGGAGGCGGCGGGAGGGGGGAGGCGGAGGGGTGGGGTTGCATCACAGGGCTATCGATCCGCACGGAGGAAACTGCTGATACACTTTCTGCAGAGCATTCGGTGTCGGCGAGGCTCATTTCCCCCACTGAAGCTTCCGATTGGAAAAAAAGAGAAGAATCCGTCATTCGTCTGAAACCGTTCGTCCTCTCCGCGGGACCAGTTTTGGGCGTAACCCATTTGATAGTTACCCCGTTAACCTGAACCACGACCAACGAGTACACAATTGAGATTTAGCGTTCCCGTTATTGCCGCAGGGCCGAGGTGGTTTAGCCCTCAGACAATGCTAACGGTTGTATCCGTTGCTAACCGCGCCAGCAGGGCGCTCTACGGCTAACGGACGACAGAGCGGGCGGCGTTTACCCGATGGGGGAACCCGAGGGTTGGCGCTGCGCCTTCACATCGCACACTCACTTTGATCGCTGCGTGTTTAAAGCAGAGCGAAAAAAAAAGGTATTTGAAAGCGGGCTTTGAGGGCCAAATCAAGCAGGAAAACCCTCCTTTCCTCTTTTAGCTTGCTAGCTGTAGAAACGGAGAGAGGCCGAGTCAAAGGGAAACTGCTTGTGCGGGATTGAATCTTCCAAACTGATTGTTTTTGTCGTCTGCACATCTGTGATCACAGCGTGCACCACGAGCCCAATGAACCCCGGGTAGCACAAGGACTGCGTAACCATTGTGCGTCTATGGGAGGGTATCAAAACGTGTGAGGCTTCATCTTTCAGAGCTTAAAACATCTTTTTCTAGACAGGGAGGAAGGAAAGGAGAGAGAGAAGAAGCCTTGTTCACATGGAACGACTTCACCGATCAATACTCTCATCTCCTCTGTGTGATCACTCACTCCGCTGCCACTTATGGCCAGCTGTCACCTCTTTTATTTGCCAGCTAATAAAGTGGGTCTGTGTGTGTGTGTGTGAGATTGTGAGTATAAATGCATTCGGCTGCAGAAACAAGATACGATCTGTGTCTTTGACCAAAAACAGGAGCTGATGTGGTTTATTATGTAACTGTCGAAGCTCAGTTTGAAGTTAAATAGAACGATTTATAACTGGGATTGGTACAACCAATAATCCATTAATCAAATTCAACACTGGTGTTGTGTTTCAAATATGCAACGCTGTACTCTTTCCCCTCCATCTTTTCGCTGTCCTATAAACCAATGATGACTCAGTCTGCCAGTCAATATGCTCAGTACTGGTGTGGTAACGGCTTCAGCGCCTCGGCTGACAAACTGTCCTTTTCAACTGAAGGTCTTTCTGTTGGTTAGAGAACTAAAAGTAAAAAGTGTCTGGATGTATCTACGTGTAATTCTTGCAGCCCCCTCTACACATTCAATCCACTCGGATGTATCAGACAAACGAGAACATCTGATTTCATTACACAAAGACGCATCAGAGGCCGGTCTTCGGCTCGCCTTTGAGCCAAACCCGACTTCCAATCTGGAGCTTTGACAACATTTTATTTACAAATACATTCCAGACATTTCTGGAAAACTTGAATCCAAAGATTTTGACTCGGAAGTTAACTTTGCAGCCGTCTGGTTCCACGGCGCTCTATTGTGAGAAGCTCAAAGTCCCGCGACAGAAACCAACAGCAGCTCAGTGAACGTGATGGCATGTGGCACGTCTCCGCCGGTGCTCATTTGCACCAGCATCACTCGCGCCCGGTTCACGTCGGCATTCATCTCATCAAACAGTGTTCACGGAGGGGGGGGGGTTTGCTGGCTCCTTTTTCTTAGGAAACGAGCGGCGGGGGTAACAGCTGCCGTCAAGACACCCGACTACAGGGAGCGAAGCCGGAGGAGAAAGAAAAGCTTCACCGCAGGTCACTGTGAAGCAGCTCAGGGCCTAAAAAGAGGACGCAACACAACGCAACACACGCTCAGTGTAACTCTCTGCTTAATGAGTCGCCTGCGGGGGCCTCGTGCACGGAGAAGAGGTTACTGACAACCTGGGCAGTGTCATCGTCGGCCTGTGTGTGTCTGTGTGTGTGTCTGTGTGTGTGTGTGGGTGGAGTGAGTTTTCGCTCTCTCTGTTCCAGGAGAGCGAGCAGCTTCCTCTACCGGTACCTGCTGTTCTTATTTTAGCTCCAAATGAGAGAGCGAGTGAGGGAAGGAGATGAGTGTGTGCTTTGTATCTTGTATAGTTGTGTGTGTGTGTGTGTGTGTGTGTGTGCGAGCGAGGGATCAGTTTGCTGGTAGCACACAGACGAAGGGATCTCCCGGGTATATTATTGTGAGTGTTTCGACTCCTCAGATGAATAAGGCATCCCTCTTTCTATCCCCCCAAACCTGCATCGCCCTCCTCGTCCACCTCTCCCCTTCTCATCCACGCTGACGGCGCTGCAGTGGCCCACTGGCTTAATCCGTCATCCTGTCACAGAGGAAGTGATGCTTCCTCCCAGCAGAGGAAACGGCCCGACAGAAGAAATTAATTTACTCTTTTATCCGTTCATCTATTGGCAGGGTACAATTAAACTAGTACTACTACACCACTCATGCGTTGCCTCAATTAGCAGAGATGTTATTAACTACTAGATTTCAGGGCTGAAGCACTTAGTCAATTAGACTCAGTTAAAACCCATCATCAACTTTTAGAACGAATCCTTTCAAGGAAGAAAGTCCAAGTTTGGGGTTCGACGAATACAATTGATCGTTAAATAATAATCTACATATTAATTAAGTGTTAAGCGTGACAACACACAGGCCGATGCCTCCCTCTCCGTTGTTGTTGATAAAAGCTTCCTCTACAGGCTTCAACGCACATTCGTCGGGCATGCCGTCGTGCGTTTGCCTTGCGTCTGCAAGGGCGACGTTCACCTCCCCCCCCTCCGACCCTCGTTTGTCCGGTAAAAGAGGAAGAGAACGCGGAGGATGCTCCCAGCATGCACTCTGGCTCGAGGCATCCGCGTACGCGAGGCGCAGTCACGATCAAAAGCCTCTTGGATCCGGCAAAACCACGACACACGTGTGTCCTTGGTGGCGAAACAAACCACCACGCCTCATGTGACTCATGTAACAATGACCACACATAAGACAGCAGGTAGAGACGGCAATAAATGCCCTGTTTGATTAGTGGAACACACAGCAGACACACACAACACAGAGGATGGATTCGAGCCACTTATGAGCTTTCGTGAGGGCTTAAAGCATCAGACGGCACAGTGAGGCGGCGTCTAGACTGAACGCTTATCGGATGAATTATCCCTCTCGGTTTCATCCGAAAGGAAAAGAGAATAATCTTGTTAAGACACCATAAAAACGATTCCTGTGTGTGTGTTTTTTTGGAACATGCAAGGTTCTCTCCCCCAACACACGCAGGAAGGCATATTAATGTCCTCGGAAAGTGGCTCCGATAAGAACACATCGATCAGGCCTCTGCTGATTCCCAGAGCTCCTCTTCTCCTTTTCTCCCCTCGAGTCTCGGATTTTGATTTATTTCTGGTCTTGAGATCATCTGTATCCTTCGGGTCCCCTCCCCCTCTGTAATAATGGGAGATGTTGTGTCCTCCCTCCCCCGTCGTGTGAGTATGCCCAAGCAGCAATAATGGATCCTTTCAGGCTCGTCGCTGTTACTGTTAACACAGATGCCTCATTCCTCCTCCTCCTCCTCCTCTGCTCAGTCACTCACTCTCTCTTTCCCAGAGGACGGACAAGCACCTTCTTCTCCTTTTTCATTCTCCCCGTTTCCTCTCTTTTTACTGAGTGAGCTCATTCATACCACTCTCCAGCCTCAGCAACACACACCAAAACATTGGGCGTCTCAGTATATTAAGCTCCACTCTTTAGGACATGTCCGTTGGAGACCTACTCGAGGAGCACAGCGACTGATTCAGTCCCTCCCTCCGGTCCTCGTGGGGTTAGGACCGAGCAGCGTCGTCACCCCGCCGTGTTATCTGGGAGGTCGTAGCAAATCACAGCTGCGGAGCATCATAATGTTCACCGCGGTGGCCCAAAGTGCCGCCGGGGCTCATGGGAAGGACTTTGGTTTTACAGGCGTTTGGTGAAATAGGGAGCGTATGAGAATGTATTCTGAAGGGCAGTGGGCGCGTCTTTGCAACCCGCACTATAGACGATGACTCCCAAACCACAAATGTCAACCCTCTGGTGGCACTAGTGGGAAAAAAATAATTAGGGGATCGCCATAGACATTTATATTCATCCTTTAAACAACGTGAATGGAATCCAGCTCATAATTGGTCTGAATGACTTTGCCCTCCCCAGAGCCGTGCCGCTAGCATGGCTGTAAGCTTTAATTAATCCAGCTCGTCTTCCAAGAGTGTCGCGGGCAGCTTCGCGGAGACGGCTCACGGTTAAAGGCCTTGCCCTGAAGTGGCTTCACGATGAGACGCCCCCTTCCATCTTGCCGTCTCCAGGGACGGCGGCCCCCAGCAGAAAAAAGAGAGCAGTGGCGGGCTTAGTCCAGGCAGCGTAAAAGCAGGTTCCGACTCTGCAGGTGTGATGACCCCTGATCGGCGCCGCCGGGAGGCTCAGAGGTCGACACACCTTGTGGCTTTGCTCACTCAGAGGGGTCAGCGGTAAAATCAGCGAGTGTTTCCTGAGACGCGGGGTTGGGTAACACTCACAGTCTGACAGGCAGATGGGCGGTTGCTGTGCGCGCTTTCCTGCGTTGTCCTCGTTCCTGGCGCAGGCTCCGCGCAGACAGATGGTCAGGAGGGCTTTATGGAAACGTATTCCCCCCCCCCTACTCAAACACACACACACACAGGATCATGATGATGCTACAGGAGCCGCCACTGTATCTGCCTATAATGAAACATCATGTCACAGTATTAGTGAAGGCCGCATGGCACCACTTAAATCTGAGGCTTAGAGACAATCTCTTAAACACTCATCCATCAGCTCCACATAATCACCTTTAAAATGGCAACAAGAAGTTACTCACTGCTTTTCTTTCTAAGGAGTTTGATCATCCAGAGAGGTTATTTCAGTGGACTGGATGCTCTTGTGGGTCGAGCAGCGGTTGCAGACGGCGTCCTGGTGATGCAACACTCCCGTCGAGCTGACAGGGTGCCGCAGAGCTAACAGGGGCCCCCTAGGATGAGTTTAACAGGGGCCCCCCGGGGGCATCAAATCCCTTCTAACACGGGGGGACTCCGGAGAGATTAGGGAGAGAAGAGGTGGAGTGTGAAGGGAAGGAAAGAGAGAGTTAGGGTGGGAGCTTATGGAGAGACAGACACCCGGGTGATGTCGTTTTTTTGTTACCGTCCGCGGGTCAGTTCCTGCCAGACAGGGATTTTAGTGCAAAACCATGTAGCCACGGGCAACACACGGCATGCACACGGCATGCACACGGCTGAAGCCGATGGAGGGGGCGGTTTGAGCGTCATAAAAAAACGATTGAGAGGGTCGTTGGAAAACGAAAAGGAAGAGAGCGGACTTTATGCTCCTTTTACAAACTGCCTGATTAGGATTCAAATAGGAATGATTTAATGGGGAATATGCTGGGCAGGTTTTTAACACCCTGTGAACTGGTGCGTCTTCTGCGGTAATGGACTGTGCATAAAAGAGGGATAATTCACAGGCATAATAAATGTGTCATGAACAGACTGCAGCACAAATATGGATCGACGTGAAAACGAGTGGATGTTGGAGCTCTTAGCGGTACCCTGATGGAGGAGCGTTGTCTGCTGACATTTTCATCTGCATTGTCTAACCATTGTCCCCCTGTGTGTGTGTGTGTGTGTGTATTTCAACTCTGGGACTCAGCAGGTCTCTCTGAGCCGTTGCAACCAAAATACCAACATATTGTTCTCTGTGCAGCTTTTCCATGACAACAGGTTCTCAAAGAAAATAAGATTCCTGCAACACGGTCGTTCCTATTTGCAAAAATACCCATTTTTTTCCCGCCAACCCCAACTTTCTTTGTCTCGTGAGATCAATGAGGTAATTTGTGGCTCGCCACTCTCCGACCGCTCTGTCGTGCCTTTTAATCAGCAGCGCCTCACTGACGCTAATGACACCGGTCTATGCCCTCCTCATCCCTTCTTCGACCCTCAGAGCATTTAAGCTGCTGGGACGATAGAAACGCAGGACCAACCATTTTGATTTAGTTCCTGGTCATTTGGAGAACATTATCCCTCCCATTATTTCTTTCATCCACTTCAGAATGAAAATGCGTTCAATGACCCCAGTGTGACTTGCGTCACAGGTTTTGCTCTCGAGAGTCTCTGGATTCGACGCGAATGTGTCGACCCTTTAACAGTTCCACATTAAACACACTTTCCATTCACTTCAACAATCCTTACAACTTAGAAGAAGAGTCTGAAACTACCGCCATCAGGTTAGCTTAGCATAACGACCGGCGGGAATCCATCTAAAAACGACCTCTGATGCTACGTTTTAACTCAGGCCTCTGCAGTCGGCCCGAGGTGAGCCGACCCACGTTCAATGAGCCCCCGTTGTGCCCCGTTTTCCGCCAGGCTCCTGCTTCTGGGTGGCGGTGTTAGACGGACGCGTGGTCGGGATCGTGGCGGCGCAGGGCCGCGAGGACGACGACGCGGTGGAGCTGCGGCGCATGTCGGTGGACTCTCGATACCGCGGCAAAGGCATCGCGAAGGCCCTGGGCCGCCGCGTCCTGGAGTTCGCCGTGCGCAACAACTACGCCGCCGTGGTCCTCGGCACCACGGCGGTCAAGCTGGCCGCCCACAAGCTGTACGAGTCGCTGGGCTTCCGCCGGACGGGTCAGAGCGAGGACCACACGCTGCCCGGCATGAGCCGCTCGCCGCTGGAGAGGCTCTTCTTCCAGATCCGCCACAGCCGCTACCGCCTGCAGCTCCGTGAGGAGTGAGAGGTGACCGGGAGAGAGCGGGAGAGAGAGGGAGAGAGGTGGAGGGGGAGAAAGAGAGAGAGCAACAACCCGAGAGCCCCGACTGCATCCTCTCCTCTGACAGCTTTTATTTATTTCATGTTGTTAGAGATAACTTGAGTACTACTTAACACATCAACCACTTTCTCTTTAAAGTCACTAACGTTTTCATTACTACCAGGCTTTCGTTGCTGTTGTTTTTGTGTTATACTTTTTAAGAGTTTGTTTTTTCTTTTTTTATTAAGCTATCTTTTGTACCTTTACCCCTCCCTCTTCATTATGGGAGGAAAACAAAAGGCTTTCACAGAAGACGTCTGACTGGCAGCCCGACCAGGAGCCCTCCCTGCCCCTTTAGGTTTATAGATCGCGCGAGTGATCAATACTCCCCTTCATTACTACTCAACAATGCCCTCTTTACCCCTCCCCCATTACCCCGAGCGCTGCCCCCCCCCCACGGCAGAGTCCAACAGACGTGCGTGGCGCAGTGGAGTGCGAGGAGGCATTTGCATCACGTCTCATTGGGGGGTGGACGGGGCGACGGATGGGTTGGGGGGGGGGGGGGGGGGGGGCAACCGCGGCTTCCCTGGGAGCAAAACACACGGAAAAACAAAGTGGTGGGGAGGGGGGGGGGGGGGTCGTGGTGCACACTCGGAAAAGCTCTTGCACACAAACAGAGTCCTTCGGCTTTCAGCTTTCAAGACGCCATATTGAAGCACAGCGAGAGTGCGTTACCGCCCCCCCCCCCCCCCCTCCATGGTGGGAGAGGATGACAGGATGGGCTATGGGACTCATGCACTCGGCGTCCTGGTCCTACGGACACGGGTCAACGCAGCGCATCGTCCTCACGTCATCTCCGTTCTCTCGTCACTGGTTATTTGATCGGACCCCCCCCCCCCCGTCTATTGACCGCGGCCTGATGAGTTTTATCCTTGCTACGCGTCCAGTATTATCAAAGTGTTCAAATACTTTCTATGTGTACCGATGAATTGATTACTGACAGTAACATTTATTGTCAAAAGTACGACCGTTACAGAGTAGCTGCAGACTCCACATACTCGATCCAGGTTATTGGGGAACAACTTGGGTAAGACGTGACTTCTAGCAATACTCGCAGAACATAACTGAGCACAAAAAGCAAGTCATTATTCAACCCAATATACTGGCATTAGTCCCTGTGTATCTATATTGTGTATGCAGTTGAAAAACTCATGTAGCGAACCCAATATCAAAGTTTTCCCCATAACAACCTCTCTCCCTCTCCATCCTCCTGAACGTACAACCAGCAGTAGATTCTTCCATCCACGACTCTGAGCCTAAGTTATGTCATTATACCATTTGTAAAAAGTCAATAGAAGTAAAATAAAAATAAAAAAAATCACATAAGATGTTAAAAGAAAGAAAAAAAATAATTGTTATCGTCACAAAGTTAGCAATGACCCTCATTGTCTTGCGACCCTCCCCCACAAACTCTCGCTTCTTCCTATTCATAAATCTGTCTGCAACCCTGGGCTGGACCCCACAGCTTCCATCTGAAACCTCCACTGACCTCTGACCTTCCCTGGCCGCACCCTTTCCCCGCCCATTCTCGCATGCGCCACAGAGCCTTGCTGCACTGCTTTTATTATTCCATTTGAAGCTTGTTGGAACAACTCTGGATCCCGCCCCCCTACTCTGATGTCATCTAGGCAGGGCGACGCTCTGAGAGGCTGGTGCACGGTTGCATTAGTATGGATGCGATGCAGAAGACACAAGAAATAGAGAGTGTGTGTGTGTGTGTGTGTTCAGATACACTCACCAGCTGCAGCACTGCCTGGATGACATCACGCCTGCCAGCCAACCAACTGTAGAATGCAAAAAGCAATGCAAGTGTGGCATGTCTCTGTACCCGGTGTGTGTATACGGTGCCTGCCCTTGAAAAATGTAAGAAAATAACTAATTTAAATTGAATATATATGTCTCTGTGTACATACATATTATATATACACACAGACATATATTCAATACAATATATATATATATCAACAAAATAAGTTTCTTTTTAAATTAACATATAAATGAAATGTGTGTTTCTTCGCTTGGAAAAAAAAAAACTAGAACTGTATCATTTGCATGAAATGTGTCTTTGAATGCAAAAAAAAAAGAAATTAGGGGAAGAAAGTCCTAGCACATGGCATACAGTGGAACCATAGACTGGTAATGTTTTATGATCATTTGTTTTATTTTAAATTATCTTAGTTATCTAGGAGTGAAATGAATACCAGCTTCAGATGTATCCGCCAGAGGACGAGAAAAGTTAGTTTCCTGGCTTGATCTCAATGGAGTTGAGGGTATACATGACCTAAGATCGCCATGACGCAAGAGGCAAACGTGTGTTCCCGTGCAGTACAGTGAACATTCTTTCATCAAGTCCTTCGCCAGCTTTATCTGCATATGGAGGCAGCAAGACCGCGTGAAGGTTCTCCAGTGGTGGTCGAATGCCTACAGATGTGCAGTCCATAGAAGTTTATTTTGCCTCTGGCTTTGGATTAAACTCCCCACATATGTAATAATCAGGGATGCTTACGTACGTCAGGTCCCTTCAGCCACAGGCAGAGGAGACTTGACTAGTGAAAAGGACTTTTTAATTTAAATCAAAGCCCACCTAAGATTTCTCTAAGGACATCCTACAAAGTGAACAAGCGAGGCACAATAGCACTGAAAGCATCAAACACGCCACATCGGGGGTTTCCTCGCGGAGGACGCACCGCTTTGATGCACCTGCTTTGAACTCGGTTACAGCCGAAGTGAGAAAAGAGGACCCTACTGCACTAGGCCTTCATAAAGTACTTAAAAACAGTCCCTGCTAGCGTCAAATGACTTAGGCCAGTGATGTCCTCACCGTTCCTCGTGGGGCTCGGGTCTGAAGGTGGAGAGGGAAGGCGGTGCGCCGATGGTTGGATTCTGTGAAGCCTGTCTGAGCCATTTCCACTGCTGCCAATCTTTGAAATTTGAAAATACAAAGAAATCACGATCCGTACTGGTACACATTCTGAACCGAGGTAATGTCCTTGAAGCCGAGGCCTTTATGCACTGAAATCATACGCTGGACTTCAGATATCTTGTGGACGGCTGATGGTAGTTATAGGGGAGATTCTTGAATTGTAAAGTGCACTGACGACGATGCGTTTATTTTAGTCCGTTTTCTACTTGAATGCTTTTGCCCTGTGAGGACACATCTCTCATTTAAAACTGTTAAAGCGTAGTTCATGTTGGAATGCACTAATTAAAACTGTATGCAACTTCTAGCAGAGTGTACATTTAGTTACAATCAATTCCTCTGAAATGTTCTGGTGATGTACGATCCAAAAACAATCTCACAATGGTTTTATTTTTATGTTTTTCTGGGATTCGTTTGGAGCGTGGCGTCCTCTTTGGGCGAGGTGTGAGAAGCTACGCTGCGTAAAGGCCTCTCCCGATGCAGGAGACGGCTCTTTTAGTTTCGAGTGCTTTAGAACCCAAAAATTATCACGCGATCACCGTCTTTCTCACCGACGGCGGTCAGGAGGCCACTGAAGCCAAAGCTCCAACTTTAGCAGTTTTTAAAATCCTCCTGTTGAAAATATCGGCATTTGTCACGGTGAATATTTTATTGAGTTTGTCTGCTGGTGAAGGAGCGTAGAATTCAGAGCTGCACAGCTGTACAGGTCCTGTGGGTGTGGCGAGCTCCTGATGGGCGTGAGCTCGGGGGGGTGAACACTCGCAGGCGCGAATGTAAAATGACAACATTTAAGATCTCAAAAAGATTTCTATGTTTTACATCTTTGCTGGTTGATTTCTTTTTTTTTTCTTCTTCTTACTTTATGATCGGGAAGAACAGGAGGTGAAGCAGCTTCATTAGATGTTACACATTGTAAAAAAGCCTTCTCTTTTGTTTATGTGTTATCGAACCAATCCAATGGGGGAGTTCAGTTAAGTGTCTCAGAAGATGGCCGACGCCTGGAACGTTCCACCTAGCGAGGAGGGCGAGGGGGGAGGGAGGAATGTGCCACATTGGCAGCTGAACGGGAGGGCGCTGGGGGTGCGTTGGGAGGAGGTCTGCACAGCTCCACAGCACGGACTCCCTCTCTCTCTCTCTCTCCCCCTCCCTCTCTCCTTCTCTCCACCTCTGGTGAAGGTTTTGCTCCACTGTGGCGAATACAGAAGGACTCACTCTGGACTGAGGCCACAGGTGCCAAGAACACATTAGCACTTGTAGCACAACAGTGTCTTGTTTTTGCTATTGCAGTACAGATTGTTTTGATTTTTTTACATTTCCTATGAAGAATATGGATAAAGTGTCTGTTTCTCCTGTGTGTATCGCAAGCATATGTTCACACGACACGATACGGAAATGTCTAATTCGTACTGGGGGCCCGTGGCAGATTTTTGAGGTGGAAATTTGCCAAAGGTGACAGTAATCGCTACGTTTGTATTCCTCATGTGACAATATCTTGTCCAACGCAACCCCCGTGCTTACGTGGCTTTGTTTGGAGAAAAGAAAAAAAATCCTGCCCACGTGCCAGTCAATCAAGCAATAAATACAAGACAAAATCACGACAATTACATACTATTAACAATGATTTTATCACAAACATGAAATGCTGCATCGACGTTATATCCCTTATACTGTACCATTTAATGGCAGTGATGCCATCAGTGTTGGCATTGCGACATTCCCCACTCATCACATGGAAGCCTGAGGGGGGGATTGATTGTAAAATGTTTTTTTTTGTTGTATTTTTTCTTCACAAAGAGGTGTCAAAGATGATGTTTTTTTTGTTTTTGTTTTTTTTTAACTCAAAGTTGAAGTACACAGGTGTACCTTTGCATATTTGTACAGATGTCAGTAGAAAACGGGGGAAAACGACCAGAGGGGGATAACGGATGCTAAAGAATGAGCAGTTCAAGCAGACAGGAAAAAGATGGCGTCGCCACACTCTGAAAGTGAAATCTGCTCTTAACTGAGGTTTTGCTTCACCACAAAGACTTCCGGTTAACGTGCACCACAACTTCAAACAATCAATCAAAGACATGCCGCCGCTGCCAGAACCTCAACGCTCAATCATGTTGTCTTCTCTCACAAGTGAGATTCAGAGTCTTTGAATCTGCCAGCGACTGGAAGCCACTGTAAAGTTGTAAAGTATATTTTACTGTAAATAGCCTCTGGGGGTCATTTTTACTCCTTTTGTAACAGAAACTGTGGATTTCACATATTTCAAATATATATTTTAGAGATATAACAGCACTAGTAAAGATATTCTACGGCGGTACAGGTGTTTTCATCTGTATTGCCTCATAACAAATCCCATACTGACTAATGGCTGCAGCTTTCGTGGGTCACGTAGCGCGCGCCATCTTTGCCCCGGTGTCTCTGTCCCCTGACGATGGGTCCAGACACAGCCTTCCTTGTCCTGCCTGTCTGCTTGAACTCTCGAGTCACCACAAATAGCTCCGTTAGCTTGCAGCAGACACCCGCCTCAGGCTTCGAGTACCTGCGCCGAGCCACAGCGAGCTGCTCTGACGCAGGGGGGGCGCTCTCTCCGCCCTGGAGCCCTGTCATGGCTGTTGTCTGTTGCCGGGAAACCGGCCCACACAAAGCACAGCAGGGGGTCGATTCGCAGCCACACTGTGGGGAGGCAGGCAGGTCACCCAGACGGCCGTGATAGAGGACGGAGAGAGGGTTTGATGGATACGTAGATGGATGATGAGATCGGTCGATTTGGGGGTGGGGGGGTGCTTTGAGGTTTAGAGAAGGGTGCTCTGGCTACGGTGAGGAATTTGAAAAAAAGAGGCCCCTCGGGCATGTAAAGGAGAGCAGTGTGAGAAGAGTGCCAGGGCCCCATCGGGCTGGAGGGGAGAAGCAAGGTCAAATTTAACGACAGGTATCAAGTGGTGAATGGCGTGTCGACGTAGCAGATTTAGTGATTCCCAAGGAAACGGGACCTAGAACGAGTCATGTCCGTTGGTCCAAGCGGTCGAAACTTGATTTTTATTGGGGTCTATAAGCTTTCTGTTCCCTTTCTGCCATTCCTTTGGAAGACTGCTGTATTGCCACGAAAGGATTACTCTTATTATTGTGATTATTAACCCTTTCTTTTATACTGACAAATACACTGGTACACTGTATAGATGTAAAGATGGGATTTCCTGCATTACGACGATGATTGAAACATGGATGTACATATATTGTATCAATTAAAAATGATGATGCATCAAGCTTTTATATGTTGCAATGGTAAACTGATTTGTTTTTTTCACATTTGCCAAGATTAGAGGGAAATTACATGTAGTTTCTTTGAGATAAATATTAGATTCAATGAGACATTAAGTGTCAGCAATTATAGCCATGAGGATGTGTGCCACAGAGTCTACTTACATGTCACGGTCGCCATGGCAGCTAGTGGAAGCGCATGCTGTTGCCCTTGACAACTGCAGTCTTCAGAGGGACCCTTGGGCCGTGGCTCCTGTTAATGGCACAGGGCATTACAGTGAAAGCATCACTCAGTCAACTGAACTCAATCATAAATTAACTTAATAATCTAAAACAATACCAACCTTCAAGAGACACAATGGCGGCAAACAGACAACGACCTCCATCATAAGTTTGTCTTTATATTTAGTAAACTAGAAGATAGCAGCCATCATGCGCTAAATCAGTAAGCTGTGTCCTGAATAGCTGACGGACCATTTTAACGGCTACAATAAATAAAAAACAGAGTATCCCGAATATAGCACTAAAGCTAACTGCTGTTGAAAAGCAACCAAAAGTGCTTTTTGGGTTTTGGTTTAAGCTCCATACCTATACCCATACACCCAGTCTCCAAATGAGCAGCATGGCCTGTAGGATTTGCACATACCCCTAAGGGGGGACGGCCCTGCACCCTTAAACCAAGAACAATGAGAGAATAGAGGCAGATTTCCATAACACTGTCCTTCGCTCTGGCACCGAACTGCCCACACTGGCCGGGTAAGAAGAAGCAAAGCGGACGTCATGAAAAAAAAATGTCAGGAAATGTTCAGTTCCACCTGGACCCATTTTCCAGAATGAAAGTGGTGCGGTGGTGCGGTGGTGCGGTGCGTTCCTTCGATGCACGTATGCTTGTGTACAAACAATTGTTCAATGCATGAGTGTGTGTGTGTGTGTGTGTGTGTGTGTGTGTGTGTGAGAGAGAGAGAGCGAGGCTGGAACAAGACAAAGGGGAGAGGATGAAAGATGAGCGCCGGACGCACACAGCGGACGTAGATTGTCTGCTTTGAATCAGCTTAATGCAACCAACCTTAAATAGCTCGGCTCTGTGGCATAAATGTATATGAGAATATTTGTTAAATAAAAATCATTTTAAAAGGACTATGACTAAACTCATTTGGAATGTCTGTCGAAATACCAGCTGATTTCACAGTTTAACGTATTGGACGCAGCTCTAAAAATGTAACGTGCAGCTTAGCTTGGGGAATTAATTGGTAGGAAATGAAGCTGGGTGAGAAAGGTCACTGGGTTTATTATCCAGAGGGAAGCTACCACAACATGAACAAAGCACAAAGACAAAAAAAAATACAAGGATGGTTTCTATGGTCCATTGTACAGCATAATGCAGGTTTACATTAGCTGGGAAATCATTCCAACAACACATTTTATGAACCAATAAATATCATGCAGTTAAATGTGGGGATTCACTTCGGCAACAACGCCAAGAAAACAGCGTGGGTCAACAAGAGTGCGGAAAGGACACGGGATCTTTCGTTCTTTTTTCCCTGCACGCAGGGGGGAGTAAAGCGATCTAGTCTGCGGCTCCTGCCGTTGCCCCCGGATACAGATGGAGTAAAAGCAAGAAGCTGGAAGGAGCTGCCCTGGTTTCCACGGCAATGTGGATGCAGGACAAGCGAAGAGAACGGGAGGGATGGACTGAGTGGAGAAAAGGGAATATGAGAGGGGAGAAGTCCCAAAAGGCAGAAACATGAAGACATACCAAGAGAAAGAAGGATAAAGGCAGGAGATGATAATGGGGGAGATAAGAGAAGGGAGGAGCGTGGAAGCACTTAATGGGGCGGGGACATTGTAGGGACATTAAGCTCAGACATGGATCCCCAAGACTTGCCACTGGAGACCGCCACCTTCAGGGAGACCTGTAAAACACGCACACACTCAGTGTAAACAGACTTGTGTGTAGAAGTTGTTCACAATGACCTACATTTCACTCACACAACTTGCCAAAAAGATTCAAATCACAAATTAAAACTATTTGAAAAACTAAAAACGTTTAATAACGAATGTGTTTCCTTGTGGCCTGAATATCAATGGTCCACAAAAGCAGTACGGATGATCTGTGAGTGTTAATAAATTGTGTGTTTGATGCCTGAGTTTTTGCACTTGTACTTGAGCTGTGTGTGTTCCAACATAGTAAAAAAACGTGCATATTTCCTTTATATTATCGTACAGTTGTTACTTTGTACATCCCCTGCAGCCTGGGTGCCATGGCACCGAACCCAATGCATCCGCGATTTAACAAAGGTCGAAGACAGCTGACAAGGTGTCATTTACCAACCTTAAGGTGCACTCCTAGATGGTCGATGTGCTGGAGGGACTCCATGGTGCTCTTCACCAGACCTGCACACCAAGCAACAATACATGAATTACCATAGCAGAGCAATAGGAAGTGTGTTGTGGATAATAGAGGCAGGTTTCTGACAAGCAAGCAAAATGTTTTGACATTTAAAAAAAATATACATATTTGGTTCTTCTGCACCGATTTTGATCTTTAAAAAAAGATCAATCAGACGTACAGTAAATGTAAGCGTTGCAAAACACTGTCACATGAATTTAGCAAAACAAATGGACTTTTTTGTGTGTACAGTTTTCTTCACTGTACAAATACATGCCGTCCCAGCAACAGAGCATTGGGTCTTTGTGTCGAAAGTTCACCTGCAAACTGCTCCAGCTGGGAGTCCTCCACCTCGTACAGGAGCTCGTCGTGGAGCTGAGCCACCAGCCTACAGTCACAGATACAAAACACACATTTAACGACTCGTAAAAACACGTGGCGTCTCTACCCACATGCCACCAGGAGTGGCTTCCCGATCTTTGTATCCTGCTTTCCCAACGTGCCCATTTAAATCCTGGTCTCGAGTGCGTTTAGTCTGCTAAATGTTTGGCGTGTAACACCAGCAATCATTTTGGGGAAAGCTCATATGAAAGATGCTAATTTAGTTGGCTGAAAAAAATGGTGAGCGTTGTTCATGTGCTTTTGTCTTCATTACGATAGCGCTCGTCTGAGCAGGTTCAGGAGGGACGACAGTGTGAGGAGCAAGTGTGTACTTTGTCCTCCGTGACGTGAGCGTCTTCAGCCCCACCTGGCAGAGAGCGAGCTGGAGGAGGAGACCAGGTTGAAGATTCGGATCATGGCCATCTTACAGAGATCAGCAGCAGACCCTACACACATGAATACAAATCACATAAACATGCTTAAAGATATTAAAGGCAGTTGGTGGTTCCTGTCGACTCTCTCAGTCACCTCCTGATCATTTGACCTCATCATCCTACCTTGGACCACAAAGTTCACGGCCTGCCTCTCAGCCTGCATGCGTACGGCCCAATCGGGGGAGTTGATGTTGGGAAGGGTCCGGCGACGACCCATGATGGACAGCACGTAGCCTGAACAGAAGCGGAACAACAAGATTAAAAATCAACGGTCATCATTCTGAACACGATTCACGTGCAGTTGGATCGACAGTCAAGTTTGGTCAAATCGGTCCACGAGGGCCGAACCTCTCACACAACCGAGCCTGGATTACAGCTTTGCTGCTTCCATCAAGACTCATATGGTAAATGAATGTGTTGTACCATAACGTGGCTCTGCCAGCCACAAAAGCACAATCTGTTGGACCAGAGACGTTCATTAAAGCATATGACTCATTTTAGGGTCACCTTTTATAAAGGATTGACAGGTGGCTGCTATTAAAACAATTGTTGGTGAATATGACTGAGAAAATTAATTAAATTAAATAGTGCGACCTTCAGCTAGCTATCTACCTCCCTTTCCCCCCACGCTGGATTGAGATGTTGAGTATGAAATGAGAAATAAAGAGTGATACTGAAACTATATATTTCGGGAAAATAAAGAGCTAATGCTTAACGCAGAAAGTATTTTTGCGAAGTTTAAATCTGAGCATGATAATTAAGAGGTGAATCCATTTTTCAGTGATAAACTCTAAAAGAGGAGGCGGGTCAAAAAAAACCCTCCGAAATCAAAACACATTACAATAAGTAGCAAAGAGCACATTATGTTCTACTTCTCCTTTTCAGAAGTATGAGGTTATAAGGACTCGCTGAGATGAACCAAAGACACACCATGTCTCTAGATAACAGTTTCATGAAAAGTCCTTTGTTGATACAGCGTTATGGGTCTTTATGAAAACGGTTCTCACACACACACACACACGTTCCTGCGTGACTCACACACACGTGCCAATAGTTGGCGGCCACATTGTCAAAAGGTCACGCTCTTGGTTAAAAGGTCACACGCATGTGTCACGGGTCAATTCACAGTGAGCATTAGGGCTTGTTTTTGTGTTTGTCACTATCTGTCACTTCCCATGCGTTTATGCTTGTGTGGGTGATTGTATGTGTGTATTCTGGGAAGAGGGTTATTCAGGTTTCGTGCCCCGGTTGGCTTTCCTCACAGTAAGGGATACTGGAGGGATTTAGCCGCAAAGCCCGCTCCATTGTACAGCTGGTGGAATGTACTGGTTCAGTGTGGGTGCGTGTGTGACAACCCTGCATTTTTGTGTGCTTGTATATAATGTGCATATCACGTCACTGCACATTCTTGTGTTTGTTTGACTGTACCGGGAATGTGAGAGGTGTTTCTCTTTGCTTTTGTATGTGAGTCACGTGGATAAAAGGGTGTGTGTGTGTGAGTGTGTTTCAAACCCAACCGGCTGATTTTTAAGTCAGCGTCACGGTGGTGTGAAGGCCGGTCGTTTCTCAAGATCAGGCATCCTGTGTGGAGAAAGTGCACATCTGGGGCGGGGAGGCAGTTCAAAAAGGATGCACTTATGAATGTTGGGTTGTGGCTTATTAATGAGATGTTTGTGTTGGTTTTATTTGATCAGTCATTAACGTGTCCGCTCAGCAATAAAAGAGCACCAGTCAACGAATAAATAAGAATGACAAGAATTTCACGCCTCCCTGCGTCTGCTGGCCTTTAGAAGACTTTGCCCGTCTTCATCTCTGTGAACCCCCCCGTCGTTTTAAAGTAATCAGAAATCCTCCTTTGCTCCTTCTCACTCCGTTTTAATTTGTCAGGCAGCCTTCACGAGCAGAAGTACACCGTTGATCCTGAGAGACTGGCTCACACAGAGCGGTGGATTTCTCTTATTTTAATATGAAGGTCGGTGAGTGTGGCTCATTCAGCGTTTTTTTTATATAGTTCATATGATATTAATGTAATTAATAAAACTTTTTTTAGTGCTTTGTCTCAACCTTTGTCCCCGGACAACGACGATGATTAGACAAGGGAGAGTGAAAAATATGCAATGTAAATAGAGCAAGTATTGTTCCCTGCATGTATATCCTTTTATTATTTGCAATATAGAGACTTTTAAAGTATACTACTCTGACAGCAGAATGAATCTGCGGATGATTTCTAAGCTTTCATGCATCCTGTGCCCTTATTTCAACTGTATGGTTAAATACAACTTTTTGGTTTATTATATTTGAATGTATTCTTATTTTATGTAATATATTCTTTTGTCTCGTGTATGTGTCTGTATGAAAATCGTTGGACGGACAGACAGGAACACGCAGAAAGACGGAGGAGGAGGCACCAAAAAGAAGCAGAGAGGACAGACAGAAAGAGAGAGCTGAGTCCCGGCGGCGTCTCGGATGGGAAGATCACCATGGCGACGAGCCGGATTAAAACGCGGCCGTGGGGCGCTGCAGCACTTCCACGCTGATCTGTGGCGCAGCATTTCTGGAGGAGTTAGTTCATTATGCCGCTTCGATTAAGAAGCTGACACCGGAGAAAAGGGGAGGCGGATTCAGGAAGACTACACAGCGACTAATTTGATTGGGGTGTAATTGGTTTGAACCATTAAGCGGCTGATGCAGCAGAGCAGACAGTCTTAGCGTTATTTAATCCGGGGAATAATATAAAAAATACAACCCCCAGAGACAAGTAATGAAGTCTTTAGTAATAGAGAGCGAAAAAACATATTTTACACCAGACCAGACTGTGTAACTACAAAAGTTAGGTATTTCAATATGGAGACGAGTGGGGATGAACTTGCTGTTGGCGCCTGCCTCAAGTGGCCATTTCAAGAAGAGTTGGTCTTAACCCAAACATTGGCCTCCACGTTGGAAGGATTTCCTCTGACCTCGTCCCTCTCAAAGTCGACACTGGCGTCATGAACTGTGTGCAATGAGGGTTAAAGTGCAGACTTTACACTATTTTGTGTGAGCTTGTTTAAGTCTCAGGTGTGCTGTGTTGGCAATTCAGTGTGAATATAAATAGAGCGTCCTGACTGAAGCATCAGCTCAGTGCGCACCCCCCCCCCCCCCACACACAGTATTGACCCACGGCAGTTTGTCTCTTTTCCTGCGCAATGCAAGCACATCTTTCTCAGGCAAACCCACATGCGCAAGCACACATACAAACCCATAGGACAAACAAACTGACCATGATCTATAATCCCATAATATTTTTTTTTGAGAGAGCTCTGGGGAATAGTAATTTTACGGGATAGAACCAAGGTTTACAAGGCTTTTTTTTCTTTAAGGAGCATTGAAGCCCGGATAACCTTGAGGTAATGCTTCAAAGGGGAGACAAGGGGAATATGAATGTACTGGGACCTTGCTTGTGGCACTGCTGGATGGTCCTCTGGATGAAAGCCTGGACGTCTCTGTAGGTCTGCAGGAAGCTGTCCTGGAACCGGCTGGCCTGCTCAGCGCTCACCCCGAGGATCCCGGACAGACGCGCACGACCTGCAGAGAGTGATGCATCACTGACGCGCATTCAGCCGCCAGCCCACGACAGGGAGAGACAGGGATGTTTTTTAACACTCTCAGTGCGAATACAAGTTTATCCAATGTGATGAACCTGTTAGTGAGTGTAAGAGGTGGATTGTTTACATGTCATTATTGTTTGTGCTAAGCTAAGTTGTCTGGCTGCTAAAGGTATCTTTAAATGCATCATGCAGATACGAGAGGGACACATTTTTCTCCCATTTATCTCTTAAAAGGAAAAGTCAAATTCTCTAAAATAATGAAATATCTATTACAATCAATGCTCGAGACCTTGAGCTGTAAAATGAACAACCACCAATTTGAGCAAAACGTCCTTGTTAAAAGTTGAAACGGGGCAAGTGAACAGAGGCCAAAACAAAGGGGTAAAGAAACAGAGAGAAAGAAGTACAGACAAATGAAGGTTGGAAAGACAAAGGAGACCGAGCACAAGATAAAAGGACGGCGGACAAAGATCAGACTGCAAGAGCTGTAGCTGTGTGTGTGTGTGTGTGTGTAAAGTGAAGATAACGCATAGAACTCAGAACTCCTTAATGTGTGCGCGTGTGCTTTCCCAGGGAGGGTCAAAGGTGTACAGCCAGCAGCAGGAGTAGAGAATAGACCTATGAGCTAAGAAAGAGATCGATGAGGCGCTTAGAAATAACAAATGGGAGTCACTCTGTGTGTGTGTGTGTGTGCCTGTGTGTGTACATTATGTGTGGTCGGTGAAGTGTTGCCATGCCAAATAGCCGAGAGCTGGTGGGAGCTCTACCAGAATGTGGAAAATGAGATTGAGAACTCAACAATTTGTCACTTTTCTATGAAAATATCTGATGTAGACTAACCAATGGAATTAGATGCTTCATGAATAAACACAAAACGTTACCGCTCATGCAAGTTATAAATGCTGATTGGTTGACCTCTCATACAAGATATTGCAACGACGCTTTTTGGAAAGTCATTCTTAGATCATGAGACATCTGAATTGATCCGAGTTGGCATTTCTGTGTGTGTGTTGATCACAGCCCAAAGCCCTCTGAGCAACGAGGCCTGTTGGGTGTTTTTGTGTGACACTGAGTATGATGTGAGTGTACATGCCACAGGGACAGAGAATGAGACAAGTTAGCACGGGTGAAACAAACGTCCCCTCGACAGAGAATGTCATCTTTTGTGATGATTTATTGACTCGTGCTGTGTGGCAGGAAGCTGCTCACATTGTACAAAAACAGTGGTGCCGTTATGTTATACAAAATAATAAATAGCTTTGCCTAAAGTAAAGCAAGTAAACAGTACACCTCTGCTTCTCCTTCTTTTGTCCCCTAATACATCATCGCTGGGGCCTCTTATTAGGTGACCCATTTGTGTACGTAGGTTTCTGTGTGAGTGTGTTTCCATGTGTGTGTGTGTGTGCGCTTGAGTCCGATGCAGCGCTCTGCCCCTCCTCCCTGGCCTGATTATTGTCTTGCGAAGAAAGCTTCCTTTTAGTATCTGGTCTCCATGGCAACGCATCCCTCCACCAAGAGCTGTCTGTCTATGCTGATCAGGAGTTCCTTCCATTTCCCTCTGTCTCCCACTCAGCCCCCCTTCCCCCTCCCCCACACTTCTCTCTTCTCCGCCACATCCCCCCTCTTCTTCTCTGCTGGTAGCCCTTATTTCTTCTCTCTGGATCTCACTACCTTGCTCCTCTTACGCACTCCATATTTTCTCTGCATTTTTAGCCGACCTTTGGCATCCCATTGCCCCCCCCCCCCCTCACCCTCCCCAACCCCCCCATTCCGACTTGTGATGAATAGCATGTGCACATTTGCCTCATTGGCTGTAGAGGCTTATTGAGTTTCCTAGAACGGACTCATTTACCAATGTGTACGTTTGTTTTCTCCCACAGAGCTCATCGCCGGCTTGAGCTCTTGAATACTCCATCCAAAGTGAGCGAGAGCCATTCATGCAGATTCTGATGCCCACCGGGCACCTGGGGGCCCATATCATGTTCACACTGACAGCAGTGATCATAGTGCCCAGATATCTACCAACCGTGTGTGTGTGTGTGTGTGTGAAACGTAAATGGGACACCATTGACACAGAGGCGCATCTTTGATGAGCCACGTGGGGGTAATATACATCCATCTTCCTCCCTCTGTTTTTCTATTTCTGTCTTCTCTCTTCCCCCTCCACTGTGTCCAACCCCCCCACCCTTCGCCGTCTGCTCTGCGGAAGCCGGATTGCGATCAAAGCATGAAAGAAATGCTTCCCCAGCAGAAATCACTGGGCTCTCTCTGCGCGCAGAACAACCTAAATCTCGCACAAAAGCACTTCCCATCCTTGTGGTACCGTGTGAAACTTCAGCGTAATCCTCACACACACAGGTTTATACCCCAAATCTGACCTCTGCTAGTAACCCATCCGAAGCGTTTAAGGAGCAGCGGTCCGCTTTCAAGTGTCCGAGGAGCAATCTGTCCTTTAATGAGCCGGCAATCAAACCGCCAACCGCCTCCTTAAAGGGCCGAGGAAATGAGGTTTGTTTTATCTCTGAATTATCTCCTCCGCCAAGACATTCACACAATGAAGCCCTCTGAACCGCTCGCCCTCAGACCCATTGCTTTGACATTTTGAAACAATGCAGAGCAATTGCACATTTCCTTGATGAAGACCATTATCCCCATTATGGTAAACCTTTTAAAATATGCCTGTATGTGTGTGTGTGTGTGTGTGTGCTCACCTGCCCCGTACACAACAGAGTAAACGATGCGCTTGGCGTGTTCCCGATCCTCAGAAGTCACCTCACCCTCACTCACCCCCTTCCTGAGCGACAGAGATGAAGACAGTGTGTGACTCTCTACTGAAGGAGAACATACAAACATACGTGTCTCAATATGGTGTCGAGGTTAAAGGCTTTGTCTTAAATCCACTAACTACAGTGTTTTAAAAGGAAAGGGGGCAAATAAAGTCCTGATTGATTTGAGTTTTGATTTCATTTTGTTCAATCTGTTCAATTACCATTTCCAATGCTCAGCGGAGGTCTTTTTATAGCGACAAAATCGTGTGGAAAGTTGAAATGTATTGTGAATGTGCACGCACGATACACGAATGCCCTCTGATCGCTGTCACAGAGCGGCAGGAGCGAGAGGGGACAGCAGGGATGTGGAGGTTGAAAGGACATGAAGTACTCTGGGTAACTACAGAAAAGAACAGAGAGGGAGGGATGGACAAGCAGAGACAGTTATGCAACGCAAGTCGTAGACAGCCGTAGTACCGGGGATCAGACAGGGCGGCTCGGTGAGTCTGCAAAGTGGCGTTTCTGGAGGGGCCGACTGCGAGCTGCCACCGTGCATCAGTGCTGAGAGGGGATCTACGCAGCATGTGGTCACCCCTACTGGATACTCGCTGCCCCCTGCTGGAGAGGCACTAGTCCAGTGGATTAAGCCGATCGATTCAACAGGACCGGGGGGGGGAAAACTCATTTTAATTCTTCTGCTCTGGTATATCAGAGACTGAAAAAAACATTTATAAGAAGCCCTATTTGTCACGTTTCGGACATGAAACAATCTTCTACATTATTCTTTGCCTCCCATACAATTGGCTTGTGGCTGTGAGGTCTAGTGAATACCGCTGAAACCAATTTACTACAGTCTAGGAGTCTGCAGCTTAGAAAAAATATTTTTTCTAAGCTTTCTAAAAATATTTTCAATGAAACGAAAAATCTAAATAATATCCAACGTTATACATAATGCATTTTGAAGTGGGCAGAGCGCCTCTGGCCTTACAGCTCATGAATATATGTGTTGTGCCCGGTGATCTATTTTAGTGGCTCCAACCAGATTAATAGGCTGTAGTAATTACTGGTGGGGAAGCGACAGGAGAAGGAGAGGTGGGGAAAGAAGGAGACCAGCAGAGGAAAAGAAGAAGTATTTTTCCAATGCAAGAGGGACGTGATGGGGAAGACGGGAGAAACCGGAATAAAAAAATTAAAAAAAGCATTTGAATAGAAAGGCGGAGAAAAGGAAGGACAGAAATAGGAGACTATCAGAGAGAGGAAGGGAATGTGCAAAAGGAAGAGAGGCGGTCGTGATCCCTGCAGAGCCGCACAGACCCCAGTTAATTTGTTTAAAGGTGAGAGAGAGATAATGAAAGAGACACAATCTAAAGACTCGGAGGAGGCTGCTAATAAGCTCTGAATTATCAGGTAATCGGTCTAGCCGTCCGGCTTCTGCCACACACTTGACTCAGATGGATGACAAGGCAAAACACACACACACACACACACACACACACACTCGTCCATCGCAAAGAGATCTGTGTGTAAACACCGACACACACGCTGGTATTCCGAGACGGAGAATAACACCGGGGCCAACCGGCCCAGGGGTGTTTGCCCATGGAAGAGAGCGAGCGGCTGAGGCAGTTGGCACGGTAGTCATGGCAACATGGTTATTAGCATTTGGGAGCGAGGGAGCCAGCAGTCAGAGGGAGAGAGTGGGAGACGAAAATCCTGAGGAGCATCAACACTCATCTTGGCAAGGGAAAAAACAGAGCGTGTGTTTGTGTGTGAGACCCACCACTGAGAGGCCAACATGGTAAAGACGTCCGCCTGTGGGTTGATAAAAATGCGGAGCAGCTCTGGGTCAGAGGAGAGGTGAGCAAGCAGACGAAGCTCCACCTGGCAAAAGTCTGACACACACACACACACACACACACACAAACTCATCACTAGCATTTTTTAGAAGAGCCGTATTTTCTTTGTTGGCGAGAGTTTGACAAATGATCCCAAACGCTCTTATGTCTGTTGGGTAAGTATGTAGCTGGAGTCAGCGGCTTGAATGTATTGGACAATACCTACTATATGAGCATTATTTATCATTGCATATGTTATGCATTATGTGTGGTCAAAAACACAAAACACATGTTGACACCATAATTAAACTTTTTTGGGGAGAAATGTTGCGACTAAACTTTTGAAGGCCCTGCTGTTCCTTAACCTGCAATCTTCCCTTAATTCTGTGACTTCCTGCATTTCCCAGGATAATAGGGGATGACCTGCAGAGAGCGGGTGTGAGACGGCTCTGAGAGGAAGTGCAGGTCATCCAGAAAAGCACCAAGTGTCTAAAAAGCCTTCTGACACCAAGCTGCCTCACATATATTCCTCTTTCAAATACACAGACAGAAACGTGTGTCACCTGAAAACTCAACTGGAAAACTCACTGAACAGAAATATAAGTGTGTGAGGGCGACGCGTCCTGTAGTGACGGTCTGCGGCGCTCTCGCTCTCTCGTCAGCTCTAAACCGAAACGTCCCTTTCGCAAAAAAGGACCAGCAGTGCATTCCATTACCGCCATTTCTCCTTCCTGCGCTCGGCATCTTGGAATCCAATTAAAGTTGGACAAATCTCAGAGTGGATGATGGTGACATACATTTCTTTTGCCTTTTCCCCTCAGTGAGGATGAAGCAACGAGCTGTAATAGGTTTTTCCCTCATGTGGGAAGGCAGAGAGCGACAGGATAAATTGGACATTTTACAGACTTCGTATCAATTATTCGGCCCCATATTGAAAAGAGGAAGTTCTGTTCTGTTTCACGGTGCAAGTTAACCCGCTACTGTTAAACCCAGCTCAAAGTTGGCAGAGGGAGGAGATTTAAGGGACAAAGAGAGGGAGAAACTCCAGGATAGAAGAGAAGGGAAGCGGAGGGGTGATGGGGGGGAGCAATAGGGTGAAATAAATGGTTTTAGATGTGATGAGGTGAGGACGGGAGTTTCTAAAGATATCCTCCCATCAATGTTTTATGAGTCTGATCACATTTCCTCCAAGCATGTCTGGCAGCTTCAGAAACATATTGCTGAGTAAGGCGTGTGTGTGTGTGTGTGTGTGTGTGTGTGTGTGTGTGTGTGTGTGTTAGAGAGAAACAGTGAGCGAGTGTTTTCAGTGTGACTGAAATAGAAAAAGAAGAAAGGGAAAAAACAAAACTGTGGGTACGAAACAGAGAGTAACAATATGACACCAGGCATGAGAAGGTGTTACAGAGAGATCGTGTGTATGTGTGTTTGTGTGCGCTCTCCAAGGCCACCTTCTAACGTGGATAAACCACACCAAGAAAACCAGCCACAATCAGTTCTTTCATTGATCGGCACAGGAATAACTGACCTACAGTTACATCATCCACGGATTAACCCTTCAAAAAGGACGAGTGTTCAGATTCGTACGTCCTAGACTACGACTATACAAATGAGAATATATGTGTGGAGGCAAAACCCGGTCAGATTAATTAGTATTAGTGGTGAATTCATTTAATTGGTTTACGCTCAAAAACGTAGTCAGTTCCCTTTGGGGCCGGCCTCTTGTGACGGGCATATCTCATTATTTCCATAAACAAAGTGAGCGATAACTTAATTAGAATAACAATAATGGATCTGTGATGAACACTCAGAAGTTGTAGCCTGCGCCTGGAATAGAGATGCTGCAGCTCAAGCAGTTGGTACTTGCCACAGTCCTTTGGACAGCAGACTAAGCCGGGCCTCATGCATCTTTAATGAAACCACCCACAGCAGCCTGAAGAGCCCTCGCATGCATACACATACCGTACCGCCAAGCATCGAGCGGAGGAGCTCCTCTGAGAATACGAAGAGGCTTCCAGGAGGGACGGCCGCGTGGATCGGGGGATTGAGGGGATTGAGGGGATTGAGTGCCAGAGTTCAACCGAACCAGGATTTAGTCCGGGAACAGCTGTCGGTCTGGATCTTCCTCAGATGTGTGCCATCACGACCCTTGATTAACCTCTGAACCATCCTCATCTTGACGTGGTCTCGTACGGTAGAAGCAGACGACATCTGCATGCACGTGTGTTCGCTCTTCGGTTCGTTATGGACTACGGCGTTAAAAATAAGAAACTGAACAAAAACAAACTGCTGATGAGGGACTCAGACCCACTTTTGATGTCATGTTGGCAAGACTCTCCGTTTTACTTTTTTCAGCTCCAGTCCCCCACCAAACTCCCCCCAAACACCCACCAAACTCCCCCCAAACACGGAGCACACATCTCCCAAAAGAAAACAACATTGGACTATTGGAAATATTTAAAAATAAACACACCGGCAGGTTAGTCGAGGAGAGGGAGGCTGCTCAAAATGCGCCACGAAAGGGACTTGACAGCCGTGCAGTTATTACTAAGCCACGGTTTGGATTCTTTTGAGGGGAGGATTAATAAACACAACACACACAGACTCAATACACAAGCTTCGTCATGTCCCCCAACACACACACACACAACTTCCAGACAGGAAAAGAAAGTACATAACTCTTTTTTTGTTAGTTAAGTTTTTTGAAGGACACAGAAAAGTTTTACTTCACACAAACACACACACACACACACACACACACACACACACACACACACACACACACACACACACACACACACACACACACAACTTCCAGTCTGGAAAGGACACCAGAGGACATTAAGGAGGACATGAATTGGCAATAGCTCTCTAGGAGGAGGGGTTGTTTCTCTGGAAACCTAACCCGAGCGTATGTGTGTTGTGTGGTGAGTTTGTCGATCCCCGCTGGATGTTGTGTGTGTGTGTGTGTGTGTGTGTATTTAGGATCCTTGCTCTCCTCCTGCTGTCCTCCCGCTGACCCCGGTCTATCGGCCCGGTTATGTAAGCGCTGCACACAGTACCAAAGCCGGCAGACACCCTGCGCCCCTCACAAGGCGCCCCGGCCCTCCAGGAGCCATCAGAGGCCTGAGACCACTGGACACGGGTCCCGAGGCTCAAAGCCGTTAAACTAAAAGCGCAGTACGAGTGTTCTCATGTTGTTGTCACTTGATGGGTTCTTATTCACAGCAGCACGGCGGGAATTCGCATCGGCTACTTTTCGTCTCGAAATTTGAGGTCTCACCTATTTTCTTCTGTGTGTCAAACAAAATAAAAGCACTCTGGTGACTTCCTGTGGACCCAATCCCTTAACCTGCTAACGCAGGGAGGGGCAGTGGCTTGAATGACTCGAGCGAGCACTGGTTTTTAATTACGAATTGTGTTTATTTTTTATACTCCTTAAATAGCATAAACATTTAAATTAAACTATCAAATTCTGGTCTTTATGAAAGAAGAACTCCGCATAGAAAGAACAGCAGGCAGCAGAACAGATATATGTTGCTGTATAAAAGCTCTAAACTACAATGATTTGACATTACTCGTCATCTTACCCGCAGAGAGAAACGTCCATCCGTCCTGAGGGACGAACATTGCTCGAGGATGAACAGTCACCACCTCCTGCTCCTTTCCTGTGGGGACAAACCAAACCTCAGTCAGCAGCCCCTCGATGCAAAAAGCATTTCAAAGCTAAGACGGGATGAGACAGTTATTTTGTATGCTAAATAAAACAAAAAGTGTAATTGTAATTGATGAAAACACAACAAATACACACAATTATTTTATGTTATGGCATATTATTAAGAATTTCTTGTCATTTACTTTTAAGGAACATAGATTCCTATCGCAATTATGAAAACTAAACTCACGTTAAACCAAGTTCACCAACTGGTCTGCAATGTGTTACAGCACACACACACCACACACACACACACACTTAGCTAATAACTTGTTATTAGAACCGCTGGCTGCAGGGCTGAATGTAAATGAAATTGACCGTCGATAAATAAGCAGGGGACTTTCAATGACTTCCAGCAGAGCATCGTGATTTAGCTCTAACATTCTGTGTGTGTGTGTGTGTTGACACAGAGAAACACACCGAGTGAAAGTGCACCGCGAGGAGCATTACACATCACTAATCAGGAGTTAAATTATGACGCCACGAGGGGCCGTTTAGACGCAAATCAGGATCCAATCAGGGCCGGCGTGCACGCGTTCACTGCTGTGAGACGGGACTGCAAGTGCTGACTGTAGTGCAGGAGGAATGATGGGCCACTGTGAACCGTCCACTCCCACGTCAGGACACACACACACACACACACACACACACACACACACACACACACACACACCCCAGCACCGAGTGTACGGATAAGTGGAGATCAATCAAGCAAAGGATTTTAGAATAAAAAGGTCTCTGTTAGGCAATAGATTATTTTCTTCAACACAGAATGTAGGTATGTGAAATATGCCTCAGAAATCATGTTGTTCAGCCATTCATTCAAATTACAATAAATTCAATTGTCACGCTTATGAAATGTACATAGCGCCTCAAATGATTCATGAGGTCATGATGTGATTGAGGCGGAGCTCTCGCAAAATTCAGCTAGTTTTCTCAAAGTTTGTGCTTGCCGATGAATATGTACCACATGGGTCCGACCAGCCGCTTAAACTTTAAGACAAAAATTGGAAAGACGAAAAGAAGACGGCTGGCGAGCGCAGGGAAGAAGCGACGGGTGAAAATGATCACGTCCTATATTCCCTAACCGTGTGTCCGTACGGACGATGTTCTCCCCGAGCTGTCCTGGAGGAAACATTCTCAATCTCGGGACGTACCGGTTGCTTTTTGTTAATCCACCAACTAGCTTCTTTTTTTATTGCTCTTTTTAAACTTGAGCTCATAGCAGGCGACGAGATAGACTATTTACGGTTTCTATTTGAAAAAACACATTCTGTCCAAATGGATCTCTTTTAATCCAGCTTTATGTGTCCTTTTCACATCCAAAATGTGAGAGGTTTCATTACTTGATCTCGCATAATCGGGCTGAGGAGGCTGAATGTGAAGTATTTTATGACGTCTATTATAACAGATGTTTTAACTTTAAATCAACCCAAAAAGAAATAGGTGCAACCAAAAAGAAGTACATAAACGAAGCGACAGTAGACGTGAGGCAAACACTAACATGGAGGAGACTTTCAGTGACTGGCCCTTCTCCTTTCAAGACTTTTATCATCCTCATAAAGCCTCTTTGCGAGCTCCCTGCTCATCACTTTTTCTTTGCTTCTCAAACACACACACAAACACACACCATGACACGTGTGTGTTAATGAGTGTGTGCGTGTATGCGCACACTACCTTGGACGTGCTGCTTCTGGGCGATTTGAAGCGCTTGCCTCGGCAGGGCCTGGAAGTTCTGGTTTGGGAGAAAACACACATTCTGTGAGGCTGCTGGAGTTGAAGTAGTTGAGTGGACAGCCTGTAGTTCAGATGGTTGTACTGTGACAGTCTCATGTTTCCACACAAGTTGTTCCTCCCAATGTCAACGTAGTGTTTCATGCAGAGGAAGTGATTCCCAGCAGTGTGCATAAGGGAGAAGGGTTCGCTGTATCTATCTGCGGATACTCCCAGCACGCCCCTGAGGCTGCAATGAAGAGGCCATGGAGGTGTCGAAGCCACACTCACTTTTTCTATTAAGCCTGTTTCTCATAATTAGATGAGCATGAAATGGGGATGGTGAAAGAGTCATAAAATACATACTTTTAAGTAGAACACACCTTTTAAGTTTTCAGATTTACACCTTAGAACGAGAGCAGACGGATGTTCACCGAGCTCTTGGCTCACTGAGCATCGACTGAGTAATATAAGACGGAGTGTATTTAGACACAGACACAAAAGTGACACATATGCAGTATTTTTCTGCCTGAAGGAGGAAATACAGGAAAGGTGATGAGGCACAACAGCGCGTGCACATGAACACACAGTTAAAGAGGTAGAATAAAAGGGTTCATACAGAGAGGTTCCATTTTAACCCCAGGTAACACACAAGTATGACTGTGTGTGTGTGTGTGTGTGTGTGTGTGTGTGTGTAACGATGTTGAAAGTTATCCTCACCAAGGTCTTCCTGGACACATTAATCCGTGGAATTGCACACAATTACACACACACAACATCAAGAAGGTGTCAAAGAAAGTGAGATGGAGACACACACACACACAAACACACACATTGTGCATCATGTCAGAATTTAAACATGCATGTTTGATCTGACCCTGCAGTGGGTGCGTTTGCTCGTGTGTGATCCAGAGAGAGAAAACAGCCCCCTGCTTTCACCACTCATTCATTATTCAACAAGAGGGAGGGAGGATGAAAAGACAGGACTGCAGGGCAGGGGGTGAACATCAGGGACCAGGCACACGCACGCACGCACGCACACACACACACACACACACACACACACACACTTTGGGGAATGAGTAAAGAATTGGGTGTGTTGCCCCATGCTGTGACGTCAGAAGCAAATCCTCAGCTCTCCCAATCATGCGCAGTGTCGCAATGACGACAGCATAAATCATACAGTACACGTACACACACAAACACAATTTATCACAGACACACAAAGAAAAGTTCAAATGTTAGCACCTGCGACACATAATTCAGACCTTCTCTCCGGGGTAATGGTTTGTTGGGAGGACGCATCGAGCCACTAATTGAGCTTCCAGGGCTTCTAATTATTGTCAACAGCGTTGTTGATCATTGTTATGTCGATGCTTTTAGAGAGAAAGTGAAATGTGTGCGCTTGTGAAAGGAGCAATGAGAAGAAGGGAAAACTAAAAAGGCAACCAAAGAGATGAGAAAATTTAGATCAAGAGGAAAAAAAGGAGAAGGAAGAGACGCAAATAACTAAATAGCAGATTTAGACTACAGTGGCTTGAGAGTCAGGATGAACGAGAAAACATAAACCATGAAACTGTCTGGGTCAGCTTGCTGTGTTCACTGCTGACTGTACAGTTTAAAACACACACACACACACACACACACACACACACACACACACTAAAGACTCTCACACACACTGTATATAGACACAACCACTCTCCACAGCCCTGGTCAATAATCATAAAAACCTCTTTAGTATACAAACACCAACGAAAAGGACTGATGTCAACAAGTATACATGAACATGGCTAATGATCAATAACGGATCTTTTAATTACACACACACACACACGGCAGTTACATGAGCACTTTGAATTGAAGTCATATTAGTGAGCAGAAGTGTCACTGCAGAATAGTGGCTCAATAATCTGCTAACACAGCATGTGACGACATTATCTTTCACGCCATGTTATACAACTAAAGAAGGTCAGTTCGCATGACAGCAGCACGGTAATGTGTTTAAACTACTGAATGTAAAATGACATCATCAGTGAGATTGAGATCGGCCCCTTTTGTTACCGTCACACCGGTGCAGTTAAACCCGACAAAGCGGTGAGAGTCTGGACAAAGGGACACCGGTATGGAGCATAGACGAAGAGAGAGCCCTCACACGGTGTGTGTGTATGTGTGTGTGTGTGTGTGTGTCTCAAGATGGCCTCAATTAAATCATGGCTGTTGTTTTTGTTGTTCTTCTTCCACGTAATTACATCAACGTGTGTCAATTACAAAGATACAAATGCTACCATTGCTGTCTTTTTTCGTAAATATTCCTTGGCGGTCAGACACAACACACACGCACGCGCACGCGCACACACACACACACACACACACACACACACACACACACACACACACACAGCTTGAAAATATGCCTGAGCCCCTGACAGCTGCGTTTTCTGCTGCCGGGCTCGTTTGGGCCTTTTACTAATGCAGATGTGCTTGTTCTCAGTGTTGTGTTTCAACTACTGACTCTGTGAGCAGCACTGTGGCTTTTGTACAAACAGCAGGTGGTCCAGACTGCCTGTCTGGTGGACGAGAACGTTAGTTTAGCTCGTCCCTCGCCTCCATTGACCTTTGACCCGCAGGGTGCCACCAATCAGGTCCTCGACTGAACGGTATCTGTAAGCACGTCTACAAAGGGAGCCGGCAGTCTGATTGCCAGTTCCATCTTCTCACGCTGCTACACACATCTGTTTCTGATTACACGCATTTTGGAGGTGCAAAATGCCCCCATGCAGATTTTCCCGCGGGGGACGGGGCAGCGGGCTTGGAGGAGCATTTAATGACTAAATGCAGACACTGCCTGACGAGGCAATAACAGAAACCTAGATGGCAGTTTGGGAACAGACACAGCTGCAAAATCATTAAACAAAACAACCCGTCAGTAATGGAACTAAGCGTGGTTCTAATACATTGCTAAATTAGCACTTATTAAACACAGGAGAGAGCAGATGACATAGAAACAGTCAGGAGGGAGAGCGAAAAGAGGAAGTTATTTTATTTGTGCTCTTTGGTTGCACTGCAACACTATGACAGGGAAAGAGAAAAAACAAAAACAGATTGAAATAAAGCATCACGTGGAGAAAGGAAAAAAACTTAAAGGGAAAACAGAAATTGAGGCGACCAGAGATGGAACTGCTGTAGACGGAGAGGAGGAAGCAGATACAGATAAAGGGACGAAGGCAAAGCTCCACTTTCCTCCGCAGAGCTTTAAACACAGCACTTTATGGCGGTTTAATCCCAGCAGCCCTTTGTTGCTGCAGTCCGCCTGCTTCACCTCATTTGAAGTCACAACAGATGAAAGCAAAAACCCTCTGCAGCACTCCTCATTTCAATATGTGTGTGTGTGTGTGTGTATGGCGCATGGTGGCAGAACTACCGACCCCCCCACCGCCCCTCCCAGCCGTGGGATGGGAGGTTAGCGATCACTGAGTGAGTCAGCACATTATGGTGGCAATAATGAGGAGTGATCTAAAATATATGATAGAGCAGAAATAAGCATAAAGAGACTTACGAAAGTTTGCTCACTAATGGTGGAATGATTCCCGTACTTCATCATACAATGAATCATTCATACAATCAATCAAGCAGCACTAAACTGATCATTTAAATACAAATATCACAAATGTGTCAGTATATATATACACATATAATAAACACACACACACACACACACACACACACACACACACACACAAACCCACACACATTTGTTCCTTTAATTCTTTAGCCATTCTCTACATAGGATTACAGTTTGGATCCATTACTTATGGTTGGTCACAGTGATTTAGGAAATCTTAGCTGAGGTGGAATGTGTGCAAATAACCAAGTGAAACAGTTGCAATAATAATCCAAATGCAATTGTTTCACATCTCATTTGCATTGGTTTCATACTACTGAAGAACACGCATTATGTAATGTTGCACTATTGTTGCAAATCTTAAGTACTGGAACCAACGATTATTTTCATTGTCAATGATCAGCCAGTGATGTTCTTGATTATTCAATAATCTTTTAGTCTGTCAAATGTAAATAACAGTGAAATACAAGATATTTTGTGAAACCACCTTTCTATCAGTTTTTTATTTTATTCATAACGTGTTTGATTTAATAGCAGTTATCAAACAACCACAAAGTCGATTGTTTAATCTTCAATTCAGTAAAGGAAATGTGTAGGACATGTAATGTAATGCCACCCAACTAAAAAAAGGTATTTAAAGTTTAAACTTAGAAAAGCAGCACATGCTCCCATTTCATTAGATGATTATCTAAATCCATTAATCAAATATCTATGACATTACCCGCAATTTTTGTTGTTGTTGTACAGTTAAGTCAAAGTTGTGATGTAAATAAAACATGGCGTCGCAAATGTTATCTGTAAACCACTAAATGAGATAGAAAAGTCCCCATGGTAACATACGTGAGTGTGTGTGTGTGTGTGTTCGTGTGTGTGTGTTCGTGTGTGTGTGTGTCAGAGCAATGCTCGGTGGTAGAACCAGTGGACCCTGACAGGGAACAGTTAAAGGGAAATGTTAAAATGAGCTTTCAACCTCCTCACACTGAGGAGAGGGAGAAAGCGAGGGGAAGTGAGAGGAAGGATTTTTTTTTTTTTAAATGTATTTTTTTTCTTCTGTGTTTAAACTTCTACATATAGCCTTATACATTGGGTGGTAATGTCATAAGTTGACTTAATTTATTTTTTGTGAACACCGCAATACCTGTGTGATCAAGTAGCTGTACCATCGGTTAAAACAGACTTTTGGACATTTTGTTGTTGTTTCCTCGACTGAAGACTCTTATCACAGTTCAGCACCATGGACAGCTCCACTAAGTGAACGGCGTCACAGACTAGCCTGATCATGTGCTTCAGGATGAAAGAGGGAAAAGATAAATACATACCTGCAAACTCACAAGCGCTGAAAAAGGTGACAACAGTGGGGAGAGCGGGGGGGGGGGGCGTACTTACTGGGTGCTTGGCTGAGATTCTCCCCGTCACAGCACTTGTCTGGTTCCATGTAGAGGAAACGGAGTTCTGATGCGTTACGAGAGAGGCAGAGGTGCACGAAGTTAGTCAGAATACACCGAGGAAACTATTGCAACTACAACTACTTTCATCACATGATAAACACGTTTCCATGAGTCAGCGGTGTCATCAGCAATGTTTCCATGTAAGTGATTCCTAGTCAGCTCAGCTCGACAACAACAGCCGTGACCCCGACTGCCATCGTCACTCTGATTCCGCTTTTGGACCGACAAGCGCCAACAACGCCATGCGACAGCTTGACGCCTGCTTTCAGCAAGCTGTTTGAGGAATGTATTGCCGGCTGAGCGGGACATGCACCCACGTGACTAACGTCGACCTATTCTGCTGTTTGACACAGAGCTGCATCTTCGCTCTGCAAATACAGAAACCGGAGCGGCTGGATGTTCCCCTATTATGTTCCTTACAGCAGCAGCGTCTGTGCCGGAGTGTTTTGTGATGTAGGCGTAATGCAATCACACCTTGGCAAGCCGCGCGTTCATGTGTGCATTGTAGCTGTGCTCAATAAGCATGAATAGTCCCACAGCCTTACCCTGCCGCTTTCTATTGTAGTGCTGAGGAGCAGCAGGAGAATGAATGGCATTCACACCAGTGGGAGCAACTCAACCTCCAGGAGAAAAGTCTAGAAAAATCTATATTTCATTGTGATGTTGCTTGTAAGAAATTGTTTGAACTGTGGATTCTTATTTCTTTGACTTATTTGGTTTGTAGCAGCTGTGGGCTCACCTTGCTCGCCATGCATGAGAGGATCCCATCAACAAAAGTGGACTTGATTTTGTGAACCTGGGGATTCAAATGCAAATGTTTTTTCCTGGAAAGCGGAGGGTGATTAAGGTGCTACACTGCTTCATACTTTATACACATACTTCAGTTGAGCAGCGCTACACATTATTCCTTTGAAACGGATCACATATAACATACCGATGATCCGACTCTAACCGTAACATGGGAGAGACTACTCTCCTTCAGGCATTAATAAGCAAAGCAACATTCTGCGAAAAAACAATTTTATCAATGGAAGCAGTTTACAGGACTGACCTGTCTGTACTCCAGAATGATCTTTGGCAGCGGGTGAAGGTCCTGAAGCTGCAACAACTACAGAGAGAGCGAGAGCGAGTGAGACATGTATTTATTCTACCTATTGATGTATATGAACTTGGCAGCTGTTCATTAAATACAAAGAATCAATGATGATGATCCATTTTCCTTTATTGGAGGTGGAGAAGGTGCATGTGTGTGCGTATCTATGCATATTTGTGTGTGTTTTTGTTTCTGTGGGCGCCATACCGCGGCTTCTGAGGTCGACTGCTGCTGCGTGTTGACGGTCTTGGGAAGTTTCTTGTTCTCGCAGCGTTCGTGGAGGCACAGCTTTTCAAACAGGACCTTCAAACATTGTAAAAGCCACAATATCCGCAAATCCGTGACATTAAAAGTGCAGACACACAAACACACACAGACGGACACATAACTGTACACACTGTACGTAGTTGAGTGTTGCTGGTGACCAGGAAAAGTTGCCCTGCTGCTCGGTGGGCCTCGTGCTCCAACTGCTTCATCTTGGTCTGAAAGAAAGAGAGGGAGGAAAAAAGAAAACATCACACAGACACATTCTAACACGAAACGTGAAACCGGGTTGATGTAGCGCCTGCTGTGAATATCCAGTCTGATACATAATGAACTTTGCCTCTCAGGGAGGTTAACGCCGACTGAGTGATGAAGTCAGCGAGGGAGAGCAAGCGAGGAGACGCCAACTGGTAGAGTGGGCGAGCGGGGAGAGAAAAGGCCTGATCAAAAGGGAAAGGAAAGGAGAAGAGACAGAGAGGCTCCAATGGAGGATACAAAAGTCAATGAGAAAGATGAAGAGCAGCTGATGAAGGGAAAAGGGGGGCGGAAGGGCAGAATTCCAGTTTGTGCAATATTCCGCCTAAAGATGAATGTGTTTTGTTTTTTCTCTACTGGGGTGACATCAACACCAGCAGCTCATTACAACTGTCTGACTGAAGTAGGAAAACGTAACAACTTGAGAGGTAAACAAGAGAGAGAAGGAGGGAAAAGGAACAGGGACGCAACAGAGAATCGAGGGGGGGGGGAGGCATGGGCTGATGTAAGAGAGAGAGAAGAAAAGGAAGAGAGATTTTGAAATGTGGGAGGGACAGAATACTCAACGGGTGCAAAGAGTTGAATTGTGACTACTGCTTTGTTTATGTATGATTTTTTATGACAGGTACAGTGATGAAGGAGATATAGAGACAGGGGAAAGGAAATGGAAGAGGGAAAAGTGGAGAAGTTGGCTGACCAAAAATATAAAAATGTGTGCTGCTCGCTCGCTCGGCTTCGCCCAGAGCAGCCGCCAGACTGCCTCATCAATATTGAATGCAAGCCCCTTAGTGTTGTCTTCGACACGCACACATAGACACATATGGCAGGAATCTAATATTGCAGGGCAATATTTGAGATGAGAAGCGCGGACTTCTCACCCTGACGTGGCGTGTGTGCACAGAAGGACGTCCAATCTCGTCTGAATAGGCATGTCTTTACTAAGCGGAAGTTTTCCCGGCTGAATTTGAATAATGGCGACCGACAAGACGAAGGAGCATGTGAGCGTGTTGCTGAGCTGCCGGATGACGGACAGGATGGATCCTCTGTTTGCGGCGCAGACAGTTGAACAAGACAGCTCAGATAAAAAGGAATTCAACAGGACAGAGCGTGAGTGAACTCACAGGAAGGGATTACAAAAACACAAGCACACACACACACACACACACACACACACACACACAGCTCTGACGCAGTCTGCAAAAACTTTATTGCCTCTGTGCGTGTGTGTGTGTTGTTGGCAGAGGCAGACAGCACTGCTCCTTCCTGCAGCTAAGGCTCCTGAAGGGAAAAAGACAAGACTCTCCATCCTATTTATAGTCACGAGGCGAGAAACCAAAAGACTTTCTCCACACAACACCCCTGCTGGCACTCGCGAGAAGTTGTAATTGGGTTTGTCTTTGACTGCCTGCGAAAGTGATTAGGGCGCAGTCAGTGCGTGTTCATGAGCAAACGTTTCACAACATCTGTGTGTGTCTATGACGGCTCTTGAACGTGGTCCCAGGGGTTGGTTAATATCTGTATGTAAACAGGACGGGTCTTGGTGGTTGTCCACCCACCCCATCACTAATCCTACCCACGAGAAGAAAGAGATAAATCACATTTTCTTTTTCATTTCAGGCTTCTTGAGGGTTTTTTCTTTCTTTTTTTTCTCCCTCGTTTTTACAGATATCTCTCCTGTGTTGCAAATCCTCCCCCTGTTTTTCGCCCATTTGTATTAATACAGCTGCTGTCGGCCGCACTGTGGTTCAGCAGCGCATCTAATTAGCAAAGAGTGAGTCAGTGCAAATGTGAGCCGACCCTGAACATCACATCCACACACTGGCTGCCCAAAACCAAGTGTCCACAGGAGCCTTTTTATTACGTACGTTTGATGTGAACACATGGAGGCTCTTACACAAGACTGCAACACATCTGGTTCTTCAAAAAGAGGTTCAGCTTAAGGAATCTTATTTTGGAACATTCTTACTATACACTTTCTTGGTATAATTCTGACCGTCCCGAGATCACATGAACCCAAGATACTGTTACAATAACACTTATAGGGAAACTATAAACTACAGAAGTCATAACATTTCATGCACCACAAAGATTGTTGATGTTGTGCTTTACCCCCAGCAGGTCGGACGTTCTCTTGAGAGCTTCTTTGTCCACATGGATGCGATGGCTCTCCATGGCTGAAACACCACAACACACATTTACTGCTCCTCAGGACCTGTTATCGTAATTCTACTAAAAGTGGGTGCAGACAGACTTGGTTTCAGTATTTAATATTGTCCCAAACTAAAGAGTTTCATTGTGGCTGTTTGTGAGTATTTCATAAAAACATATGGTGGTGCAGGAGGTTGGAAGAATCCCAAAGAATGTGCTCAGTGTCTACTGTAGCAAATAAAATAAAAATGTCTCCTACCTGCCAGAACGGCAATCATGCTCAGCTCCATGTCTGAGTACAGCTCCCACAGCCCTCGGCTCTGGGCACACAAACAGTTATTCAGGGGACGTGTTGCGCAGCCACACCGTATGTACAGGTGTGCGTGTGCACTTTAACTAACCTGTAGTTTAAAGCACAGCTCCGTGTTAAGCCAGTAGAGCGAATAGAGACCTGAGATGACCTGAGAAACCTGAGATAATGAGAAACAGGAGAGGAACGTACTCAATGAAATGGAGTGAAGGGAAGAAAAAGCAGTCCAGGTACCAGGAGACAGGGCCTTGCATGAACAGATTTCTCAAAGTAAATTCCAGCCACCGTCTATTAATAGGATGGTGGTTGTTCAAAGTGTCAAGAAAATCTAGACACTGTGCTGTCCTGCAAGGAAATGGAACCAGTGAATCCTTTCATTGCACCTGTCTGGTTCCTAAGGATGTTGTATGGGGTCTTCTGCTGTGTTTGTTGAGAAGGTCTCTGTAGCAGGAGGAGGGATTTGTTGGATCCAGTAGCCACCCTGACACCTGCGGGTCCTGAATGTGACACCCCGCCACTGGAGAGAGAAAGGACAGCTTGTTATGATATTGAGAAGAGTTATTTACGCTGTACTGATGACCTTTTTTTTTTAAACATAGAAATCTCTGTCAAATCATTGTAATCAACATAGTTTCAGAATTATACTGCTGTTAGTGAAAGAAGAAACCATTATCTCATTATGGATTTAGTTTTTGTTTTAGAGTATTTTCACATCAGTTGTTTGCGCCTTAGATTTTTTGGGCTCAACAGAAAAAAAGGATCACCCAAGGATACATAGGAGGATAGGAGATTGGAACAAAGACGCGTCTCTAAGTGATTAGTCCTGTGCACGCTCTACCTTGTTTCAAGCCCAGCTCGGGTCCGTAAAACTGCAAAGCTGTACGAAGCAGGTCCTTGGCTTTATAGCACACCACCAGTTGAGATCTTGATAGCACTTGTAGCAGTATATCTCTGCAGAACACACAAACACACACACTTAATTACTCACGTTTTAAACCCTCAGCTTTTTCTTGATGGAAATAAAAGCAGATCAGAAGATCGGCGGCCCGGTGTATGCGTCGGTATGAATGGTATAGTTACAGTCCTGATGGGCAGGTGGCAAACCGCATCATCAGTGCATTAATGTCACAAGACCGTATACATACACACACACACACACACACACCTAGTAAAGAGCTCCTTGCTCTGCTGAGGGTGTTGCTGGGCCCATGCAGGTGTGTGCTCTAGTTTTAAATAGACCAGCCTGTCGTTGGGCCCGAGCGGGTCCTCCGGTGTGCCGTCAGGATTGTTCTTCAACAGTACAAGGAGGCCGCAAACTTCTGGGGTGAGCTTCTTTATCGAGGATTCGAGAGGGAAATCAACAGACGGTCAATAAAGCCACACAAATAAATCTGCACATGCGGCGGCCAGCTCTGCTCACCTGCTCCGGGTCAAACTGAGTGGTTCCATCTCGGTAGACCAAGGTGAGCACCAGCGCCTCGGCCTTCTTTGCCCTCTCAAGCGTTTGCGTTTTCTCGTCCAGGTTCATCTTCCCAGAATCCTTCACCCTGGGGTCGGATGTCAGGGTTGCAGTCAGAGAGCCGGCTTTGGATTGGTTCGAGGGCTCAGGACCGCCGGCCTCCGCATGAGTTATCTTTGGCTCGTCTATTTCCTGGTCGGACCCATGTTTACCCCCCTTGTGTTTAAGGGGTTTGCACCTTTCTTTTGTCTTTCTCTGCCGAATTTGTGGGGTTTGCTTTGGGCCATGCGAGTCTTCATGAGTCCCTGATATTATACCTGTTTTATGTGAAAGACCGGCTTCAGTCTGCGGCGGTTCTGCTGAGTGTTCAGGGTTACAGGTCGTGGACCCGGCTCTCTTCAGCTCGCTGACTCCTTGCTCCTTTTCTTGAGAAGGATGAGGTGCTTCCCATTTTGGATGACGCCTAGTGAGGCAGATTTTCGGAGTGGGTTCCGCATATTGCCGCTGAAGTTCTTCATGTTTCCTCTTCAAGGTGAAGGACGGGATCAGGGGAGGATGGCAGGAATGAGTTCTGCTGTTTTCAATTCTTTTGCCCGGTTTTGCAGTGGTCAACGCAGCGTCCCGTCCTGAGGAGGAGTTTTGTTCGGCAGCAGAAGTGCTGGCCAGTACACTGCTGAAGCTTCTTCCTCTGACCTTTCCATTAGCCGCCTGCACACATGAAAAGGTGAACAGTGTCAATAGGAAAGGAACAAAGTAAACAGAGGGATCAGGAGAAGCCAACAAAACAAAACAAAAACAACAAAATGCACTCAAAAAAAACCTCAAGTCTCCCTGTGTTTGTTAAACAGAAAATCAATACACAAGAAAAGCAGGAGCAAGTCCAAAGTTCTGTTTGCACAAAATTAGCACAGAAATGGATTCCCGTGTTATTTACCCGTCCCCATTCATGTTTAGATGATACACGATATGTGAGAGCGAGTGAGAGCTGAGGAAGTAAGCAGGAGAGCAGTAAGAGTGACGCAGAAGGGAAGAAGCAAAAGGGAAAGCGGGAAGATGTGATGAAAGGAGAAAAGACATGTATATGAATATAGGTGTGAACGCGTGGAATGAAATAAAACATTTGTCCCACAGTAAGTTGAGCCCTAGTGAGGGGTGCAAGTGATGGAGAGGAAACTACATTATGCACAGGGTTTGTTTTGAAATGAAAGCATGCAAATTACAAAATTGCAAGAGATTGAAACTAAACAAACAACGTTATGGTTCCATAGAGGCCAGAGGAGAGGTGGGAGGATGAAAACAAGCGCGATAAACTTGAGTCCTGTCTCCCAAAAGAATAGCCTCACCTCCCTGTAACCGTCAAGGCATCTTAAAACCCCTCCATTATTCATAGCGGCAACTCCCATCCCTACTTATTCAGATGCACCCAGCGTGTGCACGTGCATTCTTCAAAATTTGGGTAAGCAGTTGTTACGTTGGGTATTCAGGGTATTTTCTGGGTGTGACTTTATGGATGCAGTGTCAGCAGCGGGCCTCGGTAAGTAGCAATTCCTGTGACTCAGCTCCCTGAGGAGAGTCTTCCTTGTTTGCCTGTAAACACAACCCAGTGTCCTACTGACAAAGTCCCAAACACCACCCCTCCCCCGCAGGTGCTGTGCTGCTGGATAGAGAAAGCCAAGGCCAGTGGCTCCGCAGTGGGAGAGTAAGAGAGGGAATGAGGGGAGATCGATGCTGTTGCTGCTGATTGTTGCAAGTAAAGCCCGCATTCTATCTCTCTCTCTCCTTCTCCATCTTTAGGCCTCCCTCACTTTTCTCCCCCTCAGTTCTCCATCGCTCTCCCACACCTTCCCTACGTCTCTCCGGCTCCCTTTATAGTTATTTGTCTGTGCTGCTCTTTCTTCTTTTACGCCAATATGTTTTTTTGACGCTCATTTGGGAGACATCGCTCGTCAGCGGCTGCTAAACCGCCGACGGCACCCAGCATCACACAAGCCAGATTGATTTCTGTGTGCTCGGGGGAAATAGAGGCCTAATCCCTTTGAAAGCAGCTATTTAAATTTCAGGACTTTTTTGGTGGGCTGCTGCTATGTACACACTGTTGCCTCTGCTTACAGGGATTACAGAGTGGGAGACAGATGGAAAGCATGAGGACTTCTGAACTGAAATATAAATAAACTAATCAAAATGAGGGAAACTTTTTTTCCCAATCAAACCGTGTCAGCAGAGTGGACTTTAACTTATACCTCATACAACTGCCGTGATGTTCTGAGGCATCACTCATGGTGTACCGTTCAAAGTTCAGCTGTCGTGTAAAGCTGTATTGGTATTACACACTCACTAGTTCGTTGTCATGGTGCCGGTGGTTCCCAGGGAGACATGGAGCTCTGAACCCTGACCTATTTGGCCTTCGCTCCTGGGACAACGTTGGCGTGGAACAACTTTCTTTGCCTGAGTCCTCTGGCGGCGATGAGATGAGAACATTTTATTATCGAATCATCACTTTTCAGACATGTCTTCCATCAATGACGCCGCTTTCTTATGTAAGCATGTGTTAACAAAGCACGTGCGGACGCTTACACAGTGCATACGAGACGTCAGCAGTGTGTGTGACAGGACAAGGGCATTCTGTTACGACACAGCTTGCAACTTGTTAGCCTGTGTGTTTTCAGCATTGTCTCAGCCGCTGAGACTCAAGCTTCCTTCCCACAGCTCTAACGTGAGCCGGCGCACAACCTCCCTTGTAAGCGCGGAGGCTGCGATGAAAGAACGATGGCTGAAAGCCAGCGGCATTTGTTTGATGCAAACTTTCTTTGACTTTAATGGTAAAATAATAATAATTAACAGTGTTAACAGTTCTTGAGTTGTGTAAAGAGACTTGGGGAATTCTCAATGTGACAAGTTGACAACAACAAAACAATAGTGTTGGCATAAGAGAGCATTGCCTGCAGCAGCATTCTAGTGGTGATTAATACAAATGAAATTCTAATGGGGGTAAAAAGCAGTGATAATCATGCACTTACCTGTAGCTGTGCGCCCGTTTTCGCCGTCCACAGGGAACATCCCGGACTCATTTCGGTGTGCCCCTCTCCCTTCTGGCTCGATGTCTCCTCCAGCTGACTCAGTGAGCTCTCTATAAACTCTTTTACTCGAGCTTTCTCTTGTTTGGACATCACAACAATGTGGCTTGTCTGTCTCCACCTTATCTCCTGTGCTTGCGTCGCTGCCTGCCCTGCCCTCCCTCTGCCCTTCCAGATTGACCTCGCTCACATCTATTCTTTCCTCTGCGGTTCTCTGCAGGTCGTCAGCAGTGGTGTCACCCGGGACTACTTTGGTGGGGTCGCTGCACATCAGTGGGTTTTCTGTGAGGAGCTCCTCTGCTCTTTCAGTTACAGACGGACTCACGTCCTGAGGGTAACGAGCTCGGCAGTGGCTCACCTTGTGTTCTCTCCTTTCTAAAGGTACTAAGATCTGTTTGGGGCTGCCAGTACAGTACATCTCTTTATCCTCGATGCAAGGTAGAGGTTCACATGTATTAATTCTGTTCTCAAAGTCAACATCTTCCTTCTGTCCAGACATTGCAACCTCAGAGCAGAAGCTTTTGGTCCAGATTAAATTCAAACTCGTCTCTAAACTAGTGTTCTCATTGGTGCCCGAAAGAAGAAGTCGCTCCATTTCATCAGCTGATCCTTTCTCAAAGGGCACTGGTGCCGCCAGGTATCTCGTCTCTTCACACATTACTCCATCCTGCATTTGATGCTCTGTGCCGGACACATTTTCCGAATCCACCATCTGCTCCTCTGCCTGTTGATAAAATATGCCTCCATCTTCTCCTCCGCTAATGGCCTCTTCAGTACGGTTGCATAGTGGTAGGTTCCACTTTGCGAGGCTGTCCACAGCTACAGTGGTGGCTAGCTTCTTTCTGGGAACATTCCAGCTATCCGAATGAATGTTTTCATTCTGTGCATGTGACGTGTCACCATAGGTCACTCCACTTGCTTCGAAGTAAGAAACTCCGGAACAATCCAATGCACGCCCCTCTTCATAGGCATTAGGGTGCACTGTTGTGGGGAACAAAACCTCATCAGGATCCTCTTCGTCTGGAGGATTGTAGAGGAAAGGCAGCCTGATTTCCTCAGTTGAGCTACGAAAGTTAAAGACAGAGTGCCAGATCTATAATGCATGCTTTTCACTCACAAAACCAGCAACCGAAGATTATTAATGCATACTAAAGTTCAGACTATTTTCCCTTCTGTTACCTAAAGTTATAGAAGAACATTAAAAGGAAGTAGGGACACAAGGTCATCTGAACCAATGGACATTTTAGGATGCAGGTCTCAAGTGTGTCATGTGCACATGTCAATGAACACACCACATTTTTTTAACAACTTACTTTCTCCACGGTGCAACTTGACGCTCATAAACTCTCGGTTTTATTTGGAGAGGCGAGGAGGTCCGTGCATTTCTACAGGACAAAGATGGTGTCACCTCTTCGTGCTGAGTGAATGACGGAGCCTGGCTTGACAGGCAGGCAGGGGGTTCGGAGCGCTTTTTGTGGGATTGAATCTGTGAGCCCCTATGCAACGTCTGCCTCTGGAGCGAGGATTCCCAGCAGGGGGACAAACGGGAGGCGTCCTGGGATGACGCGGGGCGGCCGGGTGTCTGCGTGTGCTGATAACACTGAGATCCCTGCTGCTGGCTGGAGGCGTCACGGTGAGAGGTGGGAAAGGAGGACGCCTGGAGACTGGACCAAGAGGGTCTGAGACGTGACAGGAAGCCATTTTAATAATTTAGTCGTAAGCTCACATTAAGTACATTAGGGTTCATATTATGGCATCAGTGTGCTATAAATATCCTTCTACTGCCCATTATAGAACATACAATTACATTTATCACCATTCAAAATCTAGTGCGAGGTACTTCTGCCATGTTTGTACTGATACACTATTAAACTGCTACTACAGTAGAAATAAAATGTGAGAGAATGGCTGATTGAATAATAGTTTTCATAAATCTGTGTGTAGCTACTACTTGATCTGACGTACCGTTCTGTGTCTCTCTCCTCCTGACTCATGCTCCTGCTGCTCTGAGACCAGGGCTCCATCTGGCGGCCATTACTGCCCTGCACTGCTACATATGAAAGACGGCAGAGAGCGTCTGGTAACTAAATCTATGAGTACTGAAATACCTTGGTGATATGCCTTATTTAGCGGCAAAAGAAAATAACCAGAAATTGAAGAGGACCAATGAGAATTGAGCAAATACTTTCTATGTCAAGCTCTACTGTCAAAGATGTGAGATGATTGCAAAGAGGCTAAAACCGGAAAAAATAAACATTATCAACATCAACTAAACAAATGACGAGAAACCAGTTTCCTCTATACTTTAAATAAAGGATGTTTCGTTGTTTGCAATAAGCTTTGGTTAAATGCTCTTCTCTTGCACCCGGACTGACTTTGCCTGTGATGGTGGGCGTGGTGGCGGTTGCGTCTGGCTGCATGTAGACTCTGGGCCCGGAGAACAGCCAGGACCTTCTGGGCCGCCTGGGACAGAGGACCAGAGTACAACCTGCTGCTGGACTGCTCCATCTGTCCCCTGAAGGACAGGCTGCTCTCTGTCTCACTACCTGAGGATACGTGACTCTTGGAGAGGGGGGGGGAGGTAGGAGAGTTATACACAGATTCAAACCGGCATTTACCGTTGTAAAGAGAAAATAAGAAGGTTTGTGGTGCCGTTAACCTGTTACACTAACACTGAGGGTACAGTAACGTTAAATATTGGAAAACCACACTGTCAGTAAAACTTAACGTTGAGTCAACATGACCAAAGTTGAATTTATTTGCAGTAACTTACCGTTACGATGAAGAAGAACAACAAACACATTGAACAGTGATTTCGAAAGTTAATGTTGACGTGTGACCTATAAACGAGGGGACAAAACAACGCGTCTACATGCGCACAAATCAAAACGTTGGGTTTTCTTGAGTATGTTAGCTAACGCTAACTTAGCTAAGCAGTAGCGGTACACCAGCGCGCTGTCGCTAAACGGTAGAAAGTAGGTAACGGTAGCGTGCTACGGTAATATGGCACCGGTTTAAAACCGCTTATTCGTGTGTTATCTTCGAACAAAAGTCAAATTTGTGAAACAATTAGCACCTCGAAACTTACCGGTTACACTCAGGAAGCCCGTTCTGTGTTTGCGCCCGGTGCGAGACAGCAGTCTGCTCGCGCCAAACGTCAGAGGCGGAGCGCGCGCACATCGGTACACGTCGTTCAGTAGGCGATGTGATGATCAGTCAAGTTGCGACACACACACACACACACACACACACACACACACACACAGCATTTTGTGTTAATCACTAAACCATTTGAGTCACGGTGACTGAGACGCAAAGGCAGATAATGTGAGTCGTTGGTTGAGAGTTCAGACGCTCACAGTGACTCAGTGAGAAAGTGTTTCACAATGAACATGCAGAATAATTTTATCTGTGACCAAACAGCGTCAAAGGGATCTGTTTGAAGTGCACATATACTCACAACACAGTTGTGTAGAGAATGGTGTTCGCTTGTGCACTTTTTATTTGTAATCTACCGCCTGGCCTATAGCCTTCTATTTTATACGGTCTTTTGACATCACATATCCACCATTTAAATCTGGGTTAGATAATATAGTTCACCGTTAGCCTCCTGCTTCCATGTGCAGCTTGGTGTTTAATCAGAAAATTGACACTAATTAGAATTGCATAATGTTTTCATGGTGATGACAGTATTTATACTGACCCGAATTTACACCTGTCTGTAGTGATGCTTAATATGGCCAAATTTATATGACTGTGATGGTGCTATTATAAGAAGAAATCCATTAAAAAAATAAAAACCCAAGAAACCCCCCAAAAATACTACTTTACAGACAACCTTCAAAATAAAAGTCTTTATGTAAGCGTAATGTGTTAACAAATGACGTGTGGACGCTTACACAGTGCATAGACCTCAGCAATTTGTGTGACAGGACAAGGGCATTCTGTTTGATGCAAATTTAGTCTCAGCCAGACACTTGGTTTCTGACTTTAATGCCATGTTTTACAGCAACAAGTATTAATCTGGTCCTTGTTATTGGATTACAGCCCCTACAAGTAGCATCCTAATGATTATCTCCACCCTTTAAAAAGACAGCATTGACAGTCCTTGAGTTGTTTTAGCAGACTCAGCAGCTTGGAGAATTCTTAATGTGACAGGTCGACCACAACAACAAAAAAACAGTAAGAGGTGGGAAAGCAGGACACCTGGAGACTGGACCAAGAGGGTCTGAACCGTTACTATTTTCTTTTTTTCATACATCTGTGTGTAGCTACTACTTGATCTGACGTACCGTCTGTGTCTCTCTCCTACTGACTCATGCTCCTGCTGCTCTGAGACCAGGGCTCCATCTGGCGGCCAATAATTAATTGTAACGTGCCTTATTTGGCAGCAAAAGAAAATACCCAGAAATGTGAGTATGTGTTACCAAAATCAAGAGGACCAATGAGAATTAAGCAAATACTTTCGATGTCAAGCACTACTGTCAAAGATGTGAGTTGACAATAGAGTTGATTGCACAGAGACTAAAAGTGGAAAACAGACAAGAGGACCAGAGTACAACCTGCTGCTGGACTGCTCCATCTGTCCCCTGAAGGACAGGCTGCTCTCTCGCTCACTACCTGAGGATACGTGACTCTTCAGTGGTCAACGGCCTAAACAGAAGTAGGAGTTATACACAGAGTAAAACACAGGGAGGTGCACGAGGAAATGAACAAGGGTATAAAAAACAAAAACAAAGGGTTAAGTGATGCAACAAATGAAGCATAGTTAGTTGCGCAATTAAGGCAATTTATTCAGATAAATCATAAAATTACTTGCAAATGTTTCTGTTAATATCTCAAATTACATAATGTGTTAATAAAACAGTAGTAAAGGAAAACAGACTTTTCCCAATACTGAAGCTTGTTTTGTGCGTTAAGCCATTAGTCACACAGTGCTTTTCTCCCAACGTGTCGTGACGTTGCAATATTTGAGAACCAACCAATCTGGTCGAAGTAATAAAGCGGAGTTCCCGCCTTCTTTGTCAATAAAAGGTGTACAAGACTACCAAGGTCCGTCTGCGCCCATCCTCGTGCTGCCCTGAGTCCTCAGTGAAAACACGACTTCTGCCATTTCTTTGTGGAGAAAGAGAACTGGTGAGTCCTACAGATTGATATATATGCAAAATCGCATCCTTAAACCAACTCGAACATAAGAACATGTGGGAGACGGGGGACCCACAGCGGCGAGTTCACGTCTCTTTGTAGTTCTATGCTCTTTGCTCCTCAGAACCATTAACAAAGTCTTTCTTGTAATATTTAAATCATCACAGAGATTTACTCACTGTCACGTTTTCAAACTGTGCTAAGAACTATTGAATCATTCCCAGCAGATTATGTGAAACTATTGATGCGGTTGATTTGCACAATAAAGAAGCACTGCACTCTTTCTTCCTGTTTTTGAAGCGTCCGTGTGAGGATAATTAAGGCATTCGTCTTTAATCGCATTGCATATTTTGGATTCAACTTAAAAATCCACATACAATTCTTGTATGGTGCACATCTAGTACAACAACGTACAGCTAACTTTACTTTCTGCTGCTTTAATAAATCACTTATATTGAGTTATTATTTTGTTCAAGTTACTATAGCTTTCACATGAATCCAAGTTGTACAGAGAACTGCATCGCTGCGTCTCATGTCACTGTCAATATAATTTCCTAACAACTGCCCCGTCTCTCACAGCTGCCCCAGACAAAGAATCATGGTCCGAGCTAAGACGTGGATCCTGGCCAAGCACTTCGACGGCTTCCCGAAGGACAGCGACTTTGAGCTCAAGGTGGAGGAGCTCCCTGCGCCCAGAGATGGGGGTGAGATCATTTATTTTGTCTCTCAAATTTCGCACATAATGTGGCTTCATCTCATCTCAGACATCAAGCACCGATCTCATGAAATGAGTCAGTGTGTATGTGATATGGAGAAGAGGAACAGGTCCGTTTCAGGTGTGTAGTGGAGCACTGATGTCTCTTTTGGTTTCAGAGGTGCTTTTGGAGGCGCTGTTTCTCAGTGTGGACCCCTACATGAGGTGAGTGCATCTTAAAAACATTCAGAATTATTGTTTTTTACGCTTTCTCTAAAAGAAAAATAATTAATCCAAAAAGGTCTTATATTGACGCAATATTGTGGGCTGCGTTTTCTTTACAGGCCGTATAGTAAGCTTCGCATGAGTGAAGGCGATGTGATGATCGGGAGTCAAGTTGCCAAGTAAAGAGCGCACGCACGCACGCACGCACGCACGCACGCACGCACGCACGCACAGAGTGTCTGTGTACTACAAGCACTGATGTGTAAACCGAACCCGTCCTACACCTGGTATTAATCATCAAACCATTTGAGTCACGGTGACTGAGACATAAAGGCCGATAATGTGAAAGTTGTTGGCTGAGAGTTCTGACGCTCACCGTGACTCAGTGAGAGTACAAATATACTCAATTAATTAACAGTTGTGTAGAGTAAGGTTATCTGTATATTTTATTTTTATTCTCTATCCCCCTAAGCCCATAGCCTTCTATTTTATACTGTTGAGTTAAATAGTAAATATGTAAATTGAACATGCCAAGTCATTTGTCATGTTGTCTCATTGTCTTACTGTCCGATGTTGACGCGTGTCAAATTCCTTGAATGTCTAACATATTTTGGCAATAACTGTTAATCCTGACATGTTTTGTACTTTCTACGTCGTACTGTTGTCTTGGATACCACAACACAATTAAATGTACTTTTTGGCTCAGTCTGTTTCCTGCCCATCTGTGAGGCTTCAAATGAGCTCAGCGACTCGAGGTGGGACGAGTCCGACGGATTACAGATTTCCTCCTTCTGTTTTCTCCCGCAGAGTGATCCAAAGCAAGAATCCGGCATTCCCCGTGGGGAGCCACGTGGTCGGTCAGTGTGGTTGGAGGAGCCACACGGTCTGTGACGGCAAAGACCTCGTCCCCATCATGCCCGGCTGGCCGCAAGACGTCTCGTTGTCCCTGGCTCTGGGCGCCATCGGCATGCCGGGGTAAGACGGACGCTCACTGGCCTCTATGGGTAGAAATATACATCCAGCATCTGTGCAACTGATATGCATGAAGGGAATGCCTGACCTGATACCTAAACTGTTAAAGGAACCGCAGAGCGGCTGCATTCTGTCTTTCTTTGAGGAAATAAACAGGCGAGGCTCCAGATGTTTTGTCCTGCCGGCGAGTTAAGAGTTGTCTATAAACACTTCCATCTTTGTTTGGAAGCAGTTATAATGAGCTAATGGGACAAAGAGGCTCCTCTGCTGAACTGGAGGGAGAACACGCGCTCATGTTTATTTTCTTGTGACTCTCTTCCTCTCCAGACTGACGGCCCTGTACGGCATAGAAGAGGTCTTGGGTCTCCAGAAGGGCGAGACCCTGCTGGTGAACGCTGCGGCGGGGGCGGTGGGCTCCGTGGTGGGACAGCTCGCCAAGATCAAGGGCTGCAAGGTGGTGGGTTCGGCGGGCTCCGACACCAAGGTGGCTTTCCTCAAAGAGCTGGGCTTCGACGAGGCCTTCAACTACAAGACCGTCGGCTCCCTGGAGGAGGCGCTGAAGAAGGCGTCTCCGGACGGATACGACTGCTTCTTTGAAAATGTGATGGTTTATCTCAGAGCCCGCAAAGTGTCCTACTGTTTATGCTCCGTCTGTTTGGCAAATGTCTCCAACTTACTCGCTACTTGCTCATCTTTGAACTGGTTTCTTTTTCTTTTTATTAAGGTGGGAGGCCCTTTTTCAAGTGTTGCCATTCAACAGATGAAGAACTTTGGAAGAATAGCCGTATGTGGCTCTATTTCTACATACAATGACACTACGCCGCAAACAGGTGTGCACACTCCTCCTAAAAGTCCTTCATGTGAACTGGTCTGATTTAATTTGATCAATGTTTGTGAGACAATTACACTGTAATGCAGATAAGACTGTGTATACAAGTTGTTAACACTTTTACAACCGAACATGTTCAAACAATTTTAACGTGTTTGTCCACCAGAGGGCGACATTGTGTTACTGCAACGTTGGAGCAGATGTGTAAACAGACCTTTGTCTTGACAGAATTGTTTCCTTCGTACAACCATTGAACGTTTTGTTTTTTTCTTTAACTTTATCTCTCTCTTTCTCGTCAGGCCCGTTCCCCCAGCTCACCATGATCTTGAAGCAGCTTAAGATGGAGGGCTTCATGCAGTCCAGGTGGGAGCACAAGCACCCAGAGTCCCTCAAGAGGCTGATGGGATGGTTTAAAGAGGTCAGGGACTGGAAGAGTGTTTTTTATTCTGATGTTTGATCTCAGTAGGTACAGTTGCCACACGGTCCTGCATTAGCCTAATTCATGTGATTTTGTCTATTCCACCGCTGCAGGGCAAACTGCAGTGTCGGGAGCACATCACAAGAGGCTTTGAAAAGATGCCGGCTGCTTTTATGGGAATACTGCAGGGGGAGAACATCGGGAAGGCTGTTGTTGCCGCCTGATGCGGATCAAAGAAGAAGAATCCATCTTATGAATAACCTACACATGAATAAATAATCTATACGTGAAGGATTTAGCCTTGGGCACCATTAGCTGTCCAGTTGTCTTCAAATTTAAATGATTTCCATGAAAAAATGTGACTCATTAAGTTACATGTCATTTAGCTGATGCTTTCATCCAAAGAAGTAAGGGTACAAACTCAGAAGAGCAAGAAACAAGAAAGTGCAATTTCAAATAAGCCAATTTACAATTCGCTATAGATAAGTGCCATTATAAATACAATTTAGGTGCTACAATTTGTCAGTCTTTTAGTCAATTTATACTTTTTTTTTTGCTTTAGTTCACAGAGTATTGTTGAACGGTCCGATCGATACATTTGTACGTTATTCGCTGTAACAAAATGAACCATGTGCTTTGCATTCAGGGACAGCTTTTTGTATGTATAATGAAGTTGAGGGCTTTCTTTTCAATTTTCTTGTGACATCACATATTCACCCTTGAAATCTGGTATTAATTCATGCATCTGCTGTATTTGCGGGTTATATAACATATACTGTTAGCTCCCAGGTGCAGCTCTGTGTTTGATCAGAAAATACACACTAATTAGAATTGCATAATGTTTTGATGGTGATGTGAGTATTTTATACTGAACCAGTATTAAGAGTTATGTATCCATTGAATAGACCAGACCCCAAATTACACCTGTCTGTAATGATGCTTGATGCCCCTAAGGCCAAATTGATATTACTGCAATGGTGCTACTGCAAAGTGAACATGATTTGCTGTAAGAAGAAATCCATTAAAACTAGTTTCCGGAAATCAGAAGTAAACATTGGATTCAGTTTTTTCCCCCCTTATTGCACACATGTACTTGACAATGTTGGAGACAATATTACATTTTGAAATTATATATATATATATATATATATATATATATATATGGAACTTAAATGCAAAATTTAAAAAGGCAGAGAAACAAATCGATGGCAATGACGTAACGTTGGTGTATTACACGAAAATTGAGCTGCGCAGATTCAGTCCTTTACGGTAAACCAAGAATATAATATATATTCTAAAATATTCCTAAAGCTAACTAATATGAATATTAAATATACCATTTTAAGAGATTGAGTTCAACAGCATTGATGATCGTGCCTTTACCTGTGGCTTTGTGCCTATTTTCGCTGTCCACAGGGGGCATCCCTGACTCATTTCAGTGTGCCTCCCCTCCCTTCGGGCTCGGTGTCTCCTCCAGCTGGCATTAGGGTGCACGGTTGTGGGGAACAAAACCACATCAGGATCCTCCTCGTCTGGAGGATTGTAGAGGAAAGGCAGCCTGATTTCCTCAGTTGAGCTACGAAAGTTAAAGACAGAGTGCCAAATCTATAATGCATGCTTTTCACTCACAAAACCAGCAACCGAGATTATTAATGCATACTAAAGTTCAGACTGTTTTCCTTTCTGTTACCTAAAGTTATAGAAGAACATTAAAAGGAAGTGGGGACACAAGGTCATCTGAACCAATGGATATTTTAGGATTCATGTCCTCAATGTGCACATTTAAATGAACACACCACATTTTTTTAACAACTTACTTTCTCCACGGTGCAGCTCGACACTCATAAATTCTCGGTTTTATTTGGAGAGGCGAGGAGGTCCGTGCATTTCTACAGGACAAAGATGGTGTCACCTCTTCATGCTGAGTGAATAACGGAGCCTGGTTTGGTGAGTTATACACAGATTTCAACCAGCAACTCAGAAACACTATACACACTATCATTTCAAGTAAATTCACAATTCAACCTGCATAAAGATACCACTTTATTCATCTGATGGCAAAAAAAGACATGTATTTTAGATCATAAGCTAGACAATAAAATAATAGTTCATGTGAAAATTGATCCCAATCATCATATCCAGCGCTTCTCACACACAACCAAACTTTCTCTCAAGTTTAGTTTTGTCCCAAATATGATGACAAATATGCCGGAGAGATCTTGTCTCCTGCACAAGCCAAGTGAAGGTGCAGATTTTGAGTGAGTCCATGCTTGTACAAACTGTCCATGGTCAAGGCCTACTTAATGAACCTCCTCCACTGAAAGCACACTGTACTTATAACACAGGTCGACTCCCTTAGCGCAGAAACTGCACGTTGAAGTCGAGCAGGCAATAAGCACTCCTCGTTCCCTCTCGCAGGCAATAAGCACTTGTCGTTCCCTCTCGCAGGCTTTACTGCTGTCCTCTCTTTGCGGTCATTTTGCCCTCCAGATCTTCCACTACTTTCTTAAGCAGCCGGGCATCCAGGTGGAAATAGATGTACAACTCCCTCTCCCGCCTGAGGAGGGCGTTGCGCTCCAGCTGAGAGCGCTTGGCTTTAAGCTCCACCAGGATTTCTTGCATTAACTGCTGCAAACTCTGCAGTTGAGACTCTGTTTGCAGAAGCTTCACCGTCAGCTCCTGTAGAGACACATGGAGAGGCACGAGAAATGAACAACTGACGTGATGCATCAGATGAATCAAACTATCAAGCTAGCAATTAATCCAAATAATTCATAAACTTACTTGCAGATATTTCTGTTAATATCTCAAATGTGTTAATAAAACAGTAGTAAAGTGAAAGAGACTTTTCCCAATACTGAAGCTGGTTTTGTGCGTTAAAGCAAGTGCATCCAGAGAGCCATTAATCACACGGTGCTTTTGTTCCCAACGTGTCTTGACATTGCGATATTTGAGAAAAAGGTGCAAAAGTAAAAAACACATTGTGCTACCAACAGTGACATGTCATTTGAAATTCAACTGACTCACATGATGGATGCTTCTAAAAGGCACTATTTGCAGTAGACCAAGAGGACCGTGAGTAAAAGGAAACAAACCCACCTGTGCATTGGGGCAAAGCAGCTCCTGGTCAGTGATGGCCGTTGGACATACCTGCGGCCCCAAGATCAGCTGCTGGAGCTCGGTGTACATTGCCCTGTGGAGCGCCTCACAGTCGCCATGGAGACGAGTGGCGGTGTAGTGCTGCTCACAGCCAGCGCCAGCTACAGCATCTCGGGTCACCTGGAGGCTGCCTGCGAGGTCCCGGGCAGCGTGGTCCAATGCTTCATATGTCCGGAAAGGCTCTGATCGAGCGTGGTTTGAGTCGTGGTCCAGGATCTGCAGCAGCCTGAGCAGTAAGGTGAAAAACGGTGAGATACCGTGCATTTAAAAAAGGACAAAGAACATCATGGGCCCAAAGCAACCAACGTAGTGCCGCAGTATTGCAGAGGAGTCAGGTGAGTAACCCATTTTCAGGTCTGCAAATTTGATCGTTCCAATTAACACCCACTACGTGACAGTGAACAAATAAATGTAAATTTGTTTAAATATAAAACCACAAACTACTATGTATTACTAGCTAACTTTTTTGACATTGGCTAACAAATATTAAAACAACCAAACCGTTGAATAAAGGAAGGGAATAAGTGCTTTTAATAAACTGCCTGCAGCCCGGGTCTACAGCAAACAGCTTGAGTCTTCTTACCTGCTGAAGGCTGCATCCCTGCAGCTGATGATGGGGTTGGGTCGGGCGTTGATAGCCAGGTCAGGGTGGGACAGGGACTCCATTCGCAGGTTTGATGCTTCACTTTCCTTTACGAGTCTGCCATCTAATTCTCCCAATTGTTTTACACACAGCCTCCACCTTCTTAACTCCATCTCTTGACCCAGACGCAGCAGGTCAAAAGACGCCTTTTGGCGGAGTAGGTAGTCTCGAACCTAAGAGTACATCGTAAGAAGTACATCGCAACAGAACACTTATTTCTGAAATACTCCTGTTCCTACTTGTGAAATGTATTCAGTAAGAATGCCCCTCTCAAACAATATGACAGTTATATTTCAAACCTTGTTTTTTCTAAAATATAAATCGAGCAAGAAATTTGAATTGTCAATACAATACTGAGATGAGATGATTAAAAGCTCAGCCTGACCAATGCAAAATACTTTGTTTTTACAGAAAAAGAGGGTTAAACGGTTGGTATCACCAGCTGACCTGATTCTGTCTGGAGGTGTAGTAGTCCTGCCTGGTTTGCTGCAGATCCAGGTCTCCCCTCACTATAGGTACATTAAGCAACCTGGCCGACTCTCTGAGGGCAGCAGGTACCGCTCCATGTAGCAGAGCCTCCAGCTCAGCCTCCACCGCCTGCAGCTCCTTCCTGGATACAACCTCACGGACATGCAGTGAGGAGGACGTAGAGATGCTCTGGCAGAGTGAAGAGATTGTTAGAAAAGGAGAGCTTGAGACAGGAACTGAAATAATAACCAAGATGCACTATAAGACCGTTGATACTGTTTGTAGGAGATAATAAATCTGACAACTTGTATATGTTTGCGTTACCTTGGTGTGAGAGGACTTCTCAGAGAGCCAATCCAGTCCAGCCAAGACACTCTTCTCCTCTGCCAATACCTGCATCAGTTGGTGCTGGGCCACAATGTGTGACCACTGGAGTCTGGCCATCTCTGTCCTCCTGCTGTCCACTATTTGCTCCTCTGTTCCCCTCCTTTTGTGCGCATTCTCTACATCCTCTTCATCGTCGCAAGAACTGAGGTCAAGGAGCTGGAAGCGCTCGGAGCAAGAAGTCTCAACAATGTCAGAGATGCCCTGGAAGAAATGCTTCTGTGTGAAGACAGCTAGTGTTTTAGTGTTGAGCTCCTCCTGGTGCAGGTAGGGGTCCAAGGGCAGCTGAGAGAGGAGGACAGGGGGGCTTTTGGATATGGAAGAGCTTATTGAGGTCACAAGGTCTCCTTTTCCTTTTTGCGTAGCCTCTGAGGGAACTGGGAGATAGGAAGCAAGCTTTCCCACCTCATCCGTTAGATTTTCTAATAGAGCGTTGGTGTCAGCGTTCTCAGCTCCAATGGAAGCACTGGCATCTTTTAGCTTACACGCAGCGTTCTCCAACTCTGCAGTAAGCCGCAGGTCAACGTCTGCGCGGGAGGTGGCCACAACTTGCAACCTGTTATAGCGCCGTTGCTTGAGGTCTTTTTCTTTGCGCAGTGCCTGGAGCTCTGCCTCCAAGTCCTCTACGGTCACATCCCCCTCGGCTGCAAACACAGAGGACGATGAAGAAGAGGGCCCCAGGAGGTTTGCACTGCTCCCATCTGAAGGTCCGATGGTTTTAAGGACCTCGCCCAGGGCCGCTTCATCCAGACACGGTTTGCCGGACTTCCGTAGCTCCTGAAAAGCGAGCGCCTCCTCCTTGGTGAGAACGTTGCTCTGGTTGAGGGTCCGACAGACAAACCGCAGGAAGTGAAGGTTCTCCGGGGCGCAGTCAAAGAGCCAGTCAAAGTCTGAGGGCTTCAGTGATGATGCACCGGGGTAACCTAGACGGCCCAAGGCCTCCACAAACTGGCCACCGTTTAACATGCTGGTTCAGCACCCGAATATTGTGCTGCTCAGTCACAAAGCAGCACAGTGTGGATTGTGGAGGATTAGGGTGAAGATGGATACAAAGAGAGTGAGAGTACATAAAGAAAAGCATATTCTGGGTCTCTTAAGACTAGAGATGTCATGTCAATTGTGTTGCATGATTTTGGATAATCCAGACACTAAAAAAAAAAAAAATCATCAGCTACATAAAACGCAGCCACAAACACATATTTTGTAAACCCTTCACTGCACTTTATTAAGACACTGGAATAATGTCATAACAGTGTTTTTTAGCGTGTTTTCTTTGACTAACAGTTAACAAAAAATGATGTGTCAATGCACATTTGCTCTCATCTCGTATAAGGTTATAATGTTACATTTTTGTAGACACCGTTTTGAAGAGAAATAAAGGAGGAGTTTTGTGGTGCCGTTACGTTGAATTGTGTTAACGTTACTAATGTAGTCACCATTCCATTCCTATTTGTAAGGGTACACTAAATATTAGAAAGCAATACGGTCAGTAAAACACAACTTAAGTCAGGAGGACCAAAGTTGAATCCCGACTTCTTTAAAACGGATTAGCTAAATCTGAAAATTATAACACTATGTTGTTAACGGCTGTTGCAACAGTAACTTAACGTTACGATGAAGTAACAGAAATCGAAAGATTAACGTTATAACGATATAATAACGTTTAACGAGGTTACATGTCAACAATTAAACAGTCAATATAACAACATTGAACAGTTAGCAGTGATTTTGAAAGTTAATGTTGACGTGTGACTTATAAACGAGATGACAAAACAACGTCTCTACATGCGCACAAATCCGTCAGAACAGTTAACGTTAGCTTTCCCTGATATTAGCTTTCTTTACTAACGCTAGCTAAACCGTTCGATTTTCCTTATTTTGAGTATGTTAGCTAACGCTAACTTAGCCAAACAGTAGCGGTACACCAGCCCGCTGTCGTTAAACGCCAGAAAGTAGGTAACGGTAGCATGCAACGATAATATGGCACCGGTTTAAAACCGCTTATTCGTGTATTATCTTAGCACAAAAGTCAAATTTGTGAAACAATTAGCACCTCGAAACTTACCGGTTACACTCAGGAAGCCCGTTCTGTGTTTGCGCCCGGTGCGAGACAGCAGTCTGCTCGCGCCAAACATCTAAACTGACGGCACGCAGAGAGGCGGAGACGACGTGACGTCCAGCGTCATACGTCAGAAGCTGCGTGTCCACCGCAACCAATCAGGTCGATGTAATAAAGCGGAGTTCCCGCCTTCTTTGTTTAGAAAAGTGTTCAAGACTACCAAGATCCGTCTTCGCCCATCCTCATCCTACCCGGAGTCCTCGGTGACAACGCGACTTCTGCCATTTCTTTGTGGAGAAAGAGAACTGGTGAGTCCTACAGATTGATATATATGTATAATCGCATCCTTAAACCAACTCGAACATAAGAACATGTGGAAGACAGAGGACCCACAGCAGCGAGTTCACGTCTCACAAGACTTTGTAGTTCTATGCTCTTTGCTCTTCAGAACTATCAAGTATCTCTTTTACTGATGTTTAAATCATCACATAGACATTTACTCACTGGCAGGTTCTACAGCTGCGTTAAGAACCATTCCCAGCAGATTATGTGAAAATATTGATGTGGTTGATCTGCATAATAAAGAAGTACTGCACTGTTTCTTCCTGTTTTTGCAGCGTCTGTGTGAGGATAATTAAGGCATTCGTCTTTAATTACAGTTTCGCATTGCATATTTTGGATGCACCTTAAAAATGCACACATTATTCTTACCAGTGCACAGCAAATGTCTCTCCCTCATGATCCGAGTAGGTCTTGATGTATAAGTTATTATAGCGTGAATTCACGTTGTAGTAAGTGGTTAATACATCTCAACGTCTTGTGGTTCACCGAACCAAGAACTGCATCGCTGCGTCTCATGTCACTGTCAATATAATTTCCTAACAACTGCCCCGTCTCTCACAGCTGCCCCAGACAAAGAATCATGGTCCGAGCTAAGACGTGGATCCTGGCCAAGCACTTCGACGGCTTCCCGAAGGACAGCGACTTTGAGCTCAAGGTGGAGGAGCTCCCTGCGCCCAGAGATGGGGGTGAGATCATTTATTTTGTCTCTCAAATACTCGCACATAATGTGGCTTCATCTCATCTCAAACATCAAGCACCGATCTCATGAAATGAGTCAGTGTGTATGTGATATGGAGAAGAGGAACAGGTCCGTTTCAGGTGTGTAGTGGAGCACTGATGTCTCTTTTGGTTTCAGAGGTGCTTTTGGAGGCGCTGTTTCTCAGTGTGGACCCCTACATGAGGTGAGTGCATCTTAATTCTGAATGCAAACATTCAGAATTATTGTTGTTTACGCTTTCTCTCTTAAAAAAAAAAAATCATTAAACCAAAGGGTCGTATTATTGACGCAATATTGTGGGCTGCGTTTTCTTTACAGGCCATTTAGCAAGTTTCGCATGAATGAAGGCGATGTGATGATCGGGAGTCAAGTGGCCAAGTAAAGAGCGCACGCACACACACACACACACACTTAAACAGGAATGTCTTTACCCTGCAAGCACTGATGTGTAAACCGAACCCGTCCTACACCTGGTATTAATCATCAAACCATTTGAGTCACGGTGACTGAGACGTAAAGGCCGATAATGTGAAAGTTGTTGGCTGAGAGTTCTGACGCTCACCGTGACTCAGTTGGAAAGTTTTTGACGATAAACATGCAGAATCAATTACTCTGTGACCAAACTGAACAAACAGCGTCAAAGGGATCTGTTTGAAGTGCACATGTTTTGTACTTTCTACGTCGTACTGTTGTCTTGGATACCACAACACAATTAAATGTACTTTTTGGCTCAGTCTGTTTCCTGCCCATCTGTGAGGCTTCAAATGAGCTCAGCGACTCGAGGTGGGACGAGTCCGACGGATTACAGATTTCCTCCTTCTGTTTTCTCCCGCAGAGTGATCCAAAGCAAGAATCCGGCATTCCCCGTGGGGAGCCATGTGGTCGGTCGCTGTGGTTGGAGGAGCCACACGGTCTGTGACGGCAAAGACCTCGTCCCCATCATGCCCGGCTGGCCGCAAGACGTCTCGTTGTCCCTGGCTCTGGGCGCCATCGGCATGCCGGGGTAAGACGGACGCTCACTGGCCTCTATGGGTAGAAATATACATCCAGCATCTGTGCAACTGATATGCATGAAGGGAATGCCTGACCTGATACCTAAACTGTTAAAGGAACCGCAGAGCGGCTGCATTCTGTCTTTCTTTGAGGAAATAAACAGTCGAGGCTCCAGATGTTTTGTCCTGCCGGCGAGTTAAAGAGTTGTCTATAAACACTTCCATCTTTGTTTGGAAGCAGTTATAATGAGCTAATGGGACAAAGAGGCTCCTCTGCTGAACTGGAGGGAGAACACGCGCTCATGTTTCTTTCCTTGTGACTCTCGTCCTCTCCAGACTGACGGCCCTGTACGGCATAGAAGAGGTCTTGGGTCTCCAGAAGGGTGAGACCCTGCTGGTGAACGCTGCGGCGGGGGCGGTGGGCTCCGTGGTGGGACAGCTCGCCAAGATCAAGGGCTGCAAGGTGGTGGGTTCGGCGGGCTCCGACGCCAAGGTGGCTTTCCTCAAAGAGCTGGGCTTCGACGAGGCCTTCAACTACAAGACCGTCGGCTCCCTGGAGGAGGCGCTGAAGAAGGCGTCTCCGGACGGATACGACTGCTTCTTTGAAAATGTGATGGTTTATCTCAGAGCCCGCAAAGTGTCCTACTGTTTATGCTCCGTCTGTTTGGCAAATGTCTCCAACTTACTCGCTACTTGCTCATCTTTGAACTGGTTTCTTTTTCTTTTTATTAAGGTGGGAGGCCCTTTTTCAAGTGTTGCCATTCAACAGATGAAGAACTTTGGAAGAATAGCCGTATGTGGCTCTATTTCTACATACAATGACACTACGCCGCAAACAGGTGTGCACACTCCTCCTAAAAGTCCTTCATGTGAACTGGTCTGATTTAATTTGAACAATGTTTGTGAGACAATTACACTGTAATGCAGATAAGACTGTGTATACAAGTTGTTACTTTTACAACCGGACATGTTCAAACAATTTTAACGTGTTTGTCCACCAGAGGGCGACATTGTGTTACTGCAACGTTGGAGCAGATGTGTAAATAGACCTTTGTCTTGACAGAATTGTGTCCTTGGTACACCATGAAAGTTGTTTTTTTTGTTGTTCTTTAACTTTATCTCTCTCTTTCTCGTCAGGCCCGTTCCCCCATCTCACAATGATCTTGAAGCAGCTTAAGATGGAGGGATTCATGCAGTCCAGGTGGGAGCACAAGCACCCAGAGTCCCTCAAGAGGCTGATGGGATGGTTTAAAGAGGTCAGGGACTGGAAGAGTGTTTTTTATTCTGATGTTTGATCTCAGTAGGTACAGTTGCCACACGGTCCTGCATTAGCCTAATTCATGTGATTTTGTCTATTCCACCGCTGCAGGGCAAACTGCAGTGTCGGGAGCACATCACAAGAGGCTTTGAAAAGATGCCGGCTGCTTTTATGGGAATACTGCAGGGGGAGAACATCGGGAAGGCTGTTGTTGCCGCCTGATGCGGATCAAAGAAGAAGAATCCATCTTATGAATAACCTACACATAATTGAAGCATTCATACATGAATGATTTGGCCTTTGACACCAATAGCTGTGCAGTTGTTTTCAAATTGAAATGATGTCCATGAATAAATGTGATTTATACCTAAGTATTGTTGGACAGTCCCATCGATACATTTTGATGTTATACGCTGTTACAATCAATTATAAAGTTAAGCTCTTTCTTTTCATTTTCTTTCAATTTTCTTTTAACGTTACTTCGCCATTTAAATCTGGTATTAATTCATGCATCTCCTGTATTTACGGGTTATATCAAATAGTTCACTGTTAGCCTCCTGCTTCCAAGCGCAGCTGTTTGATGAGAAAATAGACACTAATTGGAATTGCATAATGTTTTGCAGGCCGTAGCTCCATGGTTACACAGGACGCATTTAGTCAGTCGAATAACACAAGCTTTACCCGCTTTAGTGCAGAAGAGTGTCTTCAGTCCTCAAAGGGTGTGAGTATTTTATGCCGACCCAATATTTGAACGTTATGTATCCATTGAATAGACCAGACCGATGGCGATGACGTAAGACACGTTGGTGTATTATTACACGGAAATGAAGCTGCGCAGACTCTGCCCTTTACGGTAAACCAAGAATCTGTCAAGTCATTGTGACTTGATTTGATGGTCAACTTTTTCCCCAGCACTATCGAAATATCGATATTTTTTAGTGAAGAGATATAGACACAGAACAAAGTGTCTTTAATACGACGTATGTCTAATTTGAATAATACTGATAATAATAGTAATACTTGTAATAATTGTAATAATGTAAAGGCTGCATTTCCTCCATCGGCTGTTCATCCAAACGATTACAAAACGAGTCGAACAATTGAATAAATTCACCGAGAGACAACATTTTACATCAGTGCATTCACACACATTCTTGTTGCGCTAATGGGAGGAGAATTCCAATAAAAGCCCCAAAATACTTCTTTACTGGCAACCTTCAAAATAAAAGTCTGTATTGGAAAGCGCGTCGTGATGCAAAATACACAAAACAAATCAAATGGGACAATTACAGTGGAATCTTTACGAATTCAAAATACAACCAAAGCGCACTTCACATCCACAGCATAAACCCATGGCGTAACCCGGCATAGCATTTACTCCTGCTTTTATTTTGTTAACTCACACTCATTTCCGCCATTGATTGCCGTTATGGACTGACGTTGAGTGGCTTGATGCAGCTGCCATAAAACACGGCGTGTCGTCTCCGTTAAGTGACACTTACTAACTCACTGTTCACTCCGAGGCACGCGCACAACATGGCAAACGCAGTCAGAGAAGTGGAATCTTTGGTAAGTTGTACTTGGTTTATTTTGCAGGGGTTCACCTTTTTTTTTCGTTGTTGAAAGCCACCATTGTAATTATTAATCCTGGTTTCCCACTGACGGTCGATGGCGTGCGAGTGTGACCACACGCGGCGTTTACGTTGTAGCTTTGTAGCGCGCTCGATAAGGATGTCTGAGCAGCCGGAGTGACGCTGGAGGCTCCGATTGCCCCTGAACGCTACCGGCCCGCGGGCTTCACCGCGAAGACCGCTACTCTCGGCGCGTTTACCCGGGACTTTACCCACAATGCACCGCTGTGACGCCGGAGCGGCGCTCGCGGACTCGATGGCCGGCTCACTCGTGCGAACCGCGGTGGCCGCGTCGTAGCGGCGATGCTAAAGCTAAACCAACTTGTAGCTAACGCCCTACGCGACGTGCCCTCCGCAGTAACGTAATATAGTTACGTCAGGGATGGGCAGTTTATGAATGAAGTTACTTTTTATGTAATTTAAGAGCTATTCTGGAACTATAATTACGTAGTTTACCCTCTATTGTCTGACTGAAGGCTCTTTGGTAAAGGGGCGGAACTTCCATAATGCAGTGTTGCTTTATGGCTTTTGTGTAATCTATGCTCAAAGTGAGCTACAATGAGGTGTGTGTGTGTGTGTGTGAGATACATGATCCGCCTCTGATGAGTGGAAGCTTTCAGATATGGCGAATGCATGTCTGGTTTTGCAGTGGCAGAAGCCAAGTAGCAGCAGCAAGACGTTAAACAAAGTGTTCTTTATTTCCCCGATATAAGCTGCAGTAACTCAGGATTTCTCTGTAGGTGGAGTTCCACCAAATCCTGAAGGACTCCGGAGACAAGCTGGTTGTGGTGGACTTCACCGCCACCTGGTGCGGCCCCTGCAAAATGATCGCCCCAATATTTGTGGTAAGTCTACAATTGTGACGTTCAGGTATTGTTAAAAAACGTGCAATCCCTTCAAGCCAATGCTTCTTTTGGGAGGCTGTTTGTTCCTTCCACAACTGTTGTTACAAGGTGTTTTTGTTACGCAGTTGCAGCCTTTTGTGTAACAAATGTTGCGAGTCTACATGGCCTTTCTTGACTCTTCTTGCTCTTGGCAAACTTCTGTGTAACCGCTTCAACCTCGAAGAACTTAACAGGGAAAATGTCATGGTTGCACTTACCTTTTCATTTAAGAAATAAAAAAAAAAGGTTTCTAGTAGATGCTTTCTTGATGGCATTGCAGCACGTTAGTTCTTTTTTTTTTTTTTTACCATTAATGCTCATCGATCTCCTTTCAGAAAGAGGCTGCAAAGCCTGAGAACAAGAACGTGGTTTTCCTGAAGGTGGACGTGGATGATTGTGAAGTAAGTGTGTTTTCTGTTCTTGGTTACCACTTCACTAAGTCTCAAGGCAATGTGAACTGTTCCTGAAATCCACTTCAGCAGAGTCACGTGACTCGTCTTTTCTTTGAGCTTCCGTGTGAAGTTTTTTTTTATTTTTAAAGTCAAATACATACACGGCTGACTATTGGAGAGGCCGTATATATCAATCCATTTATCTTAAATTCCTGTCGTTCCAAAGGTCTACAGAGGGTCTCCTCGCTGCAGGTGGTTTATTTTTATTTTTCTCTTTTCAGGATGTCAGTAAAGAATGCGGGATCAGCTGCATGCCCACTTTCCACTTCTACAAGAACGGCGCAAAGGTAAACAAGCGAGCGTACCGCCCGTCTGCAAAATCAGACAAGAGTATTTTGAGTCTCTCTTCAACTCGCCGTCCGCTGTCTTTCAGGTATTCGAGTTCTCCGGCGCCAACGTGGACACGTTGTTGGAAAAACTGGTGGCTCTGAGAACATGAAGTCCCAGCGGCGCTCTTCCCCCAGTAACGCCACCGTAGCCCTCCTGTACACGCATCAGAAAATTCCAGTTACTAGTTGTGTAACCAGCAGGTTGTCTCTTCCACACAGGCGTCTGGGGGACATGTCCTTTGTCCTTCTGTCTCTGTACTGAATTTTGGATTAAAACCTCATGACCACTTTTAGATCTTTTTTCATTTGAAATTGGCTCCTGACTCATTCCTGAACTTTTTTTTCGAGGTCTGTTCAAGGTGGATTTTAATAAAAGAAGATGGCTTACAGGAACTTTGGGCTCTTCTTACTCACATTTGAACATGATACACAACCTGCTGAAAGGGTTTTTAAAGAGATGGTATTTATGCTTTAATAAAAATGTGAGAATAGTTTACACATATACATTGAGACAATCACAATTTTTTTTTTCTTTACTGTTTTTGTACACATCATACGTGTGTATATAGCAGCATATGTTTAATACTGTTGAGTCTCTATATGAAAAAATACAGCTTTATTTTACAAAACGGTTCTTGCTTTGCCTTTTGCAGAGATGAGAATGAATGGTTTACAAGTGTCACTTAAATATACAATAATTCACTTCATGAAGCCGTTCACATGGTCTTCAGATGTGATAGTATCCAGATTTCCTTTTCCTGCAAAAAGAACCGATATTCAGTTAGTGTGTGAATATGACAAAAGCAACTGAATATCACTCGTGAGGAAGTAAATTCATTTGAGTTTTGGTACACTGAACTCAAAACGACCTATAACCTTTCTCATTCAGCTAGTAAAAACACATTACCCAGAATGCTTTGTAGGAGAATTGGTAACCTAAATACTAGTATCTATTCAGTCGTGGCCTGGGTGTGGTGCTCTTACTAATGCTTCCCCGGCTTGGACGAACAACACAATGAAAAATGTTTTCGTGGTACTTTGCCAAATCTACGCAGCTGTCTTTTAGCTGGCTATTTAAATTGAACTACAGAATATTACACCCGTCTCAGGTATAAAAATATATATATTCTACGAGACAAATTAAAACTCATTTAGTTCACTAAATGTCTCTAAAGATAACACTTGTGATTGAATATTTCCTGATTACATCATCCACTGCAGGCCTTATACACAGCTTCCGCGATGTGATCACTGGCTTTCGTTTCTAGTAAATCGCCCTTTTCTCAGAATTAGACACATGATACTATTGAATAAGCTACTTGTGCATTTCATGTACACATATCAAGCACTGTATTTATCAGCAATGTCAACCATTTGTATTTGTTACTTTAGTGGTTGCTGATAGTATTTATTTGACTGGGTTTTCTCCTCCTTGTCGCGGTCTCGAGTCACCTGGAGCAGTCGTGTCCGCTCCACCCGGCACTGCAGTGGCATCTGTTGGGCCTGATGCATCTGCCTCCGTTCAGACAGGGCGAGGAGCACACGGCTGTGGACACGAAAACAAAAACAAAATCAGGGAGGAAACGCGATACCGGCCCCATGGCATTCCAACCAACTGCCCTTTAATGGTGCGTCTTTTCAACGCCTACAAATAGACGTCAAAGAAACAAGTAGTAGTTTAAATAACGCATTGTAAGTTTAACAAGGCAGAAACTTGAGAATGAGAAAAATGAGAAAATAAAGAGAAATTACAAATAAAAGATGGAACGCTTTCTTTTGTCTGGTTCTCCCGGCAGAGGGCCAGTTAATGTATTATTATTTATATAGAAACAACGACAGCGATGGGACCGAACACGCGACTCACCGCTGTGACAGCGCGTGCCGCTCCAGCCCCCAGGGCACTCGCACCGGTACGGCGCCACGCAGCGGCCCCCGTTAAGGCACGGCAGGATGCAGATAGCTGTTGGCGGGGAGGACAGGAGGAGGTCAACGCTCAGTTTGGGGACAACAAAAACGTTTTGAGATGGGTTTGACACCAAACAATCGCTGTGGACCCAGCTTCCCCCCCCGTTCAGACACCCTGCAGACCCCACTGCGTGTTAGAAGCAGCTCGGCCCGGGATACTCACGCTCCTCACACAGGCGGCCCATCCAGCCCTCGGGGCAGGAGCAGCTGTTGGGCCGCTGGCACACGCCTCCGTTCTGGCAGTGCAGCCAGCACACGGCTGAGGGAGAGAGGACGCACACAAAACGTATGTTACATAATGCAGAATGTCCCACGGTTACACGCGCGCTGGACAACGATGGGGGGGGTTACGACAACGACAGGCTTCATGCAAGACGGAAAGGGGAGCGCTCGCAAAGCGCCGATTTAATTCCTCAGCGCAGACGTATCAAAGACAGCCACCCCTCAGAGTGTGTGTGTGTGTGTGTGTGTGTGTGTAGACAAGAACAAGCACAGACTCAACAGCTGTTGATGAAATCGTAGCCTGGATCAATTCTTTTCTTTTCAAATTGAGTCTCGTGTTGCAATGAAAAATCTGCATCGAAGGGAAGGAGCTCAAAAATCTGCAGCTCAGGTCTATTATCTTCAGCCGTTGGTTGTACGTTGGTCTTTGATCCTGGAGGCCATAAACCGACAGTAGGTTGAGCTGAGACAAATCGAGAAAGCTAGAAATATGTTAACGTGACGTCACTTTGTAGATTTGTATCCACAGGAATGGGAAAATTACACCAGTTGAGAACTTTAAGAACTAGGAGAGTTGTTTCCTCTTTCATGGAGCTGTTTAGAGTACGACGAGTGCACAGGAAGGTCTTCAGGTCGACCACTACAACCACATCCTTTCCCAAACTACACTGATTACGTGACGAAAAGGCACGAACATACCGGGGCGAGACTTCTTGGTGACTTCACTTACTTCCGACATACGTGACAGAGGGACAGAGAGCAGGGACAGAGATGTCAACACCATACATGGAAAAAAAGCACCTCTGTTGGGTAAGAGCAGCGCTCCAGAGCAGAGCTAGAGAAGCGGATCAGCGGCATGACGTCACGCTGCAAGAGGGACAGTAAATAAGGAAGCGGGACGTGTCCCGGTTGAAAAGGGGGAGTGTCCATTCCCCAAACGCGCGGGCGGGGTGTCTCTCTACCTCTGCATGTGGGAGGCGGCGTCCAGGTGCCGTTCTCCAGACACCTGCTCCTTCCGACGCCCTCCATGGCGTAGCCGCCAAAGCACGAGTACACCGCCACGTCCCCAAACTGGAACACCGCCCCCCGCACCACCCCGTTGGCCACGTGGAGGGGGGGGCCACAGGACACCCCTGTACCAGATGGAACGACCCACGAGTTACTCACTACACGGTTTCTTCAGCTGCTCCTTTACTGAACTTCAAATATTCTGTTTGAGCAGAAAACAATTTACTACAGGAAGTGGACAAAATAAAAGAAACACTGCTTGTCACGAGGTGTAAATAAAAACGGAGGCCTCCCGTTGTTTCTGTACTGAAGAAAACCTCCCTCTCGTAATGATTATTCCTGCTGTCACATTACATCATTTTAAAGTATTTTACTCTTGTGCAGCAGCAGCAGGAGATCAGCTGTGCAACCATACAAACAGAAACATTAATAATCATACGAGTGTGTTTGTGGGACAGAGGGAGAAATTGGTGTCCATTGGATGAAATCAAGCTGTGTTCCCTGTGACCCTCGTTCATGCAAAATATCCAGATATACCCAATACTTCAGGTGCGCTGGACTACCTCCTCTGCCCAAAAAAGGACCAAAAAGATTAGAGGGAACATGCAAATATGGGAGAAAAAACATGCAAATAGAAACAAGGAACCATGGCGACGTGATCGCGATTGTGTTGTGTTCAGGACGACTGGATGCAAGAAACATCAGAGGACTATTTGACAACAGTTGCCATAGAAGCCTCAGCCCCTAATTAGTCCAGCACACAGGGAGCAAACACTGTGTTTGATGCAGCCATGTTTGTTACGATAGAAGCTCAGCGAGACAAATGGAAAGGATGCTTCAGCTAACAGGCAGATTTGAGCCTGAGTATCTGATGATGAGGAGCATGCAGAGGTGTCAAACATGAAATACACAATTTCTACTTCATTGACTCTTGAGTTAGGACATGATTTGCTGGTTTGAGTGCATATCCACATCCTAACTTCATAGAACATGATTTACGACCTGAATCTCAACCTGAGATCCTCACTGCAAACAAATTTAAAATTTAAATTTAATTTAAAAAATGTAATTAAATTAAAAAACAAGGCAGAAACACAATTAACATACTGCAAATTGTATTCACCTATTGACTTGACTATTGAATATATTCACTACTCTTGATATGTCTCTGTCAACATTTGTGGCCGTTTGCAGCGTCATTGTTGATGGATTAAGTGGCCGCATCTTTTGGGTGAGGTTCTACATTCATCTCAAACACCACCTACTTTCGCAGGCGGAACTGACGGGGCTCCATGTCCGGTCAGGCCTGCAGGTGATGGTGCCGCTGCCTCTGATCTGCAGACCTTTGGGACAGGTGACACGGACCGACTGTCCAACGGGAAACTCCTGCTGGGAGCCGTGTCTCCTACTGACCTCCCTCCAGCCTGGAGGAGCCGGGCACGACTTGGCTGCAAGGAGCAAACACGCAGGATTATTCATTAATAGATGTCTTCATCGAGTCGACGCGCTGGGTCGGTCAGCACATGCACAGACATGACATTTAGTAGCTAACGCGGATGACATGTGCCAGGGCTCTGGCTGTAAAGGCAATAATCTAGTACAAATACATTCACCATTGCACCATGGCATACCACAGAGGTAAGTGACAAAGACGAATCAAAAGGACATTATTGGCTATTGAAGTTACTATTTCTGTGGCGGGAAGTTCTATGGTCCCATGCACTATTTCTACTTTCAGTTATATTTGAATGAAGATAAGTTACTCTACAACAAACTTCTTCTCAAGTGAGCAGAAGGTTCCTTGAATAGGACTTTTCTGGTAAACAGCTCGGACTGATCATGAGCTGGATGGAGGTCTCTGAATCATTGCTGTTTGTGCCACTGCCCATGTTGCAAAACAAATAACAGCGCACTGTGTGTGTGTTGCAAACGTTCCCTCTGTTGTTGAAAAAGCGATTGTTGTGACAGCAAAGAGCTGTAGAGCAGAAAGACAATCACAACAGGAAGTCTAACACACCAATCCACTCATTCCTGTCACAGCCGCTTAACTTCTGCTGTGTTTGTGTATACAGGTTTCTGTCAGGAGGGGGGTGTTCTCACGTTGGCAGGTGGGGAAGCTGGAGCTCCAGGTGTTGCCCCCCATGCACACCACCAGAGAATCTCCCACCAAGTCGTAGCCTTTATCACACTGGAACTCCACGGCGCGTCCCGTGTTCAGGCTGAGCTCTTGTACCTTCCCGTTCTGCATCTGCTCCGGGCCGTCGCAGCCTTTGACCGCTGACACGAGAGGGAAATGGTGCAGAGTAAAAACATTTTTTTGCAGGCGGAATCAACGGTTAATGCGTTGCCTCCTGGTCCACTTCCATACCTTCACATGTTGGGGCCGGCTGGCTCCACGAGCCGTTGGCTAAACAGACGAGGGTCTTTTGGCCGTGCAGCTGCAGGCCGGTCGTACATACGTAACTGGCATTGTTTAGGTAAGTCTGGCCTGTTGTTTGGACGTGTGCGTGCTGCACTGCGGGGGGAGGCCCACAGGATTGTGCTGAGGAGACAACAGACAAGCGTTCATGCGTTGAACGTACGTTGGGATGGATTTCTGTGTGTGTCTGTGTGCAGATCTAGTTTAACCGGTTGCACAATATTTAATTAGAGCAGGATGAACATGGAGGGTCATATACAGATACTTTTATGTTTCTGTATGAAAAAATGGCTGCAACAACCTACAACACTCACAAATTCAGAAATATAAATATAACAGAAAACAAGATCAATATATAGTGTGAAGACAACGTTTTCAAAGCAGGGAGAAAAATATCTAAATAATTGACAAATTAACAAACAAATTTCCCAGGAGACAATGTTTATAGGTTTTAATCATCTTAATGTGAGATCTGCAGCTGTTTTATTATTGCTGGCTGTCAGTAACAAACCTACCAATACACAAAGGCTGGGTGCCACTCCATGTTCTGTCTCCCTGGCAGGTCCGGATAGAGTCTCCCTGTGACAACGAGAACAACGTGTAAAGATACAAGGATAGCAGATGACCTGAGCTTTGTCTAGATATATTGATTCTCAGAAATAGCAGGACAGGATCAATCATTTCTTTCGCAACTGACTGACACAATTGACTTTTTCACTGTAATAATATTGTTTAACTGCTTTTCAAATCAGCAGTTTGTCTTCTGTGTGAGTCACCAGTGTAATGAAAGTGGTAAGCATTCAAATTGCAGAGGCCATAGTGGTCTATAAGAAACAGTGACTCAGCTCTGTTTGCCCTGTAACTGCTATCGATTCAGGAAGGTCATGTGACTTTCTGTTATCTGATGGTCTGCATTTGGGTTTACTGTGTTGTTTGACAACCCAGTGCAGGGAAGGAGAGGAAACCCCCTGATGGTTTTAAGAAAAAAATGCCTTTCTATACTCAAATTATCTTATTATGTTAAATTAAAACAGTTCTCAGCTGAGGACATTTTATGAATGTTTTTTGATCTCAGCTGCTGAACACTAACAGTGTGCAGAAGGAAACTCAGCCTGATGATCATCACCTTCATGTCAAAGCCTGGCAGGCATGAGTACAGGACAGAGTCTCCGTAGTTAAAGCTGTCCCCCTCGGTGACGCCGTGAAGAAGAGGGTGGGGTTTCTCACAAACCGCAACCTTACAGGAAACGGAGGAGATTTCCGGAGCCCAGCCTCCACCCAGCTGAGACAGGACAGGAAAGTACTGCATTAATTATGGATTCCAACTGGCACGTTTAGTGGGAAAGAGGAGAGCTGTGTGAACCCTCAATTACAGCTGAATACCTCTGCATCGCTCCAAATCTCAAAACAAAAACTACAGTTATCTGAAAAAGGAGGTAAAACGATTTATTTGCATGTAAATAAAGGGACCAAGAACACCGTGTTTTACCAGGAAGTCACACATAAATTCAAAGAATTGAAAAAGGACTAAAAATTGACCAACATCTTTCCCACCTGACACTCAGCCAGTGCTGACCCCTGCAGGTGGAGACCTGGAGGGCAGGAGAGGGTGACGGTTCCCTTGACGGGGGTGAGCTGCTTCCCGGTGATTATCAGATTGGGGACGGAGGAGTTTCTGGGGAGCAGGCAGGGGGTCGGGCTGCACCGAACGCTGTGTTTGGACCAGGTGCCGTCGCTCTGGCACGAGAGAGAGCCTGTCTGCGTTAACGGGGTGTAACCATCCTCACACCTGGGGAGCGAGCGAGTTCACAGGAGAGTAATTAGGCTCATAGGTTCATCGGAAGTCCTAGACTGTCTGCACTGAGGAGTATGTGCCAGAAAGATAAGGAAATAATGTTTCCACAGAAGTCAAAGTAAGAACTGTAATATCTACCTGTATTTGATCTGGTTTGGGAAGGTGAAGGTGTCTCCCATCACCTGAGCGTGGGCCACAGCTGGAGGTATCCCACAGCTCACAGGCTCACAGCTGATCCTTGGTTCCCCCCACCTGCCGTCTCTTCTGCAGGAGATGTTTGGGTACCCTTTTTCCTGGTAGCCGGGGCGACACCTGTACATCACCGTGTCCGTGAAGGAGTTGCTGCCTCCCTGCAGGACGGCGTTGGGGACTGCAGGCGGGGCGACGCTGCACCTCCCCCGCCCACACACCGGCACGCCGGGGCTCCACACGCCCCCCTTCTCGCACGCCGCCTGAGAGGGCCCCAGCAGCTTGTGGCCCTCGTCACACTTGAAGTGGACCGAGTCGCCGCAGGCGCTGTCGCGGCCGACAACCACGCCGAACCTGAGCGACGGGAGCGCGCAGACGCACGGCCGGCACTGAGGCACCGCGCCCACCCAGAGGCCTCGGGCGGAGCACCGCAGGAAGGGATCCCCGACGACCTCGTAGCCGTCGAAGCAGACGTACTCCACCACGTCGTCGTAGTCGAAGCTGGAGCCGTTCAGGAAGCCGTGACTGATGTCCTCGGGGGGGTCGCAGCTTACGATGTCACAGCGAGGCGCGGGTTTGTCCCAAAGTCCGTCCGATTGGCATGTCTGCGCTGGGTCTCCGTTGAGCGCGTATCCCTCGTCACATTCGTAGCTTACCTTGCTGTTGATGCCGAACTCGGAGCCCAAAACACGGCCGTTGGGGATGGCTGAGGGTTTGCCGCAGTGGGCCGGTACGCAGGCGGGAGACCCGTGGCTCCAGGTGCTATCGGCCTGACAAACACTGACTGATTCCCCTTGTAGCAGGAAGCCGGGCTGGCAGCTCAGTTCTATCTCATTATTATAGCTGTACTCCTCTCCTTTAACGGTAATATCGCTGGGGACCTCCGGGGGACCACAAGAGACCGGCTCACAAAAAGGCTTCTGTCCGCTCCACTTCCCGTCCGCCCGGCAGACAATGGTGTCGCTGCCCTTCAGGACGAACCCGGGACTACACTCATAGCGCAACGCCTCGGGATACACAAAAGCGCCGCCGCGGGCTGAGCCGTTGGCGACGGCGCCCGGGTCGCCACAGGAGACCGGCCGACAAACCGGGGCGTCGCGTGTCCACAGTCGCCCCGACACGCACTCCCTCACGGCCTCCCCCTCCAGCTCGTATCCGTCCTCGCAAGCATACGTGACCGTGCTGCCGAAGGAGGTGTCGGTCACATTCACCCGGCCGCGTTCCGGAGCGGGTGGCGTTTCACACTCTGCGGGGACACAGGACGGCGCCGTACCGCTCCAGCCTCCGTCCTCCTGACACGTCAACCTGGTGGGCCTCGTGATGTCGTAGCCTTTGTGGCAACGGTACTCGATAAACGTCCCATGAAGGAAGCTCAGGTCCATGGGCGGGATCAATGCACCGGCGCCGTCCGAGCTTCCCGAGAGCTGCGCCACCCTCACATATTCCCCAAAGTCGATGTGCGGAGGCAAGCCGCAGTCCGAGGGCACGCAGACAGGAACAGAGCTCGACCAGCCGAACTCCTCGCAGGTCAAATGGTCCTGGCCTACCAGCTGGAAGCCAGGGAAGCAGCTGTAGAAAATGGTGACCCCAAAACTGTGGTCCTGCCCCTCGACGAATCCGTTCTCGATGGGTTGGGGTGGGCTGCAGAAAATCTCCACGCACGCCGGCGGCTTAGTGTCCCACTCTCCACTGGCCAGGCACTTCAGAGTCTCCGGGCCGTGGAGACGATAACCTCTACGGCAGGAGTAGGTGGCGCTGTGACCAAACTGGAGTTTTGTATAAATCACTTTTCCATTGGCTGTTTGTTTTGGGATTGAGCACTCAATTGGGCGACACGACGGCACGCCTCCAATCCAGAGTCCCGTCTCCCCGCAGAGGACGGTGGAGTTGCCAACTAAGTTGTATCCGGTCTTACAGCCGTACAGCGCTTTGCTGAGGAACATCAGACCCTGGACGTCGACAATGCCATTCGAGATCTCCACGGGCTGCGGGCATTCAACGGGGATGCACTCTGGGTACGGACTGCTCCACTGCCCGCTAGCCAGACACGACACGGAGCTTTCCTTCCTCATCGTGAAGCCGTCCATGCAGGCGTAGCTCACCACGGAGCTGAAAGGGAACGGAGACGAGGACGAAGAGGCCCTGCCGAACGACACCTCAGGCGGCGGGCTGCAAAACACCTGCTGGCACACGGGAAAGGTGTCGTTCCACTCCTGGGACGGGGTGCAGCGGAGGATCCGGGCCCCCTCCAGGACGTAGCCGTCCTCGCAGGACAGTTCCACCGTGCCGGATTCTGAGTCCAGGCTCTTCAGGACCAGGTGGTTCTCCTCCAGCGGCGGCTCGGGACACTGCACCGGCGAGCAGCGAGGACGCCTCGACTTGTCCCACCGGCCGTACTTCAGACAGGTCCAGGTGGCGTCCCCCGCCAGCTCGTAGCCCTCGTCACAGACGTACTGCACTTTTTGGCCCACCTGGAAATCGGACCCCCGGTAATGTCCGTGGACGACGTTGGGCGGGGGCTCACAGGTCAGAAGGACACAGCTCGGGGGGTCGTCGTTGGACCACTGGCGGTTGGCCTGGCAAACGCGATCCGGACTACCGATCAGTCTGTATCCGGCGTTACAGGCGTACGTCATCCTGCTGTTGAAGGTGAATCGAACTCTGGCCTGTGGGGGAATTAACAAGAATTACAGAAATGTTGGAATCACAAAGAAAAACGTTTTTTTTGTGGTCTCAGAGCAGAACGTGGCCTACCTTGATGTATCCATTCCTGAGCAGAGGAGGCGGCGAGCAGGAAACGGGCACGCAGGTCGGCAAAGCCCCTCCCCACTCCCCGTTGGCCTTGCAGGTCCTCCTCTTCTCCCCTCGGATCAGGAAGCCTTTATCGCAGCTGTACGCCACCACGGCTCCAAAACTGTAGTCGGCCCCGCTCGGGTACCCGCGGTCGATGCTCTCCGGCTTGGAGCACCGGACCGGCGTGCAGCCGACATCGTGCGGCGAGGGCTCCCACGCCCCGCCCATCAGACACCTCAGCGTGGCCGTGGTGTTCAGCATGAAGCCCTCCTCACATTTGTAGCTCACTTCGGTGTTGCTGGCATACTTGGGTTTGTTGACTGAATCCAAAATGGCGTGGGGAAGTTCGGGTGGACGCAGGCAGAAGTTTGCAATGCAGCGAGGGGGCTCGGCGCCGCCGGGGGGCGTCCACGCGCCGTGAGCGTTGCACACCATCTTAGAGTTGTTGCCGGCGGTGTATCCGTCGGTGCAGTAGTAGTTAGCGGTGTCGCCGAACAGCTGGTGGCTCTCGTAGGGTTCAGCGTGGTCAACGGCGGGCGGGGGGCCACAGGAGCGCGGCACACACTGGGCAGAGCTGTCACTCCACTGGCCACTTGGCAGACATTCTCTGGTCTCCGGGCCAATCAGAGTGTAGCTGTGAGAGAGATCAGCAAGTCGGAGCTCAGTATGAGCTGGTAACATTTCAGTGGGTGAGTTGGACCAATCGAGCGGAGCCACATTTACCCTTCTTTGCAGACGTAGTGCACCGTGTTTCCCAGTTCAAAGTTCTCGCCCACGGTCACGGCGTCCCTCAGCGCCGGCGGCTCGCCGCACAGGACGTTCACACAGCGGAGGACGGGCCTGCTCCACTCGCCCGACGCTTCACAGACCACTTCCATGGAGCCCTGTGGCCTGTGGCGAGTGGAATCGCAGAGAGTCACACAATACCGCAATCACATGCGAAATGAATACATCACATCAGGGGCTTCGTACCTTTACAACGTCTTATGAATTAACTGACTCAATAAGTTCCTGTGCATTTGAAAACGTATTTTGGGCCGTTTCTCTTTCTATTAAGCAGTCATAATAAAGATCTGGTGTGGAACAAATCAAAACAATTAAATGTGTGGATCATTATTTAATAAATGAACTGATCAAACACCTCCAGAAAGGGCTGTGAAAGAAGAACAGAGTAGATTTAACTTATTCGTACCTGTATCCCTGAAAGCAGGTGTACGTGACAGTGGACCGGTAGGTGTCTGTGTAGAGATTGTATTCGGCGTTCCCGACAGTTGGAGGGCCCCCGCAGGTCACCGGGTGACAGACAGGCGGCGTCCCGCTCCACCTCAGACTGGCGAGACACTGGAACTCATAAGGGATCCGAGGCAGGAAGCCGTGGGCACAGCTGAGGAGAAGGGAAACAGACTGAGGGACAAGCTCCACTCAACTTCCCTCAGGGTACGCGCTGATACCTCCCGAAATATTTCCCACTGTCATCATTACAACATGGTAATGGAGGGGATGCAAATAATACCTGAAAGTCACCTTGCTTCCATAGGTGAAGTTGTTTCCCTTCATGACGGAGTTTTCTGGGGCGGATGGCGTCGGGCAGGAGAGGGCTGACGGGCAACAACCACACACAGATGATTAGTAACTTATTTAAATTCCGTTCAAGCAGAAAAGTGAAATGACTACACTCATTTCAATGGGTAGAGGCACAATGGCAGATGCCTCTCAGCGGTATTATTCATCCAGGATTAATGCCAGAATACATTTTACTTTAATAGGATAGAAGAGCACACAGTTGAGTGCTTGCATGGATAGAAGCCAAAGAGGCCTGACTGAGAGGCATTAGTGAACGATGTCGAGCAAGACATTAAAGTGGTACTTTGGTAATTAGATATTGCACTTCCGTAAAGTTGGAGGACTCGCATGAAGTGAAGCATAACGTAAAGCAACAGAGCCACCGGCTGTTTGGAGACACACATGAAGCCTCCAAATTTGGACCGTCCATGTCCGTGTAAATTGGTCACACCAGGGATACTGCAGTTAAACAACATGAAAGGATATTTTCCACCTCACACAATGATGTCCCTGAATTTGTGTTTCGGGCAAAACACAGTTGTTTTTTATACCTCAGATGACCTGCCGGACTTTTACAACACAATCGCTCCGCTGGCAGAACGTAAGAGCTCTGCACAATCTGCGAGCGTAAGTCGGTTCCTCGTTTCTCTATGAGGAAGAATGTGGCTGAGAGCCAAGATGGAGATGCTGCGGTGGTCATGCCTTTCAGCCCGCTGCGCAGGGGAGGACAAAAAGACTGCTGCATCACCCCTTCCCGGCATAATGTGTGTTTGTGATGTACATGCGTGTATATTTGTGCCTGGAAATGTTTGTGCTGTCTGCTTTTGTGTGTTTTTAATCTGTTTGTTTGCTGTAACTGCAGATGCGTTTTTGGACCCCACTGCCAAGAAATGCACCATTGATGATTTTACTCGTCCTCACCTCTGCAGTATGGGATCGCCTCGTCCCAGCTCCCCGTCTCCAGACAGAGGAGGCGAGACGAGCCGATCAGCTCGTATCCGTTGTCGCAGCCAAAAACCACCTCGCCGCCCATCAGGAAGTTGCTGCCGTCTCTGTGACCGAATTCTGGAGACCCGGGGTTCTCACACTTCACCGGCGCTGGATGAAGGAACAAAACAGGTGACCATTAAGATTATATATAGACGGGTGAATTTCTTTGTGTTTTTTTTAATAGGATATTGGCTGGTGGCTGGTTACCGGTGCAGTTCTTTCCGTCTCCGTTGTACGGGTGCACACAGGTGCAGGTGTAGGAGCCGTCCGTGTTACGACAACTGGCGTGTTCATCACAGTCCGATCCCAGAGCGCACTCGTCCACATCTGAGCACGCACACAGGAGAATGTGCACATTACAAAGACATTTCGCTCCTCGTCAATCTGGAAAAAGGGGACTTTATTTATTGCTCAAATATGTTATTTAATGCCGCACCGAGACAGGCCGGTGGATGTGCACCCCATTTGCCACTGTTGGTGCAGTGCACCTTGGTGTCACCCAGCAGGTAAAAGCCAACGTTACACTGATAGACCACAGAGCTGCTGGCATGGAAGTCCGTCCCCTGAAACAAGCCGTTCTCCAGAGGACGAGGAGGCCCACAGGACACTCCTGCAACACACGTGTCAAAATATTTATCATTTTCTCACTCTCACAGGCTCTCTGCCGATAGCTGTATTATCTTTATGTATGTCAATGTTTCATACATACGTCTCATTAACAATTCAAACCACAGAGCAGTGTGTGTGTCTCTGTCTTACGTTCACAGCTGGGCAGAGGCTGGCTCCACTCTCCTTTATTTTGGCACTGTAGCACCGGCTCCCCCCGCAGGTAGAAGCCGGGATCACAGGACAGCTGAACCTGGGCCCCGGGGCTCACCTCCACAGTGGAGGCGTGCAGGTGGGGCACGGCGCTCTCCAGTTTGGGGCAATCTGGAAGGACCAGGAATAATTTTTTGGGTGTGAGGTCAAAACATCTTATTCCAATACATTGTGCATTTCAGAAATGTATGGTTCTGCGAAGCCTCTTTTACCTGCGCAGAAAACGCTGCTGAGGTTTACTTTGACTCGGCCCACCACACCGCTGAGGAAGTCTGGCCAGGCGAGGACGTTCCCTCTGTGCGTCACATGGGAGGATGGGCAGCTGCTGGCCAGGACCTTTATCTACAGTCACATAGCATTCCTGTTTTATGACTCTTGCTAATTAGAATATACATGTGTTCCAATTGGCCAATGCCTATTTGAACTGAAACACTGATTACATCTCACCTGTTGAGGTGTGAGAACACGATCCCAGATGTTGAGTTGGCTGATGGAGCCAACAAAGGATTCCACAGGGTTGAAGCCTTCGCCCCTCTGATCCTGGTCCTGACCCAACACCAGCGCACCGCCACCTATAGGACACAGGTCAAAGGTCACAGGTTAACCCCAACTCACTGCGACATTATTCATCTAGTCCACTTGGTGACTACGCGGATCGAGAGGTGAGCAGGTCGAGGATAGCACTACACCTGGGATGGTGGTGCCGACTGACAGGCCTTTGCCTCCGTCCGAGGGCTTCCCGTTGATGTAGATTCTCCAGTCGCCATCCCAGCTCCTCCAGGACACCCCAATGTGGTACCATTGACCCGTGTTCACTGCAAGGCAGTCAGTGATCCGCTCTTTCCCGTTTACGTACAGCACCCACCTGTAGGGGGGCGGGACAGTCAAAGGATTCAATGAAAGCTACACAAATGATTAGGGGGCACTTTTTAGTCTGCTAAAGTAGAGGTTCTGCAGGGTTAAATCATCACTGACCCATTGTAGTCTATGAGAAGGAAAGCGTTGTCGCTGCCCTCCACAGCGTAGGAGACAGGTGTGCCATAGTTGGTGGTGTCTGATGACTTCATCCAAAAGGTGCAGGTGATCTCCGTCAGCGGCGGCATCATTCCATCCATCATTACGTAACCGTGGATACCAGACACCTCAAAGTCCAGGTTGAAGGCGGAGGACATCTCTGATGAGGCAGAAGAAAAAGCATTATTTTTCATCTTCTATATGTCAGATCTTTGGATAAACACAAAACACTCTCTTTTTTCCTCCTTCAGAGTTGCCGTGGCGATTTGTAATCTGTCCTATAGTACCTGTCTCACACCTGGTTCCGTTGAACCCAGGGAGGCATCGGCAGGTGTAGGACCCAAGGCCGTCCAGACAGCTGGCCCCGTTCACACAGGGGTTCGGGTCGCACTCGTCCACGTCCACCTCACACAGCCGGCCGCGGTAGCCTCCGACACACTGACACCTTCGGTTACACATCGAGAAGCACAATGAGCCACAACGCTTCCAAAGCACCTTTCCTTCCTCGTGGTTGATTTCAAGCTACAGGTCAAGTACATTGAAACCCTTGTTTAAAAATGTAACGTGGAAGCCTGTTTCAAGAGGACTGCTTCCTCCCGTCACAATCGTTATCACCTGAAGCTGTTAACGGCATCCACACACGAGCCCCCGTTCAGACAGGGGGAGCTGTAACATTCATCGACGTCGACCTCGCAACGGTCCCCCGAGAAGCCGACGGCACAATTACAAGTGTAGCCGCCCATCAGGTCGTCACACACGCCTCCGTTCAGACAGGGGTCGGAGAGGCACTCGTTTATTTCCAGCTCACAACGAGATCCTGCAAATGTGTGAAAAGACGGCAGGAAAAAAAGCAGCATTTTCAAAGCGCTCGCTTAAATATATTCACCTGTTTTGTGCATCATGCAGACCAACATTGGTAATTTTGTCATATGTAACTAGTACGACTGACACACTGATCCCCAGAATTAAAATGTAACCTTGCCCCTTTAATCTGACCTGTGAACCCGCCGGCACAACTGCAGGTGAACTTGTTGACCTCGTCCACACACACGCCTTCATTCAGACAGGGAGAGGAGACGCACTCGTTCACCTCCGCCTCACACAGAGCGCCTGAGACGGGCAAACACAGATGTGTGGTTGACAGAATATTCAATTAAGTCGAGCTAAAACATCTTTCTGAGCATAACTGTATTTCCTCGAAGGTCAATTACCTAAAAAGCCTGGTTTGCACTGACACTGGAAGTCTTCCATGCCGTCTTTGCACAGGCCTCCATTCTGGCACGGAGTAGAGTCACAGTCATCTATGTCAATCTCACACTTGGCACCTGAGAGGGAAATATCAGAGGCTGTAGTAAAAGACTCGTCGTGACAAAGTCACATACAACGCAGCTGTGGGGGAAATCATTATGTCCATAAATGCCAACGCTCAAGTGAGAGTTTCAGCTGGATACGATCCACAGAGCAATGACAGCAATGAAATACAGCAGACTAACCACCAATGGTCCCCTTATTCCTGCTGTCGAATGCCTTAAAGTCCCCTTTCTTCTCTAAAGCTGTTGATACACAAACACCCCACCAGGTGCGTCTCAGGCGGCAGGTTTACCTGTGAACCCTGGCATGCAGGTGCAGACGTATCCGGCCCCCACCTCCTCACAGGTGCCCTTATTCTGACAGGGATTCAGGAAGCACTCGTGGAAAACCTGCAGCCGATCAGATCGTCCGTCAGAAAGACGTTAAAAGCCTCAATGAAGATGGTAAAATATTGATTACTGTATATGATTAAAGTTTATCAATTACATTTCTGAACAGACACGTTAAACAAATTAAATGGGGAATAAAAATGGGGACAAAAGACGCTAACACAAATGCAGTTCAATTGAATAATGAAAACTGTATTTTGTATTAGAAAAGGTAAAGACTAACCTGACTGCTTGCTTGGTAGTCCTCGTTGAGGTCCACTTCTGGAGCCGCAGTCACACTCTCCTCTTTGGGAAGAAAACTGGAGCCAAAACCTGACAACGACACCCGGAGAAAACACAGACGATTTAAGCACAGACAAGTCGGAAAAAAGCAGCAAAGATCTTTCCCCTCTGTCATCAGACTCCATCTGTCTCTGTCTGAACTAAATTGTATTCTTATTGAAAAGCTGGCAAAATGTCCTCTTCATTCCCACCCTTTAGGCATGCAATGCTATTTATTTCCATTCTGGAGCAGAGAAATGATTCAGTTTCCCTTTGATCCCTTTGCAGTAGTTCCTTTTTCCTCCAATTGGATTGAGGCGTCACCCCACAGAAAACCGCACAACACAAGTCAGTTTTAACAATGTAGAAATGATGTCAAGCCAGGCGGCTCACACTTAACAGGTCCAGTTATTTTGCTCTATGCGCGTCATGTAGACAATTGAACACAGGTTATTTTACATGTCAACCCAACTCAGCACAATGGCTGAAACCTGGAACTATCATAATATAATTTTTCGGTTTTAATTATTAATGAGAGGAGTCCCTCAGCACTGCAACACACCAGGAAACACACCGTGGCTGAAATGTACTTGTGTTCAACTTTTATAGGAATTGATTCATTGTGACTGGAATTGGAGAAGTACAGTATAACTGGTAAAGAATTTGCAGAGCGTTATAATATGTCTGTTCAAAAATAAAATAGAATTTTTCTTTTGTTCAAATAAATCTGCACAATAATCATTCTGAAAAGGCCTCACATTATTTTCACACATTTCCAATAAAGCCGATATACGTAATTTAAACTTATACTAAAAAAACATTTTTATAAACACTGTGAAACAAGTGAGGAAAGTGTTCCGAAATCACCCGTTTTACCTGCAGGCATTTATCGTGATTTTATGTTGAAACCAATTTGAATACAAAAACAACCTTGTAAGTTCTCCTTGTTTGGTCCGGCCACTTACTGGAGCAGTGCTGTATGGTGTTTGCACCGGTGATGGTGGTGGTTCCATAGAAGGGACAGGAGAGGCAGTAGGAGCGGCCATGTTCGGGCTGGTAGTAATCTCTGGGGCAGTGGTAACAGGGAACCAGACCGGTACGGGAGAAGTGCCCCGCTGGACAGGGAACTGCAGCAGTAGAGAGAAGAGAGGTTCAGAATGGAGGAGCACCAGAGGGAAAGAACAAAGTGGAGCAATAAAAATCACCAGAAACTATTCACAAAAGTGGTATCTGCTGGTTGATTTAGATGTTGGTTGACATTTTAAAAGGAAAAATCTGGTAGCGAACCAGCAAATTCCTCATCTCTCTTCCAGTGAGTAATCCCTACACACTTTCTGATGACAGGCGATTGCACATGAATGGTAAATACTAACAGACGCATTTTTGTGTAACGGCTGGAATTGTATTTGCTTTTGTAACCTAGCAGCGTTTTGAATAATTTAAGCGTGATCAAAGCTTTTCAAATTTAAAAAAGGCCGGCCGTCAGACTGTATCACCTCCACACTCCATCTCGTCCACCGCTCCTCTGGTGACCGTCGAGGTTTCGTCGGGACAGACGAGACACTCCCTGGCGCCAAACCCGGGCTGGAAGTGACCCAGCGGGCACGACTCGCAGATCTCCAACCCATTGAGAGAGTTACTACCAGGCTTACACTGCCCTGCAAACACACGCAAATCACCATCGCATGAGCATCATGCCCAATCAGTTCAATAGTCAACATTAACATTCATTCACACAGAATTTATTGCATAATCAACAGTTTTTGTTATCATAATGTGTCAGAGGATATTTTTAAGTAAACGCATCTCACCTTTGCACTCAGCGACGCTGCGGGAGTGCAGGTAGGCGGTGGAGGTTCCCTCAGGACAGGACCTGCACTCCAGCTGGCCCTCCTGGTCCTGGTAGGAGCCCAGCCAGCAGCTCTCACACTCGTTATATTCCAGAGAGAAGTATGTCCCCACCGGACATAGAACTGCAACAGCACAATTGGGGATTTACTAAAGAAAAGCTTCATTGGAAAAAAGTTAAAGCTGGTCAGATGATTGGCTGTCAGGTCCTCTCTGTCCCCTCGCACTCACCGCACATCCTGCCTTTGAGCACTGAGCCCGGCCTGCAGAACAAAAAGGGCTTCTTGCTCTCCAGAGACTTGGGATCAGCTAAGATCATCTCCGAGGACAAGTGGAAGCTGGACAGCGGCTGCTTGGCCAGCGTTCGCTTCAGGCGATTGGTCAGTTGCTCCAGGGTCCGTAGGAGTCTCTTCTGATTGGCCACCTCTACTGAGTCGTTCCTCGACAGGGGCAGAGGGATGCTTGCTGGGAGAACGGACAAAGTTTAAAGGACTGACAACGACAAAAATACATTATATATATATATATATATATATATATATATTCTAGGCACAGAACACCGACCATGACAGATATTCTGAGCATTGCTCAGGCCAACGAACATAATATACCTGTGATATTGAAAAAGATCTGGATCTTTTGGTCTCTGGTGGGGCCTGTTATTTTTCGGTGCCTCTTGCTGCGGTGGTGCGGTTGCATGCTGCTGTCCCGCTGCTGGCCGGCGACCCTCCCGGTGCCCGGGGCAAAGCCTGACTCAAAGTAGGCGTAGTCCTGGGCGCCCTGAGGACCCCAGCTGTTGCTCCAACCCCCCGGTGCTGATAGATACAGAGGAAGAAATAATATGCTGACAAGATGCTTCCATTTAAATACAGGTGGGATGTTTCGTGGAGATGCACGTAAATCCCACCGATTGAAAATCCATTATCGTAGTCGTAGTTGTACTCCAGACAGTGACCCTGTGACATCACCTCCAGCTTGCAGGTGACATCCCCGCTGCTGCAAATGTTGGGCAGCTGTCGAGGAGAAGAGAAGAAAGCATCAAGTTTTTGACAGTTGACTTCCAGCAGCTCCATGTGCACATGTGTTCCTACATCCTCACCATGCCTCCCAGTTTGGAGTTGAACTCCCCAGTGAACGACTTCACCAGCTCCACGTCGTCACAGCGAGACGCTTTGAACAGCATCTCGAAGGGTTTGAGCCCGTTGTTTGCTATGCGGTTCACTGGGAAAGACAAAATATATTTTTTAATTGATTAATGAAACGTTTGAATGGTCACCAACATATAAGGACTTTGTGCAGGTACACTTTTTTATATGTTCTGCAGTAATGTGACGGCGCACTGCAGGCGAGACCAAAATAACTCAGAGCCAAGCCGCACAATGAGAGCTACGAGTACCTGAGCAATCGGGTCTGCTTGGAGAGTAGGGCGGCTCCCACACGCCGTTGTAGGCGCAGAAGTAGCTGTGCACTGCATCCTGAGTGAAGCTGTAGCCTTCTTTACAGTGAAGTGTACAGTTGACGCCCTCGTCTTCTTCAGAGCAGACAAACTCCCCGTTGACTGGGATGTAGGGCTGGTCGCAGGTCGTCCCTGGACGGACACGCGCAGCGTTTAATGCCTCAAGTTTGATGATGATATCTCTTCATATTTATGTGTTTACAACAGTTTACAACAAAGCAACATTTTCTTCAGATGCAGATGCTTAACAGAATACACAGCCGAGGAAAAGTGTGCACCTTGCACAGTGATGGTGAGGTTGCAGGTGCGGCTGTTTCCTGCAGCATCAGTAGCGATGTACTGGACCAGAGTCTCTCCTACCGGGAACACGGAGCCTGGAGTATGGCTGCTGGTCACAGTGAGGCGACCACCTGAGAGAGACACAAAAGTGTTGGTTACAGTGCTGTTCATATATTATGACCATTTTTGAGGCAAAATTGCGAGTGGATGTTGAAACGTAGGTGGGACAGCAGTGCTTAAACCATAATTAAGATGAACGCCGTAGAAGATCACCCAAGTTCAGAATGTTTTCTTGAGTTAAAAGTACCTGCGGTAATCCTGCAGAGGGCAGTCTTGTTCTTTTCCATCGTCCAGGACTAAATGAGTCATTCGTGGTCAAAAGTTAACTTAAACAATGATACATTGACATGGGAATGGTGCGTCTGGGCATCACACCGCAGTAAAAAAAGAAATCCATCTCTTGGGATTGGTGACGGAAAACGGCTCCAGTCTGGTTGGCTTGAAAAGGAAAACGGAATGTGAAAAGAGTGATGCAAAGAGTCTTGGGAGAGGCAGTGGTGGTGAGTGTGTGTGTGTGTGTGTGTGTGTGTGTGAGAGAGAGAGAGTTTGTTTGCATGTGTAGAAACGCCAAATGTCCACACTAAGGCTAAAAACCCAAAAGAAAAACTGGGAAAACATCTGGACTGAAAGTGTGAGAAACACACACAATAATAAAAGGCGGGGAAACTGTGAGATTGACCTTTTGTTTCCCTCCAACTCCATTCCGGGCTGACACACGTCTGGCCTGATGGAGTCTGGTGTCTCCCCTTATAAATAGCCTTTGTGAATATGTGTGCGTTTTAATGCGTGTGTCTACGGAGTCACTACTATATATAGCGCTGGCACCAGGGTGTGGGCCTGGAAAACAAAACACTGACGTTGTACCAGCGCTGGGCTGACGTCGTGCGGCACAAAGACGCCGCAGCGGCAGCCCGTTATTACGGTGGATGTGTGTGTGTGTGTGAGACGAGTGCGTGGTTGGTGGGGGAGCAGCTCTGCAGACAGGTAGGCAACAGGTACGCTGGGCCGAAGATCGAGGATTGAGTGTGTAATTTATCTGTGTGTGTGTGTATGGGCCGAGACAGGGAATTACACGGGTCTGTCTGTGGGCTGGTACCCTGGAAAAGTCTGGTTTGTCGCCTGTCACCACCACGGCTCCTCGGTTACAGCTAGAGCGCCAGGAGAAAGTCCGCCTGCTCTACGGTAGTTATAGTCCATTTGGCAGAGCGGCTTTTGATGCACTTCTTCGGCGCAGGATCAGGCCTGAATCGCTGAGCATAGACGCAGTGAACCCTGCAGGGCGACCCAGGCCGTATTAAGAAATCAAATCCTCACCAGAGCCGGTGTGCACTCCCTGACCTCTGGAGCAAGAAAAGCAGCACCATTTTTTTTATAGTGCACTAGAATAAAAGACATTGCTATGTGGTCTGGATTTATTATTTGGAGGCAGAGGTGCAATAAAAGAATCACTTGGAAGACATCTGTGTTCATTTTTTTAACACTTGAACTGGTTCAACCCTTGGCTAGATTGAGCAGTGAAACGTGTTAACAGTCCCACACTAGATAACTGTAACAATTTTATTGACCAAAACTATAAAGATATCTTAGCACGTTTACAAACTGAAATTGCCCCGAAATTGAGTACAAATACTGTGTGGGAAAGTTATCAAACACTAAGCAGTGTCCAGCACACTAGCAGGTTGGTACTATCAGAGTCAGGAATCAATGGTGAACCTCCGTATAAGTCAAGCACTGTGCGAAAAATTCTCTAAAAAAAAACAGCTTTTAACATAAATGAGATTAACAGACAACTCAAACTCAAAGACACAGAAAATATTGCCTTCGCGCACACAATTACAATCCATCCTCTCGCTATTTGACCATTTGTCTGGTCAGTGTCTCTTAACGCGACTCGCCCACACACATGCACTCACAGAGCCCTCTCCTGATCCCCCTTTTCCAGGCACCGAACGGAAAAGACCCGGTATAACCATCATCGGGGGAGGAGGAGGAGGAGGAGGAGGGTGGGAGCCGAGTGGAACAGAGGAGCGAAAGAATGAAAACCATCCCCGGTGCTGCCGTCTGAGAACGAGGTGGACCAGACATACCTGAGTTGTCGGAAAACCGTGGCACCTCCCAAACGGCCGCCGTCTCCGTGTCTGTGGCCTGGGTCGTGGGCGGCGACCTGCACCTGTCAATCACCGGGGCCTCCGTATCTATAGTGCGACACGAGGGCCGTTAACTGCGGCCCGTAATGACCAGACGGCGGAAACGCACAATAAACACAGCGCATTTGTGAACATAAAACATATCAGTCGCTTAACGGTTGATAAAGTATCTCCAGAGACTGGAACAGATTACGGCCGCATCAAGGAAACACTTTGTGATGGTACTTTTTCTACACAGCCGAGTGTCGGGACGGCGGGAGCACACATGTCTCCAATAAAGACCGCTACACCATAACAACATATGGAAATGTTCACGGCTACCATGCTCGAGGTCCCCACCCCACCAACCCGCCCCAACTGTTGTGATTATCGAGCGGTCGACACAGGACACCCCCGGGTTTCCCCCTCGGCCTTCACCCTGTTTGGCACCTGCTGGAGGAGGACGTCCTCGTTACTGGTGAGCGCCTTAGATACACACAGATGTATAATAATATGATATATATTAGTACGAATTGCTTAGTTTTGGAGATATCGGCTCAAGAGACGTCGGCTCGCGGTGCTGAAACGCGCCAACGAAATAAGTCACACGTCTCTTCTTCTTCTTTCAACCATAGTTGAAATGCATTCAAACGCTTAAGTAACGATTTATCAGCACTGCCACGGACATATAAATGTGACATCAATCATCCGACGCACATTGTATACAGAGCAGCGCAGCTGTGTGTACTTGAGCCAGCAGAAGACAAAACACCAGACGGAGAGCCAGAAAGCTAACGCCGCCGTTATTCCGGAGACCTCAGATGAGACGTCTCCACGCGCGTGGAATATTTTCTAAGTATATAAGTAGTTTTGTTGGCGCAGACATTGGTCGCCGGAGGAATGAGCTCACCGATGACCGTGACCGTGAAGGAGCAGTTGGCCTGGTTCCCCGAGCGGTCGGTCCCAATGTAGGTGATGGTCTCCTTCCCGATGGGGAACAGCTGGGGCGGAGTGTACACCGGCTTCACCTGCACCACCACCTGAAGGAAGGAGAAACACGAGCTTACATCTGAGAGTCACTGCGGTGACTCCCGAGTGTTGACTCGCTAAAAAAAAGAAACATTTTAATCCTGAAATAATCAATTTCTGCAAATTATTCTGATATATGTCAAAGTCAGTGAAAGACATCATTTCCAAGCATTATTTAGTTTTTCGGCTTTTTAAAGTTGCTGATTTTCCACTTTGGAATATATTCTTTATGATTGACTAACATATGAAAATATTAAAAGCAAATAATGCGTCAGTGACTACTGAGCACGTAGTTTTATCAAACCTCTTCTTCAGAGTTATCGGAGGCAATCGGGACGTTCCAGCTAACGTTGGCGGTGTTGCGACGCTCATCCGTCTCTGCAACAATGTTGCTGGGACACTGAATCCCCGGTGGTTCAGCATCTGGAGACACGGACAAAAAGAACAAGCCTATACTTTATGGAGAGAGCAGGATATCGGATGAGAACCAGAACGCCACAAAATGCTTCATCTGCTTCCATCTGATCTTATTACATAGTCAGATTTAAATGCTGCAGATGTTCACTCCGTATACACTGACCTCCGCCTGCTCCTTGTTATCACTGAGGAGGCGGATTTATGATGTCATCTGACCTCTTTAAATCACGAGACGTCACACACTGGTTATTGGTCTCAACTGAATTAAGCGGCGCTATCATCGTTCCAGCGACAGAAAATTCCACAAACGTAACACAACTGAACTCTCTCCATCCACCAGCTCGATATCAGGCCATACGGGGAAGGAGACATGGAGACAGATGTGCAGTGACCTGTGATACACGCAATGCGCCATTAAAAAATATGTCTTTGGTCCTATAATCAGTAAAACAGAATATTCAAACTTAAATCCAACAAGAAGAAGCTGTCGCTTGCTTTGCCTCTGGAACTAAACCCGGAGGAGTCCCACTAAGTAAATGTTTAAGTGACGTATATACGTAAAGACCTATTTGTACACATGACTATTGATCACATTAATAACGCTGGTTATAAAGAACATCACGAGGAATCTTGGCTGCAACAAGCCCATCTGTGAGCTTAAGGAGATCTGTCAGCAATAAAGTTACATTAACAAGCTCAAGATTATCTTGGAGAAAAACAATGAAAGTAGCGCGAAAACCCAGCTTTTGATCCGGGGCCGAAGGGTGCAAATGTAAACAAATCTTGTGCCATGGAATGAATAGCTCCCTCCTTTTCGCTCATTCTGCGCCGCAACGATGTGGAGCCAGAGCCGCTCACCTCACCTCAACGCAGTTCAGCGCAGTTCAGCTCAGCTCAGCTCCTGAGCAGCTCGGTTCAGCTCAGTTCAGCTCAGTTCAGCTCAGTTCAGCTCCTGAGCAGCTCGGTTCAGCTCAGTTCAGCTCAGTTCACGCCTGCAGTAAACGAGCACAGTCTCCCACCCATCGACCACAGTCGTGCCAGTTGCGTTGTGTAAGAGAGTTGCTCCCATCTGCACCCGATGACCCATCCACTTAGTCATCCATCTCTGCTAAACACTAACACACTTTGCTCCAATCGGCTCCATTCGTCTTCATAACAGGGGGAGCGGTATTTCACGTTGGGTGTCATCTGCGTGAAGTGAGAGGTGAAAGAAGCCAGAAGCTCACAAAGAGGACTTTTCAACTCTTCTTCTAACTTTTCATTTCTGGGTCTCATCAAAGTGTGCCGCCTACGTTGCAGCAGCGCACCATCTTTCCTCTATCTCATCTAAGTTTTCCTTTTAGTATCTCCCTTCCTGCAGCCCATTTGCACCTGAGTGGGGAGTGGGGGGGGGGTGGAGGGGGCGAATCATCATCTCTCCATTATAAAACACCTACGGATGACTCATCCTCCCCTCTGGCTTCGCCGTCCGCCCCATTTCTCCCTTGGTTTTCATCTTTATGGCACCTCTTCCTCCCTTTAACGACAGCGCTTCCTTCGTTAGCAGACTTTCACCGCGAGGAAATGAGGAGGTCGAGGACATTCCGAGAGGCGGGCCGAAGCCGCTCCGCGCCACCTGTTTCACCTGCGAGGCATCTGGAGGGCTGCAGTCCATTAGGAGGATGTCCGGCCCAGTCGGAGCGGAGGGGCGAGACACCAGAGCTCGGGCCGCGGTGTGGTTTGAGTTAGCGACCATTTCCCACCGTTCACAAAGTGGAGAAAAAGACGGACGGGGGGGAGCGGAGAATGGAAAAAAAAACGTGTGTCCCCCAGTTTCCGGCCCTTTTTTCTTTTAGAACTGCATCTCCGGCCACGTAGTGAGCGTCTTTCAAGCAAACAAGTGTTCTAACCCTGTGAAATGAAGTTTTGTCCATTTTAATGAACTTCCTAAGGAAGGAAACCTGGCCGGCAGGTACAACCAGATACGACTCTAACGATCGGGTTTTTCTAATCATCCTTTTTTTTAGCATTTGCCAAGCATTCGTTGCAGTCAGAGCGCTCTAAAAACCGTGTAATGATTATAATGGAATGAAATGTTTGCTGTATTTTTGGGACACAGAAAAGAAAGAAAACCAGTCATATTTATTGTATTTTCTCCCAGCAGAGAAATGTCTCACACACACACACACACACACATATTACCTATACAGACGGCCCGATGGACATTAGCGGTCCAGTTTCCAGAGCTCGTGCACGCCGCCTTCTTGTTTCCCTGGAGGTTGTAACCTCGACGACAAGTCAGAAGACAAGCGGAGCCCGGAGACACTGTCCTCTTCCCGCAGGCGGAGGGCGACAGCACGATGTTCTTCAAGGCCACAATGGGGGGACACCGCACCTCTGAGGAGAAAGAGAGGAACTAAGAGATGAACCTGACCGCCTCTGACCAACAGCCGGTCGGACTGGACTGATGACTCATGACACTGATGACCTTTTGTTTATTGTCCACTCTCACAAGGAACTGAAAATGTTTTAGAGTTATTGTGCATTGCTGAAACAAACAAATCTAGAGAGTATCAGACGATACGGCGGGTCTGAGCATAAAAGCCAACAAGCAAACAGGCCAATAAACCTTTCCAACGATCACAAGTACGTTTCCTGTGCTTTTACCCGAATGTTATCAAATCTCACTCCCAGCTGGCTCAACCATAAATGCCAACAATAAAGCTATTTACAGGGGTTGTGTATCACAAACTGGACCAAAAACAACAAACATTTGGTCGGTAATCAATCCTAAGAACGCCCTGACCACAGGGCTCATCCACTGGAGGCCTTTTTGTGGGATGCGGGCCAGTTGGGCTTTCCCGTAATGACGGAGAGATCCCATTCTCTCCGGCTCCATCACACAAATACCTCGCAGCTGTGATACAGAGGGAATAAAGGAGCATCCGAGTTGGGGCTCGGTGGGTGAAAGAGCCGGTCGTTATCAGTAAACGGAGAGATTTTCCCGGAAGCCGACCGGTTGTAGTTTTTAAAATAGAGCAGCTAGCCCGTTGGTTGGAAGTGAGTCAGTTCGGGCCGGAGCTTTGTGGCTAAACACTCTCACACGGCCCCTTTTTGTGTGTGTCGTGTGCCTGCGTGCTCCTGTGGAGGGCATGAGTGTGCGCAACTATTTTAAGTTAACTATCAGTTCTGAAGTGTGTGGGTAATTTTGTGTGCCCGTGTATAAGCAGCGGCCGTAGTTCTGCTGTGGACCCTGTAGGGAGGCTCTGTGCAAATACAGACCACATGTTTAACCACGGTGCGCGTGTGAGTGCGTGTTCGCATGTGTGTTTACATATGTCGGTAATGCCACATGGTTTTATATAGGAATACCCAATTAGCTTTCTGTTTTTTTTCCCAGCCGGACAGGAGTCACTGAGCAAAAGCTAAACAGGTAATGGGAGTTTTAAAGTTGCACTACAGGCTTTGAGAAAGAAAATCAAGTTGTGTATATATATATATATGTGAACGTAGATCCGCACGATGCCAAACAGTGAAATGGAATGAGTCACCTTGTAGATTTCTACCAGGATTTATGCAACATGTACATTAAACTTATGTATTTAAAAAAACTCAACCTCATAACAAAACATTCTTACATTAAATCACAGAGCCTCCTTTGTTTTAGATATTGTACATGTACGTATGTGTTCAATGATGCCTACTGATACAAACCCACTGCGACCACGTGGTGAGGAGAGAGAGAGCGAGATACTATAATGGAGGCGGCATCATCGGGAGGTCACACACAGTGGTGGAGAGGTCTGGAGGTGAGGCTTACCCACACACCGAGGTTGGGATCCACTCCACTGGGAGTCGGCCTGGCAGGTGAGTCTGGCGTCTCCCTCCAGCCGGTAGCCTCGCTCGCAGCCCACCTGACACTCCGCCCTGTGGGACGGCCCGCCATCGCTGCACCTCAGGAAGCCGTGTGGGGGGCGAGCGAGGGGCGGGCAGGAGCGAACTGCCGGGGGAAAAAAAAAGATTAAGCATGAGGATCCAATCCCCCCAAAACAGAAGGACCTAATATGTGTAGACTTCTATATTTCACTGGAACCACGTCATGTGTTGAACTAATTTCAACCAAACTTGATGTTTTTTTTTTAGCAATTTAGAGGCCTATGAAAATGTCAAAATTACAAAAAAAAATCCTGCACTATGACCAGTTGTATGCTTTTTCAACATGACTACGGCAAAGCTTATTTAGTACTGTATATCTTTGTGCCAAATATGAGTATGTGTATCCTATAAACACATTTAGTGTATATAAATCACAACAGGAGCAGAAAGCAGAAAATCCACAGCAGGAATGTACAGAACCATCATCATTACCGTCTACAACCTGGGACCTATCATTTAACCCAAAACGTCAAAGCCGCTGTGAAAAAATAAAAGTGCCCGTTGTGAGTTATGCTGAGGTCGAGTAAGAGGGTGTGTTGGTGTGTTATTTCTCATCGCCGCCCAAAGACAGGCAGGCGGGTTGGGAGGAGACCCCCTCCCTCAGGGCTTCGCTAGTTGGGAGGTCCGACAGTATGTGGCGAAGGCTCGACTTAGTGTAACACATACAAGCAGACGTGTGCGCACACACGCACAGACACACACACACACACTCAGCAAATATATACCCAAAGCCACGGCTATGAGTCTTCAACACACACGCCTGGATATTCAGTGTCTTGGTATCTCTATGAATCACACAATTTTCCTCATTATCTCGTCTTCAACTCGCTCTTCCTTTATCGAAGTCACACACACTCTTTCACGTGTCTTTCCTTTCCTCGCATCCTTTCGGTGTGTCCTCCGTGAAACTCACTCTCGCTTTCCCACTTGATTCCTCCCCACCTTTCCTTCCCTCCTTCTAACATCTGGCCCAGCAGAGAGCAGTAGTCTCCCAGTGAATGTTGATTCTTTGTTCAGTCTAAACACAGATGATCTCAAAACATGGCGAGAAATCTTCGCACGCCGCCACACACGGTCTCACTCGAGCTCGTTGGAGACTCGCAACGAGTTGGCCTTGAACTTAACGCTGCGTAAATGTGAGCACCTGCTGGGCACATCCTGGAGTATTGTATTGTAAGACAATGTCAATGTGTCATGCAAGACAAAACAAAGTCTTCAGTGCTTCTAAATCAAATGCAATATCCCAAAATCTATTCTTGTGGCGTCGCAGCGTAGGCAGTGTTCTGAAAAATAAGTCAGATCAAATGACGCCAACATTCTCCAGGCATCAGGCGCGGCCTGCTTCCTGCTCACCTCTGCAGCTGGCAGGTGTCCCTGACCAGATGCCATCTGCCTGGCACAGCCTGATGCCGGTTCCCTGCAGTTCAAAATCTGGCTGGCAGCGCACGCCGCAGGCCGCATCAAAGTGGTTGTTGCATACGTTTTGGATGAAAAAGCCATTTTCTGGAGGAGACAGCGCCGGACAATATACCACTGGAAGGAGAGGATGAGAGAATAACGATAACACACCCACACACACAGAAAGTCTGCTGGTGTGAAATGCTGACAATGTGGAAAGTTTATGTTCTTTATCAAAACTAATTAAAAAAACTGTGAACGCAGAAAATTACAGGTTGTCAAACATCGGCCCCCAATGTACACAGAGGGAGGAAGAGAAAGCAAAGCGCAGACCAAGAGAGGAATGACTAATGAAAACGTTGTGTGTTCAGAAGAACTGCTGTGTGGAAATCACTGGCTCATTCCTTAAGGAATGAGAAGAACACTTCAATTACTGGAAGCACATTCAGGGAGTCAGGGATTCTGTTCCAGTCGATTCATAGTCATGTTCTCCCATGTCGCCACTTTATAAAAACAATCATACAATTCAATGTACACAAACTCACGAGGCCGAAGATATTCTTCATTTGTTCATTGTTATGCCGAATAACTGATTAAGCCTAATTGTTGCATTGCTGTCATGCTGTTTTGAATGCTGGCGCACTCGGCATTCAGCTATCAGGAAGCATTAAAGCTCAGACTAAACATTTCATGTTTAAAATAGTGAAGACAAAAACAAAAACAAAACGCTTTTATGAACAGGATGCTCGCCGAATCACTCGACTTGACGCGAGCGTCGGGATGGAGATGGAAACAGACGGTCTCACCCTGGCAGGTCATGCCGATTGGCCGATAGCCCTCCTTGCAGACGCAGTCGCTGAGGGAGGTGCTGCCCGGCTGGGAGGTGTGCTGCGAGTCGGGGCACAGCAGGCAGGTGCTCAGGCCTCCCGGTGTCCCCTCTGGTTTATAGGTGGCCGGCGGACATGCTGGAGGGAGGCGAGGAGAGGACAGCAGAGGACAGCAGAGGGAAAATACTGCGGGTTACGAATGATTGCACACTAAAACACGTGTTTTAGAAGAAGGCAGGACGGAAAGATTGGATGAGAATTACGTCAATATGAAAAACCTTTGATCATATTCTGGACATGAGATGGTGGAAAAAGTTGCATGAAGGACAAAACGATCTTAATAGTGGAAGGTAAAAGAGACAAGTTTCATTCGGCATCTTAATTATTCCAAGCAGGGGAAAGGATTTTTTGTTTTTTTTTTACAAAGAAATGCGGCAATCAAAGAACGGTTTACGAGTTTAGGCACACGTGGGCTGCATTAGGAAACCCTTTTGATCACCTTTGAGCGCTCGCACACACACACACAGTAACAAAGTATGTTTCCTATTAGCATCACCTGAGTCCGATCAGAGGACACGCTGCAAAGATGAAGCGGCAGGGGTCACACGAAGGCCGTCCAACATTCTTTCATTCACCATCAATCAACTCGGCGCATCACTAAGCGCTGCAGAGGAGTGAAAATGAATGACTGAATCCATCGCATTGCCTTATCTGGGTTCAAAGGTTACTTTACCGTGGGATTGTTCATAAATTACGGATTAAACGATGAAACCTGCGATTCGCTGAATTACATTCCGTGATGTAACGTCCCAAAAGCCAGATGATGATTATTTGAATTATGCTATCACAAGCAATTTGCCACGCTTGTAATTCCCATAATTCAATGAGATTACTGGTGCACTTTCGCAGGGAAATAAGATCAGTTGCTCCCCGAAGTTGAAGCGATTATTCCTCGGCACTGATTTCTTTTCCTGTGAATCCAAACCCTTTCAAAATGAAGCTCATCCAACAGCAGAAACAAATTACAGCCGTTAACTCTGATGACTGCGTTGTGTTGTCGGTATTTAGACGTGTTTAGTCGGAGTTTAGAAAAGATCTCTGGGGAGTTTAACTCACGGTCGTGTCATCGATTAATCGGTTGGGTCCACCGGATGTCAGACGGTAATTACGAGCGCCTGCTGTGGTTTCCCACAGCCTTGGGCGTCTTTCCCCGGTGACTTATTTGATTTCATCGGCAGTCTGACCTCCAAAGACACTCTGCTAATTAACACATTTGTGGGGAGAAATCGCTGACGTTTCAGATTTGCAAAGAGCCGAAGGGAAACCAGAAGTGCTCCGAGAGTACGGAAACCTCTTTCAAAGTCCAATTAACATCTGTTCCCACTCTAAACACTAACGGTGTCTCTCAACAGCGCGGCGTGCTTCGTGTGTCTTGATGAGGACGCTTGTTTCTAAAAAAACTTCTGTTTCGTGGCGGAAAAAAAGCACGTCTGACCTGCTGCTCAGAACCAAACACAGGGAAGCAGCTTCGCTTCTTCTGCTCCACACATCTGGAACAAACTCCCAGAACGCTGCAGTTCAGCTGAGAATCTCAGCTGCTTTAAGTTAAGACCGAAGACTTTTCGGTTTTCGGACTTCAGATCAGATTCAAGGATGAAGTGGAGGCTTTTTACTGTTTATTTCACTGCAACTTTTATTCCATCTGAACTTTGTTCATTGATTTTATGTGTGTTTGTTTCAATCAATGCTCTTAATAGTTTGTAATTTTTTGTTTTTTTTTGTTTTAATGGTTTTATCTGAAGCACTTTGAATGTACAATTAAACTTGTCTTACTTTGCCTTTACGGCAAGACAGGGAGGAGCAAGCAGCAGAAACATTACTAGACCGCAGAAATTACCGGTTGTGAAATCGAGAAAAAAAATGACTTTGGAAAGTGGTTATTGAGTAGGTGAAAGGTAAAATGAATTATCTATACTAGTTTCACTCTTTATCTACTGGACAATTCAATTGGCTTTCTGCTCCACCTTTTAAACAGATGACAGTATGACATCTCATATCATCATAATAGTCCTAAAATGACTCCAGACTGCACCAATAGAATTACAAAGAATTGTATTGATTCCACGTGGATCAAATGAAGTGGATTCATTGACAGATTACATTTGGCCGCTGCACTCAAATCAGAACCGGCTCCAGAGAAACGGGGAGCTTCAGAAAGCTGCTTCAAGACTGTTTTATTTGGAGTTGTGCTTTTTAAATGAGGAAATCATAAACGGCCTCAAACCACACGCACACACATCATTTAAACACTTATACTACATTTAAACTAATAGCAGAAAAGCTTGAGTCTACATGGGATACCGTCGACCGCCCCCTAGCAATGAGCTTTACTATCGCTTCAGTGGAGACAAACTATAATCTTTATAAACAGTCTTTGATAGCATCTGTTCAGAGGGCTCCAGTTCATGAGTTATCGCTTAAGTTACCTTTGATTTTCTTTTTTTTTAAACAGGCAGGTTGAGTAACACGCCGTCCTGTACAGACAATCTATAGTACTTATATTCCTCGCAAGTCATTTACTCGCCGCTAAGCCAGAGGCCCAAAGGCCAGGTGTGAATTTCCACTGCTGGGCCACTGCCGCCTGCCTGTCCTCTAACCACCACAACCCCCCCCCGTCCCTCCCCGTTCCCTCCCCGTCCCTCCCCGTCCCTCGTCCCCCGTCCCCAGCTGTAACCCGGCAGCAGGTCCGCCAGGAGATGTAAACCAACCGTAAAGCAAGCACTGGCTGCTGGCAATAATATGCACCCAGTAGTCCACATCAAACCCACACACACACACACACACACACATTACATTACATTACATGTCATTTAGCTGACGCTTTTATCCAAAGCGACGTACAATAAGTGCATTCAACCATAGGGTACAAACTCAGGAGAACAAGAAACAAGAAAGTGCAATTTCCTCAAATAAGCGAATTTACAATTTGCTATAGATGAGTGACGTCACAAGTACAATTTAAGTGCTACAATTTGTTAGTCTTTAGTCGAGGTAGAGTCTGAAGAGGTGTGTCTTTAGTTTGCGGCGGAAGATGTGAAGGCTCTCTGCGGTCCTGATGTCTTCAGAGAGCGCGTTCCACCATTTCGGCGCAAGGACAGCGAAGAGTCGAGATCTAGTCGAGTGTTTTGCTCTCAGTGAGGGAGACACACACACACACACGGTGTGGTGTACCTGCTGTGGTGCAGACAGTGTGCGTCTGTCACTTTCCATTTGATAAGAAAAGCAGCCGATGACGTTTCTCGTTCCCGCGTCCTTTAAACTCAGAGGAGGCCCCTCACGTAGGAGAGCTAAAAGTGTCCCTCTGTTCAAGAGCGTAGGAATCTGTTTTACAGCTTAATTTGAAGGTTTACAGGAAGTCTAGTTTTTTTTTTTAATGTGGACAATAATTCCCGAAGAACATATATATAATATTTGGTTTCCTGGCAGGTTGCATGTGCTGGCAGGTAGAAAATGCACACAGACGGATGCGTGGTCCCACGCGCGCACAAACAAGACACCCACGCACGCCGTTTGGAGAGACCAGACATGGCTTCTGGCGACTAGGGCGAGGAGGGAAGGATGGACAGGAAGGGATAAATGATGAAAGAGCGAGCAGCCATGAAGCTAAAAGGAACAACGGAAAAGCTGGAAGGAGAATGAGGAGGGAAAACCAGTGGGAATTTCCTTTAAAATGTATCATTGCTCCACGACTGGAGCCAAAAGTCAGACCCCAAAGCGAAACTAATTGTGTTTGGATCCGATGGAGTTGCTGCCTACGGCTGCGGAGCCTTCGCTGAGGGAGGAAGTCGACTGTCAGCGGGCCAGAGGACCATAAAACAGAAAGAGCCTGCTGTGTCTGGGCTGGTAGGAACCGTGTGGAGGGACAGCAGCTGGTCAAAGAACTACTGTAGGCAGTAATGACCTCAGGAGAGGAAAGAGCCTCTGTGATCACACGCTGTTGACTTGCAGTTAGAGCAACATTTGAGCAACGCTAACTAATCATGAAGTCAAATGATGTTTCGCAACATCACAGGCTTTCATACTTTTCCAATTCTTTTTTTGGAAACGTGTTTTTTTTATTTCTTTTTCAAATCAACAAACAGAGAGAAATATTACTTTAATAAACAACATTTTGCGGTTTGGCCCAAAAAAGGAAAAGCATCTTTGAAAGGAGATGAGACAAACAGATCAACTTGGATGTGTAAATTACAAGGCGTCTCCTTCATCATTCTTGGGAAAAGCCGACCGGCTTTGACTCCCTCAACCGTCTGCTTTGCCTTCTTCAAAAGAGCAACCCGACGATTATTGCCTGTGTCAGTGTGTCAGTGTGTTATGTAGTATCAGCTAAGGTAGTGAGGCAACTTATCAGATTTCTGGCTGCTGCCAAGAAGCCAAAAACACTTAGTACAACTATTTCCACATATGCAGGATTACTGCAAACATATTCTGAGGATTGAGTTCCTCTTTAAGGCATGAACTCAGTTTAGTTAACTATCTTTGCTGTCCCACACAAAAAAAAACCCACAAGCAGACATTCTTTTAGGATCAAATAGCATGGGGCAGCTCATCTGGTCCTTTCTCTTAATAAGAAGTAGGTCATTTGACCTGGCAGACGCGTCTGTGCCGGGAGCCAAAGTTGCTATCACACGAGAATCTCTCGGGTCTCTGAGGCTGTGTTCGATTAGCTGGGCCTAAAAATCAAGACTGGGACGGAAACGTCGAGAGGAGGACAGGCAGAGCGAGAACATCTGGCTATTTAGCCGCGATGACAAACAGAGAAACAACAAATCCACAAACACACGATCCACTGCCACTTTGTATATTGAACCCAAACCAGATATTTTTGAAAGCAGAGGGAACAAATAATGAAAGAATAAATGGAGCGTTGAAGATGTCCAGCGATATTGAGGGCTGCTGAATCGGGCCTCTCACACCAGAAATGTTGTTAAGTTGAGGCCTTAAATTCCAGCGTATTTCACTGCGAAAACTATGCTCACATGCGAGGAAACTTTCCGCTCCGGACTGAGACTTCCCATGAGCGTTTGAGGTGCATAAATAGACACTTTGCACTGTGCATTTAAAATGTATAGTCTACCCCG